ACCTAGCCTAGGCTAGGGAGGGGATGACCGACGTCGACCGTAGCTTAACCTAGCCTAGGCTAGGGGAGGGGATGACCGACGTCGACCGTAGCTTAACCTAGCCTAGGCTAGGGGAGGGGATGACCGACGTCGACCGTAGCTTAACCTAGCCTAGGCTAGGGGAGGGGATGACCGACGTCGACCGTAGCTTAACCTAGCCTAAAAGTATTCATTATTATCTTTTTTACACTCAAACCATCTTTTATTCACAGTTTTATCAGCACTGTGTACAGAGATAATCATATATGGGCCCCAGGAACCCTCCAAATGGCTGCCGTAGGACCTCCCGTGATGTCCGGACAGTTCGCGTTTAAGGGCCCTCCAGGCCCCCCTCCCCCCCCTACATCTGGTTTTTTATTTTATTCCTGCCACCCCCTTGGCGTGCATAGCGGAGAGAGAATTGCCAGAGAGGCTCCATTGTATATTACAGAGCGATAGGAAAGTAGATTATAAACGTACAACACGTGATAAGTATAAGGAGATGGACATTAGCACAGAAATGGAGGAGCAATAAGAGATATGGACCAAATGGATAGTATGGACGTGTTCCTCCTCTGAAAAATAATGGATATGGTCACGAAGAAGCTAAACCGATATTGATATCATATGAATTGAACATGGTTAGGGAGAGAGGGAAACCAGAGCGCAAGGATTCGGACGGAGACGACAGAAATGATTTCCTACGACTCGGACGATGATTCGTAAGTTACCTCGACATCAACAAGGTCCCAAACCTGATACGCCACGCTCTACATTTTAGACATCATCTTGAAGAACTTCAATATATGCCACAGGGACCCCATCTTGAGAAGTTTCCAGTTCGAGAGAGATGGGTCGGCAGTCGTCCGACCACTTGACATGACCCAGCGAAGTATAATGGAAAAGAGACGGTGGGACTACGCCTGGTGTCAGCCACTGTTTCATAAAATCGACACCTGTGCGAAACAATGCACGTCAGACAATATATCAGAACGAAGCGGATTGATAAACCCAAGGGGGTGGCAGGAATAAAATAAAAACCGGATGTAGGGGGGGGAGGGGGGCCCGGAGGGCCCTTAAACGCGAACTGTCCGGACATTACGGGAGGTCCTACAGCAGCCATTTGGAGGGTTCTTGGGGCTCATATATGATTATCTTTGTATACAGTGCCGGTAGAACTGTGAATAGAAGATGTTTTAACTTTTGAGTGTAAAAAGGATAATAATGAATAGTTTTAGGCTAGGTTAAGCTACGGTCGACGTCGGTCATCCCCTCCTCTAGCCTTAGGCTAGGTTACACCAACATTCATCAAAGCAATGAGTTAATACCACAATAACCCTCCGTTTTGATCTTTTATGTTGTGTGAAAAGTATTAAATAAATCATTTTAAAATTATTTAAATATTCGAGGGGGGGGAGGGGGGGAGGGGGGTGAGGCCTTAAACGCGAAAGGTAAGATCCGGTACAGAATTTTACGCTTGCCACCCCCTTGGATAAACCTGCGTAAAACGGATAATAAAATCGAGCACCAGCTGCAGCACGTACCTATTCTGAGCCAACGCAAAGTTCCAGAGCCCGGCTCGAGCTCACTTCCAGGGACAAAGGCCTCAACAGCCACAGCACACGCGAACGCCCAGTTCCTATCCACCGAGATATACGCGATCCGCAGCCGCTCACCGAGTCCAAGCGAGGCTCGAGTCCCTAGACGGAGACGACCGCCCCATAGAGATGAACCGAAGTCGAGAGAACAACTTTGGCGGGCGAAGAAGGCGTCGTTGACCAGAGAATGAATGCCGTTGAAGGCGGTGGAGGGGGAGGAGTGGGCGGAGGTGGCTGGAATCCAGGGCCGTAAGAAATCAAGCATGAACGTGGCCATGCATTGTAGGATGAGGTCGAGGATGTAGAAGCGAAGGCTGAGGCTAAAGTCGTCCATCGAATCTGTGAAAGTGGAGAAAATGACGCGTTCATTGATTGCCAGTTAGTGTAAATGAATGAAGATTCACGTACTTTGGCCTACACCAAACTCCAACGCCTCAATCAGACGTGTTTCGAAGCCAATAAATCCTGCATCGCAAAAAGCGAGAGCAGGGATAGACAGCTCCGTCCCATCCGACGAGATACCCAGCGCGACACCCACTGCAGGACCTTCATCCAGACGACCCCTGAAAGCTTGTATGGCATCGGCCCACGCGCGTGAGTGTATTATCCAAGAGGGCACCGTGTCATTGAAGAAGTTCTTGATTTTGGAGTCGTGTTCGAGTAACCAGAGGGCGCGATGCCAGAGGTCTTCGAGGTTCGGACAGCATATTCCTGTTACGGTCCCATTTGTCAGAAGAACAGGAATGCGAGAAAAGTCTTGGGACCCATGAGGAGGGTAACGAGCTCGGATGTCGAGTGCCATGCAGTCCTACGGGGGTTAGCTAGTCGAAATGATGTGGATGAGGGTTGATGGAGGGATAAACAGACGAAAATGAAGAGAAGGGCACAACCGTGTCTGGAGTTTATATATGTCTAGCGACAGAACAAAGAACTCAGTGCCGGCACCCGCACAAAGAACACGGTGACACACGGAGGGATACGTCACCCGTATTTGGGAAAGACACATAAACGCAAATGAGTTGAAGCCTCACGCTTTAGCCAATGAAGAAAATTGTACGATTTTTTCTTACTTTATTATTCTTTCAAGTCAAGATAAACAGAAGAAAAAACGCTTCGTGTCAAGAGATGGGCGAAGTTCGTAAAATCTGATTCCAATGAAGTCCGCGTCGCAAACAAACAGAAAACAATCTGGGCAACCTGACCCCTGGGTACAGAACCATGTCTCGTCTGCGTCAAACACAGTGGTCCGGATCCAAAGAACTGTGTCTTCGCCGTCATTGAAGACGCTGCATGCAGGGCCATAAGTATGATATGCAGGGCCATAAGTATGATATAAGTAGATCACATGAGTGATATTATGGACTAGGATGAGAGATTTCGAATTCGAAGACTTATGTGGTACCAAAGCTTTGCTGAAATGTCATCGATTCTTAGTTTTGAAGAGGATGATCTGGCGACGATAGATGAAGTCGGAGGAGTCACCAGTGTTCCGACTCCCGCCAACCGAGCGCTATTCGAGCGATGCCAAAGCGATGCTGGATACCTGGAATACTTGGAGCGGCCTCTAAAAAGCAAGGATGAGTACATACATATTAAGGTATCCTATTCTGAAGTATAGATACAGGATAAAAGACTAAAATCGATGCGATTTCATGGTGGGTGGGTCGGTGTGAGCCACATCGTGCCACCCGTTTCATTTTTTAACTTTGAGCTCCGATTCGCTACTTTGCGAGGCGCCGGCCGCACGGCCCCAGTTGCTTTTGCAGTCGTAGCCAAGTCGTCAGCACACGTCTTTCACTTCCCACATCTTGGGTGCGTCTCAGTCCTTCTCCTGGTCTATGAAGCTACGTCTACGGACCCTTTCCAACTCTGCTGCAGTCTCAGCCTTCTAATCTCCCAGAGGGGACCCTCCTTCCGCGTTGTGTTCATATCCGAAATTCTTGTGGCGTGTCTTGGGAATCTATCTTGAGCTCGGCTTTCTGGGTACAACCTGACCACTAAGGGAAGTGAAACGCCTGGCATGCATCGCGTGTTGCCTGTATTTTTGTCTTGGGGTCGTGCCTCCCGGAGCGCCTGATAGTCATCAGCAGTCCTGGAGACACGTCGACCTCCCCACTGACAATCGCCTCTCATCCGCACCACCATGTCCATGTTCACACCAACCCGCAACGACTTGCTTTACATTCTGAATCACGTCTTTTTGCCACCAAAGCTGCCGCAGAAGGATGAAGGTGACGATGCGAGATGCGTTCACGATATCGCGCTCGCGTCTCTGGCGCATGAAGCCGCCGTAGATTTTTTGACAATTGTCCCCGCAGAGCACAGGAACCGATGGTCTACGATCATCAAAATGCTCCGACGCCTCAAGCACTACACCGAGGCACTCAACCAAGATGATATCGTAGCCGACATGACGAGTATGAATGAGGGAGGCGCGTAACTCCTCCGCTCAACATTAGTGCACTGAACTAATTTCTCTGTTGTACTAGACGTTTTGACCATCCATGTCCGCGCTCAGAATGCGGGGTTAATCATCCGCAAACTGAAGGATATAGTTCGCTTCGAAGTCTTTGAGGTATCTCCACCTCCGGAAGCCGTCATGAAGGCTACGGGAAAGCTTATCTGTTCCTACCCGGGCCCCGCTGTCGATATCCCCCTCGACGTCGCCACCGAGCCGTCGTTCCTCCAAAATCTTGCTTCCTTCCTCGTACAAATGGACGTCGACCAGTTAGATGCGCTTCCCACCACGAAGAAAGCGGGTTCAGTCGTTCCCGAAGAGCGCAGCACGGCGCATCCGCGCTACATTTCCGAGCTCCTCATGGGCATCCTGCTCGCACTAGGGCACGAGGCTGATATATCCCGCATCACGAAGCGAATCGCTGACGATGTCTTGTGGAAGAGCGCGTTTAAGCCGTGGCGCAGGTCACCCCTATGGCTTGTCATTCGTGTTGTCCTACAAACGTCGCTGCCAACCATCGACATATACAAACAGTTCTTGCTTTCCTTCCAGACGAAACTCTTGTGGCTTTTTTATGAACACAATCTCCCTAGCGATGTCATGTTTTGCGCTAGAGCTAAAACCGCTCGCCGTGCATATAAACTCGGATCTCTGGCTCCGGGACCTCTCCTTCAGGAGGTTCAAGACGTTGCAGACGCTCTGGAAGAGCTTATGCAAAGGCGGTGGAATGCGGCGAAGTCCGAGCATGCTACGTTACCATCGTTCCCTTCATCTTCATTGAACTTCCTCGAAGACACCAACATGACTCTCCCCAACTCACGTGCATATCTCACAAAGGTCCTTTCTCGAAATGCTCCCCCGGTTCCTAGTCCGGCACCATTCCAACCGTCAGAGTTTCCACGTCTGAAGGATACATTTTCTACCCAGTCATTCTCTGCGGACGCTTTGCGCAGGGCCCTCGAGAACGATCGCACCCTAGCGCTCGCCGACTTCGAGGATATCGTTCAAAACTCTCTCGAACAATGGGTCTCGTCTCACCTTTCCCATCCTATTCCTGCCTGTAGAACACTTGGTTCCTGCTTCAAGCAGTATATCTTTCATGCAAGAAGTGCTTACGACTCAAATCCGGAGGATCAGTCCATCATGATTCTCACAATTCTAGACTTGTGGGTCGCCCTTGACAAGCTTGCTATCGCCGACATACCGTTACTGGCCGAGTATTCCCCAGAAATACCGGAAGATATCACACATCCTTTGATCCTGCACGAGCCCCTTCCTATTCATCGTGCTGCCGTTATTGAGCGTTATCTGCGTTCTCGCCATGAGCGTGCCACGGAGCCGTCACACATATTCTCTGAAGAGACGACATCAAAGACTTTCTCCGTGCGATTTTTTGACAAGTCTCCATTGTTGCAAAATGCCAAGTCTGTCATTGAGGCAGAGGCTACCCGTGTCCGGGAAGAGAAGAAATGCGAGTTACGAGAGCAGAATACTCAGGTAGAACAAGATTTGGCGCGTGCGGCCTCGATGCAGCATGAACATTCGTCGGGTCCGGGTCCGAAGAAGAAACGCAAGGCCCGGTGCACGAAATGCATACTCGAAAAGACAGTGAGACACCTAACCGTTCATGAATGGCCCTTGCCCAGTCATGCTTTCGAAGCGAAGGCTGTGATTTTCGAACTCAACTGTCCGGCAGTCTATGTTATCTGGCGGGACTGGACGTATACCATAATACGAGATTTCTGCCTTGCCCAACAAAAACAGGTGGACGCAAAGCAGTTCCTTACGATCGGACAGTATGAACCTCTACAAGCATATTCCTCCGTCAGGAATGTGTACCGGGTAACTTTAGCCTCCGAAACAAAGTCTTTTCTACAGGCACATTACAAGGATATCAAACTTCCTGCAAAGGAATCATCAGTCTGTGTTGCTAATGGCCTGCATTTGCGTCTATATGATCGCACGAACAACGAATGGGTCTCAAGTCCTCCAAAATCCTTCGATCTTTCGGGATTTTGCACTCTGTCTCTTCCGAAGAAAGGTCCTTACAGCACTCTTCAGTATGCAGTCACACACACTGCTCATACCTCCAATGAAGTTGTCTCCAGTCAGGCCAAATGTCCCAATGACCTTAACATTCACGAGTACATGGCTTTCCTTGCCTTGCGAAGTGGACCTTTACTACAGTGGTTGAACATTGTTCGGGAGATGCGTGCAAGGACACTATCGTTTCATCGCTCAGAGGTCCATATTCTTCTCATGCAGGCGGCCTGGCAGCTAGGACCACTCGCCGGTGAAACACTTGTCAGGACTTGGCATGAGGAGTTGTACGTTTCGGCGTTCGGTCTGCTTCTTGTCGAAGAGGCCTCACGCATCATAGAGCATGCGAGGGTCGGTTGGTCAGAGGTAATGACTATTAGAACGGCTGGTATGTATTTTGACACTATAAACCTCTTGAAGAACCGTCACTGATATCCGGTTTAGTATTACTTGTATCTCGACTTTTGGGAGCTTCACCAGATGATATTGTGTGCGAAGCAGCTTATGCTGCCCTTCGAACAGCACGGACAGTGACATTGCGCTGGGTACGGCAACTTGGTGATCGTATACACATGGCCGTCTCCGACAAGGAACGACACGATTTCCGACTTCAACTTTGCGAAGTAGCGGCGACCTGCAGAGCGACGTTCGATGTGGACCCTCTGGAACACCTTCCTCATCTTCTGTGTCTCGCTGAAGATGCTGCTGCGGTCATTGAATGTTCAATAGCTCTCAATATACATACTCCCTCCGATGCAAACCAGATGACTCCAGCCCTTCACGGATTCTTATCCTACGACCGCCGTCTCTCTCATCGACTTGAGCCATTTCTCTCGCATCTATTACTTTCCATTGATCACGGTTTGGATATCGCCCTCGGTTCCATATGGCCCAGCTACAGCCCCGGAATTGGACATTGGCAGCGATCACCAGCACCCAACTGTCGCTGGTTTTCGCGTAGTTTATTTGCTAGATATTCTTCATCATGGATTTCACCGACTTTGCACTACAACATATTAACGGGGCTATTTCTCCTGGACGGTGTTCCAATCGATAGACTCCCCCATAATATCGCAAGGCATCCTACCTACACTCGTATTTTTGGACAGGTGACGCCAAACACTGCCATCGCATGTCATGCTGCCACTAACTAATCATTAATTAATTTTATAGAACGTTCTCGACGTCGTCCCATCAGACATGATTGACATGCAGTTCGCTACTCGCTATCTGGTTCATGACTATCAGGTGCGTTATCATCTCTTCGAGCCAAAGTATCCGCAAAATGACATCCTTTAGATACATTTCCATTTCGACCAAGCATCGCGTGCACTTGAAATCCGCGCGAAGTCCCTCAAGGGGAACGTCTACCTCATAATCCCTCATGATCGCTTCCTCGGCGATTTCCCGCAGCTTTTTGTCTCAGAATATGTCCATTTCCTTGACCTGTCCACTGGTCGCATTGAATTTCGCCCATTGGACAATTTCTGGGACGCTGCGTCGATTTCCTGGAGTCTCTCTTTCTCTATGACCGGGAGATCAGCTATGACGTCCAACTTGGTACCATCGTCATGTCTTCTGGATCCACATTCCAAAGCATTTAAGAGGTTATCGGGCATCTTCGGGCGTCTCGAATACTCCGAGTATCTGCACATCACATATCGACATGAGAGCGCAGTTGCCGTACCCGCCCTTATAGTGGAGCTCCCTCGCTTCCGCCTCTCATTTTTTTTCAATGATGAGGGTGACTTCGAGTCGCTCAATCTACCGGGAATGGTCATTGACCAAAACCAATTCTCTGGAACTATGATTGGTCTTCAGAGTCAGCTTGTCCTTCGCCAACGACGTGGCTCAATTGTTGACCTACCTCGCTCTCGGCACGTCATCATCCCCCACGGACAAATCAAAGCCAGCATCTCTGCCGACAACGACCGCGTCACGGTAAACATCGATACCCGCACCAATTTCGAGAGACGACTTCGGTGGCACGATTATGGCATTGATGAAGACCTAGGATGTCTCGTGGGCAGCGTCAAACTAACCAGTCGTCTCTACAGGATCTATCTCCACGCTGTCTGCTCCCAACCTCTTCCCGACCCATTGACAGGTCAGACGGGCACCGAATGCGCTCTTCGAGACTTACGATCGGCCGCCTGTTTCTCGTTCCAACAACTGGAGCCATTGGATATCGAACTCCTTCGAGCCATTCAATCTCTCACGCCGAGAAGGGCTTTCTATCCAGCTGGGAAGCGGGGTATGCAGACCGTGACCTGGAATCTAGACATACCATTTCTCTGTCAACACTCCGCTTTCGAACTCGCTGTGCGCGATATTCTGGAGTATGCCTGGTCCCTCGACGTATTACTCCCCAGCTCCAGCAGGTGCCCTGACCTCACCGACTCTACAATTGACGAGGATTTTGATTTTCTACGAGAGCGTGCTGCGATGCGAGAGGCCCTTGAGAGAGCGGTGGTACCCAGTACTTGTCACACCACGTATATCTCTCGGGCTTCCCCAACTTCGTCAGCAGATCTTTTTGGCGTCGTCACTGCGGCAAGCAAGGTTGCGGCTCAATCAGGCGGGCTATACCGTGACGCTGACTACACGATGGTTCATCCCCTTTTTTATAAGTGGAAGATTGTCAATGGTCCTGCTTCCGAGGTCTCTTTCTCATACAACAGGACCTGGATGCATTCTGATCTTTCTAAGCAATGGATTCCACTCTATAACCAGCTACGCTCTCAAGCAGACACGAGTAGTGCGAGGTACAAACTTTTGTTCTCATTGCCGTCCATGGCATACGCATCATCCGACCTCCGTCCGTTCGTCGCTGTTTTCCTCGCTTTTGTGTTTGTTCCCAGATTCCGCACCCTTCATCCACCATCACACGAACGTTACGACCTCAGCACTGGCATCGAACCGAAGCGTGATCAGATACGCTCTCTGATACTCTCTGCATCGAAGAGTTTCGATAATAGCCCTGCGAAATCATTTGGCTCTGAAGTGGGCTGTACAAAGAAGTACCTGCAACATATGCGCCTGATGCATTACGAACAGCAACGCCTTATCCATGCAGAAGCATCCATAGACAGAGCACTCACTCAGTGGCCGTCCAGCGACCCTCATTCCTTCTTTGTTCCCGATGCGAATAACTGGTTCGATATCACGAAGGCAACATCACTTATTCGCAACCTCTTCAAAAGTGTTTCACAGAATAGAGAGCTCCACGCACATTTCTCCGCGATTCAGGAGGTCCTCCTCTCTCATTTTGCTCGAATCAAGGTTGACTTACCCCCGAGCTTCACTTTCTCGCGACACCCTGTCCACGTTCCATACGATCATCTCATCCCAATCCTTACTCGGGATAACTTATTCCGCCGAGATATTCCAACTGCGCCGACAAAATCGTCTTTATCAGACAGATTAGGTCGCGAACTGCATGGATTTACTAGGACCGGAGAATACGAGACCGTGGACTGTAATTTACTAGGACGCCTTGCCACGGAGTTCCAAAACGACGACACGCAGCGAATATACAGGTTATACGGCGAGCGCCTCGACTTGAGTACACGAGCCCTTCAGGATGTGAGACTCTCCCGCGGCCGCACGACACTTCCTCATATCGCGATTCTTCTAGATATTTGTGATCAGTGTAAGGCAGAAGTCGAACAGGTCTTCTCCAGGATCAGAAACCTGGCATCTCCTTTCACGTTACCAGAACGTATCCTCTGTACTGCAGGACTCTGGCCACGACTCCACCCAGGGCTTCTCTTGCGCTGCATGGCATCGACATCCAATCATCATTTAAGCACCGCTTGGAAGAGTCACCTCACCCTTCTTGCGGAAGTGATGGTGGACTATCAATCCTCACGAAGATTGCTCACCTTTGCTCGACAACACGACGTCGAAGGGTTCTTCTCGGAGTTGGACAACTACTCTGTTCCCCAGATGGGTGTCGAACAATATTCTGATTGGCTATTGGTACAGGTAAGTAACGTCTGCAGATACCATGGGTGCCATTTCTCCAAGTGAGAGACTAATGAGTTGTTCCAGCTCGACGGTAACTTTCTAGCTCGACCGCTCCAGCTTCAAGTCGCCCATGAGATGATCTCGCCTTCTTCGAAAGCAAGTACCACTCTTCAATTCAACATGGGCGAGGGAAAATCGTCCGTGATAGTCCCTCTCGTAGCAGCCGCCCTGGCCGACTCATTCAACCTTGCCCGTATTATCGTCCTGAAGTCTTTGGCAAGACAAATGTTCCAGACCTTGGTCGGTCGCATTTCTGGCCTGGCCAACCGTCGTATCTTCTTCCTGCCATTCTCGAGGCAGACTCCAATGACAGATGTTAATGCACGTCTTATTTGTGATCTCCTTCACGAATGTTCACGTGTCAGGGGAGTACTCGTCGCGCAACCGGAGCACATACTATCTTTCAAGCTCATGCGTATGGACCTTGCGCTCAGTTCAACGCCTAAAACAGCAGCTGTTACCGCGACATTGCAGGAGATAAATGGATGGCTTTCTAACCACGCTCGAGATGTTATCGACGAGAGTGACGAGGTGCTCCACGTTAGATACCAACTCATCTACACATCTGGTGACCAGAGGGCTTTGGACGACAAGCCAGATCGTTGGACTACCACACAGCAAGTATTCGACCGCATTCGGAGACACACCCTGATCACTGGTGCTCAACATGGCCATATCGATCAGCTGGAAACCTATCCCGGAGCCTTTCCTACGATACGCATAACGGACAAGGAAGGGTTTGCGGCTTGTGCTGCTCAGATCGCACTTGACGCACTCGACGGACGTCTGGACAATCTTGCCCTTCCAAAGTTCAATCTCAATACGGCCATTCGAGGAGCGGCTCTTCGCTTTCTCACAGAAAGAGATGTATCAAAGTCGGATTGCGCACTTGTCCAGTCACTTTGCGGAAACACTTCGTCGTGGAAAGGCTGTCTACTTCTGCGAGGGCTACTAGCGCACGGGATCTTGACGCATATTATGCAGCTGCGATGGCGAGTCGACTATGGTCACGATTTCAGTCGTTCACTGATGGCAGTGCCATATCGCGCGAAGGTGAGTTTTCTACGACCTACATACTGTTCTCGTAATAACGACTATCCCCCTTTTCTCAGGACGTTCCGAGCTTGAGAGCCGAATTCGGCCATCCAGATGTTGCTGTTGGCCTTACTTGCCTCGCCTATTATTACAGTGGCCTGACGCAGGAGCAACTGAGAGAATGTTTTGAAGAACTGCTGACGCTAGATAACCCAGTCGCGGAGTACGAGAATTGGGTGCGCAGAGGGGGATACGCAAAAATCCCGGTCATATATCGCAATTACAAGGCTGTCAACCTTCGAGATATCCAGAGATTCATAGATCAAGTCGTTCCCCTCTTTCGAAGGAACCAAGCCACGATCGATTTCTTCCTCAGCAATGTAAGTGGCAGGCATCTCTACTTGTCACGTATCACTTTTTGATCTTGATCACTCTCCAAGGTCGTGTTTCCCAAGCAGGCGAAGGAATATTCGCACAAACTCGGCGTCTCCGCGTGGGATCTAGTAGAGGACAAGGCCAACGTTATCACTGGTTTCAGTGGCACCAGCGACAGTAGTTTTCTCTTGCCGACATCGATCAGCCAGAGAGATCCAGTGAATCAAGTCCGAACAGATGCCCTGGTCCTCACTTATCTCTTGCAGAGCGAGAATGAACACTACGTCTGCGTCCGTGGCGATGACCGCCAAACGCTTTCTGCATCAACGTTCCTGAACATCCTCGTACATGAGGAGCCGGAAATCAGAGTTCTGCTCGATATTGGTGCTCAGGTATAATAATTATTATAAACCCGATATCCAAGACGGAGCTCTGACACAGAATATCACAGATGCTGGAATTACACAATGAGCAGCTCGTTCGGCGTTGGTTATCTTTGCGTCCCGAGGTTGACGCCGGGGTGTTCTTCGACGACACTGACCAACTGGTCGTTCTAACGCGGGACGACACAATCGAGCCCTTGTTCTCATCCTCGTACTCACAACAGCTCAGCAAGTGCGTGGTATACCTCGACGATGCACATACGAGGGGCACCGATCTCAAATTACCATTGAGTTTCCGTGCCGCGGTGATGTTAGGCCCCAAGATTACGAAGGACCGGCTTGTTCAAGGTAAGGACTGCATGGCATTCCCAGTGAAGAATTGTCATATTCATGACCTCTCAGGATGCATGCGTATGCGGAAGCTCGGGTACGGCCAATCCGTCATGTTTTTTGCACCACCAGAAGTCGACACGCGTATTCGAGAGGTCGGGGCGCTCGAAACAACCGACTCAATCAAGGTTCTCGACATCATACGCTGGACCATGCACGAGACGTGTGCGGATATTCTTCACCATATCCCCCATTGGGCCCAACAGGGAAGTGACCATGATGTACGCAGCCGGGCAGAAAGGACTACCTCGATAGCCCAAGGGAAGCACGATATCCTACGGTCTGCATGGCTTCAGCCAGAGGCGCGCACCCTGGAACAGTTGTATGGTCATGACTTCACCCCAAGCTCGATATCAGATCCCCTGACAATACCCAGCATTCGTCAGAGGCTAGAGCTGCTCTCTGTCGGGGCAAGCACGCAGTTCCATATGGATGAGGAGCAGGAGCGTGAAATGGAGGTCATGCACGAGACGGAGAAAGAACGTGCCGTAGAAAGGGCGGCGTTGGTCACCCCCGCCACGCATACGTTGGACGAAGATGTCGTGCGACTCGTCAAAACAGGCCATATTTCACGGACATCCCATACCTTTCACCCTCTTATGTCTGCGCTCCGCTCCTCATCAGCATCCCTTCAGCCGTCGTACCCGTGGTCACCCCTACTATTGGCCACTCGCGACTTCATGACCACCACACGGAAATCGGGACTGACGCCACCCATTCTCTCCGACTACGAACGGCCGATGAATTGGATCCTGTCCTTCCGGCGTAAGAAGATTTCGGACACAAGTATTGTCGCGATCAGCCCCTTTGAAGCCAACGCCCTGCTTCCGGAGATTAGAAAGAGCAAGAGAGTTCGCCTGCATCTCTTCGAGCCTCGCGTCACCGAAGCTATGAAACCAGCCGATGACCTCACGTTCTACTGCATCCCTGGAACCATGAAACTGACGACCGAATGGAAACAGCCATCATTGACTGTACGATGCCAGCTCAATCTCTGGTCAGGGCAGCTGTACCTCGATAGTTTCGAGACGTATATGCGACTCTGCTCGCTCTTGGGCCTCCAACACGGACAACCTACAGGGTCTGGATTTCTGCCTGTGCCGATGGACAACGACAGGTTTGTGCACAAGGAGGATCGTGTTGGGGAGATGCGTGATCTGTGCCTCTTCGAGGAGAGTCCGGTACCGTTGTTGAAGGAGCTGTTCGCGATGCGGCGGAAAGGCATGAGTTTTCTCCCTACACAGATGGGACGGATTTTGCATGGTCGTATATTGACAGAGGAGGATTTCAAAGACCTGTGAAGTTCAGTTTGGTGAGTCAAAGGATTGAAAGTCAAGAACTCGTCCTGATGGCTGATACGAATACACTGCGCGTCACAGGTTGCGTTTGTGGCTCAAGTACGCTGTGATTCCGATATGGCTGGTCGGGTGATGATAGTATTTTTTGCACGAAGAAGAGTGTGTTTTAGATTGGTGTGCTGTACTGTGATGATGAGACAGTGAGATACGAGATACGTACGGACAGTTTGTATGGATGGGGCTCAGTTTTGTGTCCGTTCGTACGCGATGTGTCGCTTTGAATTAGATAGACTGTGCTTTCGTGTCAGCGAAGAAATGTCCGAACTGCCATGAAAAGCATACACGAAGAAGAGAAGCAACGAGAGCGACTTGAGACGGTGAGGCTTGTGAGTCCTGATTGAAGGAAGAAAAAGAGCATCCGGAGAAAGTGCCACGTGCACGCCTTCGCCACCGGAAAAAAACAAACCGCAGCATATCGGCATTCTCCGAGCGCTTTTTGTGCTCTGTTTGCATCGTCACCATTCCTCTCCTTGAGCCTTGTCCTTGTGTTCGAAAAAAATCCTTTGTGGCCTGAGCTTGATGATCTGAGTCACGCGATCAGGGGACATGTCTTTGTTACTCATATTTGGACAATGCGCTTCCGAGATGCTTTGACCTTCGACTGTAAAAGGCTGTCGTCATTCCTTTATTGTCGACTTCCTTTCCTGACACGTCGATGTTGAACTCTCTTGTCCCTATCCATTGCGCACACTACGTCCTGGTTATCAGTATACAATGTCATCCCCCCGCTTTGACTCTGGCCTAGAAAATGGGTTCAAGGGGATGTTCAACTCGAAGAAACAATCTCGGAAGGCGACTGCTGGTGGCCTTCAAACCAAACCATCACCGTCTCGTGCTGCGTCTATTTCTGCAACTGACTCCATTGTATCACCTTCAGAAACTAAGCCTACGGAGGAATCTAAGTCGGTGGGCTCGTCCGTGCCGCTCGAACAGAATACGCGTCCAAAGCCAAACGAAACCACAGACAAGCCCGAGAACGCGACCCCTCCTCTCGCACCAGCCCCCGAACCACTCCCTCCTGCCAAACGTCCTAAGACTCGCTTCGTCCGTCGCGAATGGCCCCGTCCGCCAAATCCTCCTCTCGGACCCTTAAAATTCGATCCCAAAGCCGTCGGGAAGAGAGCTGGTACGGGCGGTCTACCGCTCTGGGGCGCAACGTTGGACGATTTCTATTGGTATAGCGTCGTGGATGGAGTTGCGGACTGGTCTACGAGTAGCAGGATGTTGTCTTGGGTTGAGGGGTTGTGCGATAAAGATGGTCAAAAGGATGAAGAAGGAAGTGAGGATGGTGAGGGCAGCAGAGACGATCGATCTGATGAAGGCGGAGACCAGGAATCCGATGAGGAGAATATGGACACGGGATCTGCCGAGGAGGGTAAAGACGAGGAACCTATCGAGGAGGGAAAAGTCGAGGAGTCTGCTGGGCGTGGCAAAGATAATAAGACGGAAGATCGCAAGGAGCTGCAGAGGAAGGAGATGGAGGCTGCGAGGGCGGAGATCGAGTTTGCGAAGGAGGAGCCGGAGCCGATGCTTTTGAGGCCGGAGAATGTTTTGAAACTTGTAGAGGAACAAGATGCGAAGATCAGGCAAGGTGTTTATGAGTCGGGTGCTCGGCGTGAAGGTGAACTGGAATCGAGAGTCTCTTCTGAAGAGGTGCGTGACTCGTATCTGGAAATTCATATCTCCTGATTAACAATTTTGTCGGACAGGCTCGTGCAGATCCGTTCCATCCAAGCAAATATCCTGCCCCATGGCCTCTTCCACCGTTCTCGCATCCGACTCCGTTCCTGCAGCACCGTATCCCGTACCATCTTCTCCCTCAGAAACTCGTCGTTCACGACCCAGACAACGTCCTCGAAGTCCGCACCACCTCCTCCGGTCCCTCGCCCACTCCCTCCACGTCAAACGCTAACGAACCGCGCCCAGACATCACTCACACCTACAGCCTCGACCTCAATTACTACGTGGAAAAATCCGTTCTTGCAGCTCGTGAATCCGCGCGCAAGGCTTGGAACTTAGAGCATCGACACGAGCCGGTATTCGACGGGTTCTATTTCACATCCGATCTAAAGGACTTACTCGATGACGACGACGACGACGATTGTGGCTATCAAGTCGTCTCTTCCCCCATATTCGTCCCTCTTCCCGATTCCGTACATGGAACACAGTCGTCTCCGTCGTTCGAGGTCCCCGTCGCTCATCTATACCTATCCGGAGCTCAGGAACGCTTGAAGGGGAAGGGTCATCATTCGCTGGTTTACGAGGCTGAATGGGAATTACCGCGCACTTTGCTCCAGTGCATATCGAACCCTGGAAGAGACGGTCAATTCGCGCCGTGGGAAGCAGGATTGAGAAGGGAGGATATATGTTGGCCGTGTGTGCGCGACGCGTTGAAAGTCCGGTTGGATGAAACCAACGACTCGTCGGGCGATCCCTCTGACTACCGAGCAATGCGCACCATCACCCTTCATCCCTCCCAATGGACCTCGATTCTCTCATTCCCACACTCGTGCTCTCATCCGTCAGCCTCTCCTCCCGTGCTCCATCCCTCCACCGCCTCCGTCCGCATTACCGCTAAACTATCGTTCGAGAACGATCGACATCTGGTCAGAGAAGCGGCGAATTATCAGAGGTTCGACGAGAGCTTGTTTGAGCGGTGGAGTGGGTTGCAGATAGTGCCGCCCTTGAAGGATCCGACGCCGTGTGGGGCGGTGGTGCCGCAGTTCTATGGGTTCTATAGGCCGGATGTGGACGAGACGGACGACGAAGATGAGAGGATGGATGTGGACGAGGTTGGTCGGGCTGGTGAGAAAGAAAAGAAGAAGAAGTGGTATCAGAGCAATATCTTGTTGTTGGAGGACTGCGGGGAGCCGATCAATGTCGACGAGTTGGATATCGATGATCGGTACGTTTTGTCATACTACCCACATCTACGTGTCTTCCTATGCCGATAATACATACTATCTACCCAGTCAAGAATGCGCTGCCCTCGTCTTCCGCCTGCATCACAACCGCTGGACACACAATTCCTTTTACGCCCGCAACATCCTCGTCCAACACGGCGACGTTTCGCACTCTGACCACACCGAAGATCCCTCCATCCCGTCCTCTAACCGTCGTTTCCGATTATCGACTTCAGCCGCGCGATCCAGTACGGAGATGACGGTCATGCTCTTTTCAAAGACCCAGACCGAGAAGCTCGGGCCCAGCAGCGAAGAATCGAGCGGGAGAAGGAGTTGCAGGCAAAGAGAGCCATTGTGAGTGCAGGGTATAAATGGTTTGATGTCTATGGGGGGCATGGATATGGACACAGGGTGGAGTACAACAGGGACCATAGTCGGGAGGATAGGGATACTTTGGCGGTAGATAGGAAGAACGAGGTGAAGTATGCGAAGAGGGAGTTGAAGGTGCCGGAGTTTGTGGTTGGGCGGACGCGCGGTTAGACGGTCGTGAGCTCGTCAGTGACCTGGTCTCTGTCTAAACGGTGGTGTCGAGAGTTCTAGCTGTAGCCTTCTTGTTGTGCTTCGATGCTGGCTTCAGCGGCCTGAGATCTGTACGATCACCTTGTCTGCTTATTTCTTGATATGCGGTTTAATCAATCTGTCTTCACCACACATGTATCGTGATGTTTCACTGTTTGGGGCTCCACAAAAGGGTGCGAAATCGGGAAAGGGCTCATGCAATGCTGATGCATATACAGTATCAAAAGATAGACGTAGAGTCCCTATGCAGGCAGTATAATCTCCCGTACGCTATCACCTTCATTCTGATGCGAAGAGAGTTTAATCGAAGCAAGCTTTAGCATGCCCACCCGGCATACGTCTGTCTATCCGTGAGATATCTACTCTAAGAGTGTCAAGGTTCAGTTAACATGTCTTTCGAAGTGATAACCAGAGGAAAGTGACTCACCAGGATTATTTCGGCACATATTTCGGATAAATAACCTTCATGACGCTAGGTTTCGTTGACTGTCCAGTAGTCTCGGTAACGTCCAGCTCTCTCACGAGAAACCGTAGACCACACACCAACCTATGTTCTTTCCAATCGCTATTCGGATGATACGCAAAATCAGAACCGAGAAGAGGCCGCTGCGAGGACGACTAACCTTCTCTGGCACTGAACGCCACAATATCGATTCTTCGAACACGCCTTGCACCTCATCAACCCCTTGCTAGTGCATCCTCTCCTCTGACATCCTGTGGATTCTCGGCAATGAATGATGTCCAGAGCCATCCATGTTCGCCGACGGTAAGATGCATAGTCGTTGGATGTCAGAACGGGGACTATAATTTCGTTGCCGGGTCCAGGAGTACCAGTGATGTCTGTTGACGAACGAAGGTCGACATCGAGCAGTTTACGAAGGAGGCGTGGCTGGGAGAGATGCTGTTGGAGTGCTCGACTAAGTTTCGGAGTAGACTTGCGTCCCATGGCCCTGAGAACCGTTCGAATGATTCTATACGTGCTTTCTAGGAGCAAGTGGTCGTTAGTACAAATGGTCAACGGATGTAAGGCGGATAGGCAGAGACATACGAATCATCATCTCCTCGTGAGTATCATACAGCGAATGGAGCTCGCAAAGTATGTCAAAGATTTCGGCGTTGAGCCACGCCACAACCAGACTTCTGACCCGAGCGTCATCGGCGAATGGAATATGATGTCCGAGAGCATCCACAAACATATCGAGCACGATGTCGTTCTCTTCGACACTGGGATACTGTTGTCTCGCCACCCTTGGAAACGTGAAAATGGTGCGCCAAAACCTTTCCAAGAGAGTGAGCTGACGATAGAGCTCCCAGTGCGTCTCCCGCAGGGACTCTGGTGTCAGAGCGCTCAAGACCTCAACCTCGTAGCCTTGATCGCACTCTGGACCAGAGTCTTCTACGCCACTGCGAAGAACGAGCTTGTTACGATCTGGCGGAGGGGTAACGTCTACGAATCGGCTCTGCTCGGCGTCCTGGAGATAAATTCCCTTCGGTACAATCCACGATAGCTGCTTCACAATCGCCTGAACTTCAGGAAGACTTGCGCCCTTGGCGTTTTGAAGATGCTCGAATAGTAGAGCTATATCCTCCGACGAGGTCTCAGACTGCAGACCCTGAATGATACGGGAGAGTATCTTTGTGGTGACTTCGTATTTGAGGCGTTCATCTCTGGGGGTAATGGACTCTTGTATCTTCGTATTTAGTAGTCGGGAGATAGCCTGCATGATTGTTCGAGCGTCCGTCGCATCGACACACCACGTCCATATACGCACAAACAATGGAAGCGTACAGTCGGTTTCGTCGTACAAGGAGCTATCGAGAACTTGGGATCAGCCAATATGAACTCGTTGAAGATCCGGGCGAATAAAAGAAAAAAATGACTATTGAACTATTACTTTTCAAAGTCCTGATCTTCGAACTCTTCTGTTTGGACCAGGGAGAGGAAGATGCGAGCGAGTACCGCTCTGTCGATGCTGTCCGCGTTTTTGACTTCGGCAAGCAAGCTAGGGTCATTCCAAATCTGCATGCACATGGGATTCAGAGAATGTCGAAGGGTGAAACCTGCAATGCATTGAAATAGGAGGGAAGCTCTTACTCGGTTGATCATTGACCTCCAATGCTCCTTCAGCGAAGCTGCTATGACACATGTTGCAGCATCGGCGGGTTCGCTATTGAGCATGGGCTTTTGTAAGACCAAGAGGGGCACAAGAACCCCAGTCCACATCTGTTTAAAGATGTTATCCCTTGGAAAGAGCGGTTGACGATACGGAAGCTACGTAAATAACGACTCCGAGGGGTAGAGAGGCACGTACTGGCATTTGTCGAACACCCGGATACTCTATAATGGCACGACAGACCCTGTTCGCGATACCATGGTCTACCAGCTGATACCATGACGGCCTCTGCTCCTCTTGCGCTTGTAAAATGGCTTTCATCATATCGCTGCAATCCTGGAATGGTTTCTAATATGAGCACCGAGAAATATAGTACCGTTGGGGAACAACAGGTATGTTTCACGAAGGGGGAAAAACTAGAGACTAACCTCTTGGTTATCCCTCCACCGATTCAGATCACGAGGTGATCTGTAGTCGATGATGGAAAGGATACGAGCAGGTTCCAACTCTAAAAATTTATTCCGAGTTCGAGGCATGGCACAGGGGCGCTGACTAGTCCAAGAGTGGATAACGATTCAATTTCGTGGAGCCTGAGAAGGCTAACAATATACCTAGTCGGAGCTGAAACCGCGAGGTAATACAATCAGGGTAATGCGGGCATCCAGATGTGTTGTACCGAAGAAAGGGTAGGATGACTACCGAGCCGACGGTGGTGTCGAAAACGAAGTCGAATATTTTCTCACATGCCGGCCACAATCCTCGCCACAATGTACCGGCAACTGCCGAAAGCTCAGAACAGCTCAGAACATGGTCGAATCCTCGAGCTGTTCTCCTCAATTGATTCGTGCCACATACACCCGCCTGGCACCACGGCTCATATCGATGTCGTTATGGAAACCCTGCATTGTTCTTGCCGCGGAAGGCTCTCATCCTTACGATGATCCGCGATCAGATCAGGCAATCGGTCAAACGATCGTCCATTATAGGACTGGTGCCGGCTGCGGGACACAGAGTGTAGTCGTGGGAGAACGGGGCCGTTTTCCTTTGTTCTCTTGCATATATAAGAGCATCGACTGTATCAGCCTTTTAGTCTTGACCATCACGTTGGGTTTTGGCTTTTGATTCCCCTCGCAAACCTCCCACAATATACACTGTCATCGCACCGTTATACCATCCACCTTCAACAACATCATGACTTCCCGTCCTCTGGCCAACTCCGATGTGGCCGAAATACTCAGGCTACTCTCCATCGACACACCACCAGAGATGAAGTCTCATGGGATCGAATCTACTGAGGGGGCTGTTGTCGACTTAACATTACATGAACTTCCCTGCGCACGTCGTGTCACACCAACGACGTCTTGTCCTAACAAGAGTAAATTCTTATGCTCTAGCTGCCGTCTGGTAGCTTATTGCTGTATGGTGCGTGACTATCCATTGGCTCAGTTCAATTTTGCACAAAGCTTACATGGTATGAACAGGATTGTCAGAAGAAAGATTGGAAAGAACACAAGGCTGGTGAGTGTTTTTCGTCGTGCTGACATCTTCAATGACTCTGACGAGTTGTATGGAACCTTCTCGCAGCATGCAAGAGCGAGATGCGCGTTCCAGGTTGGCTTCCCGCTTGGGAGGTCTTTCTGCATGAGCCAGAGTGGAACTCTGCCTCAGAATGGCCGGCTCAACTTGTCGAGGAGCCGAAGAAGAATGGACTTGAATTGTGAGTATTTCTCATTCCTTATTTGCAGTGTCAATGATAATGAACCTCTGGTCATCCTAGATGGAGTACGTTTCCTGCTTACGACGTCCTTAATATTACCGATAATGAGGGAACCGCCAAGGATTTCGATATCGCCTTTCCTGGTCCGTTTCTTCTTATATCGGTTTGAGAGTCGCACTCACTTTGGTCATGTCTAGCATCGGGAGATCTGCGAAATGTCATCCGCACTGTCAACGAGCTGCCTTCTTCCTACTCTGGTTCGTTGAACATCACACTTGGCGACAAAGATCCGCACATAGTCATCCGCAACCTTCTCATTCTCGCTCTCCTGGGGAAGCCTGACATGTCGCGCTGTGTCGACACGGCCCTCCACATCTGGTACTCTTCCGTGATTCCCATCTCTTACGGACTAGAGGCGGCGCTGATGTTGAAGAGCTTGATGACGAACAACCAATCTGCGCCTTATAAGGTGACAAAGACCTCCACGATTCTTGGCGGGAGGACTTTCGCTCTATCAAAGTTTGCCAGCGAGTTTCACAGGAATATGCACGAGGCGGCGGAAACGATGCTGAACATGGTAAACGTTTCGTGAGTACAAATTACTACGCGTGATTTCTCCTCTTTTATTATGGCTTACCGCCATGTTTCTTTCACAACAGCCTCTCGTTATCACGTATTGATTACCAGGATATGGCATACGCAAAACTTGAGTCGTCGCACAGGGTCGCGCTTCACAAGTATAAATCCACGGGGATCCTGGTTCCCTTTGGGACAATTCCCGTCCGATTCGATTACACGAACAAGTACCTCTTCTCCCCTGAAGGAAAGTGGCTTCAAAACGGCATGGCAAACCCGCTATACTCTTGGGAGTGAGTACTGTTATTTTCATCTACAGTCGAAATATACAATTCTCATGACGTATATAGCATCAACGCAGTGATCGAGTCAGGCAAAGCTCGTGGCGTACCCCGCGAAGACCTCTATGGCTGCCTCTACTTTCATGTCTCCTCCCAACTCTCCGAATTCGCCTCTCGCCTCCGCCGGTTTAAGATCACTTTCAAGCTCTACCATGGCGAGGCTTCCGCCCTTGCGAAGGCTATCTCTTCCCCGGCCGGATTGCCTGAGCTCCAACTCGGGAAGAAGACTAGGTTCGATAGGATCGACACCGGCAATTTGATCGACGAGGAGTACTTGGGATTAAAGAAGGTTCTAACAGAATGGGGACCGCTCTTGAAGGAGAAGCAGAATAACGACAAGGCGACGTTGATTGCGACTTCACTGAATTGGGCGACTAGGGTTGGCGGAGCAGCACCGACGAAGAGTGAAGCTGAGGCATTGATGAAGAAACTCATAAAAGACGGCAGGGTACGGTTCGTTCTATATATCCAGGCCTTCTATCTCATGAAACATGTTCCCCGCAGATTCCGGGTCCTCCTTCCGGACCTAACGCTTCGATGGAACAGCGCACTGGTATGCGCATATAGAGTCTCATCCCAGGGCATGACGTTGACGCTTCTTCTGAACAGCATACAAGGCCAAGCTACCCGCGTTCCGTGGCTCAGTCACTTCAATGTACGACAATTCGGCCGCTTTTGCCAAGTACCTCCGCACCCAAGGCTTGGAAGATGCTATGAGTTCCTCAAAACTGAAGATAAAGCAGCGACATACAGTCGTGCCTCATGTGAGCCATCAGTTATTGTGCTGTTCCCTGTGTATACTCACTGATGGTGTTGCGTTCAACAGCGTTTGTATGCGCCACCTGATGCTACTCCCAGTGCGCTGCCCGAGTTCAAGGATAATGAGGATTGGTACTTGAAGGTATGTGACTATTCTCAGCGACCTCGTCGTTAGCTGATCAAATATGTTCTGTGTTCTTCGATTAGACGAGTCCTACTGGTATTCGGTGGACAGAGCGGTTCTTAGAGTTCACGCGAGGATAAAGACGATATTGAAAAAATCCGATTTGCGGGAGGAAAAGGATATCAGGTGGTTTACATAAGTATGATTGTCAGTTATAGGATGCCGTTCACTTGCCAGTAAATACTACGGAGTGGGATTAACATACTGAGGAGCGACCCAATCAATCCGAGTCACTCCAGTCATCGAGAGCACCACCCTTCGTCCTCTGTAAACAAACACATCGTCAGTGAGAAGGTATATGTAACACGGAGGAGCGATCGTACGGTAAGGGTCTGCTAGGCTGCGTCACCAATTTGTCTTCCTCCATGTATGCCTCATCATCCAACAGCTCCTCCCGAAAGATTTTCCTAACCCCAGCTTCGAAGTGAGCCTTCGACTTCTCGAAAACCTTTCCGGCAGACCTGTTCTTCATAGGATGCACTTCTGCCCTTACTTCTGCAATCCTAAGCGTTGTGTCTAATCCAAGATTGATCCTCTCCTCGACGGTGGGGAGATTGTCCCGCATACACAGAGTAGTGTAACCTTCGAGGAGCCACGATGAGACGTGGTATCGTTTTCCTAGGACTACCATTGAGATCGGACACGACTTGTCCATGAGTGTATAACACTGAGTGATGGCTTTCGTGCGGATGGCGGCGCATGTCCACATCGTCGAGAGCTTGAGAGCGGAGGTCCATTCTTCGAGTGTAAGAGTCATACTCTCGGTCAACGGTCTACCAGGTAAATCAACCCTGGTAAGTGCTGCTTACCGTACACATTGCGGTATGGAGTGTACTTACTGCGGAAATATTACTTTGAGAAAGCTCTGGAAATCAAAGGCGCTGATCCCGGAAAGACGGATGGGGTTCTTCTCCGAGGAACCCTCCCGAGTACCTCCCTGCTCCACTGGAAGAGCGAACATCGTATTGAAAGGGCCGCCTTTGACCTCTTTCAGTCCATGCTCGGGAACACTGAATAGTTCGTCTTCAACCTGGGTCAAAGGGAAGCATACAGTGTCATGGAATATTGAGTCAGTGATGTTAAGTAATGCTTGTCGCAGTTCAGTGACGACAAGAGCAAATTGACTGACAAGGAGGATGGCTGGCCTGAAATAGAAGTTCTCGTTTCGGGTGGGCATCGGTATATCTCAAGTTTTGAGCTGTTTGGTGGTGGAGGTCAAGCTCTTAGACGTAGGGAATAGGGAGTAAGCCTGTGCGCTATTGTGAGATGATCGGAAGATAGCTGAGCGTGTTAGTCTCGCACGCCACAGAAATAAATAACATCTATCATGAAAACTTGAGCGTAATCTGTACTCGAGCGATATAAGATAGTTTTCTGCAAAATTTCACCCTGATTCCACTACCCGTTGTGAAGACGTCGACAGTACAGTAGAGCAAGCTGAGTGCGAGAATCCCAACGGAAGCAGGCATGCAGGATCAGATGGCGTATTCGTTTGAATATTTGGTCGACTAGCTCAGGACCCAAGGACAGAGCCCACATATCAACACTATCCGAGGCGGAAGGTAAGGCTGCGCATGCGGCATGAATCGACTTTTTCCTACTTTCAAAAAGGCAAATTCAGCCGGGGCCGTTCTGAATCTGCGCCACAGTCGCGCCTCGACTTTTCCTCCCTTGTCGTTCTTTCACTCTGACAGTATCCGGCCCCAGAGATCTGACTATCCATACTTGATATCACAATAACGTCTCAAAATTGCGTCCTACAATCCAGTTCAACATCACGGCGTCCACACCAACTCGTCAACAACTCGGAGTCACCGTCAGCTACTACAACGCCAATCTCCTACTGCTGATATATTTGATCTGGAGGATATGTCCTCTCAAGTAGGCTATAAGCGCGAATAAGAATAATGTCAGTTTGATATCGAAAGAGGCCGAGTGACAAGAAGGACGGCGAAGTCGGCGACTAGGAGGAGCAACATTGCCCATAATGAGAAACAAGGTATTTCGTTACTCACGCAACAGCCAGCGCAGTCGCCACTACAGTTCTATAAAGTCAGAGCATCTGTTAGAGTGGATATAAAATATATCCACATGAAGTACGAAGACTTACGTCGGGGCAGCCGCAGCCGGGAGGGTCCTCGCAGCACTGTTCACGAAAATGCAGAGCGTGAGTAAGTCATTATGCGTCGTCTTGAAGACTTCGTTGAGTACTACGTACGTCCTGCCTGGAGATGAGCTCTCCACGCTTGTTCACGGTAGTTCCCCAGCTGTCACCGGGAGACGCAGCAACAGCAGCCACAAGGGCCGTGATGCAGAAGAGAATAGAGAACCGCATTGCAAAGAAGACTTCAGAGGGCTGTGTGTAGATGAGTTGGAGAGGTAAAACGGCTGGGGTTCGATGGAGGTTCTTGGGGCGGGAGACGAGGTAGCTTTTATACAATTCTGGGAGATGAAAGCTGTGTCGGATGGGTTTCGGATTTTGGGAGAGACGTCAGCGAGAAGGGCGGATATGACGTCTGGGGAACAACTTTGCTGATCCATCTCGAGCGATAGAGTACGGATCACCCGTGAGTGGTGAAGGTTTTGAATACGATCAGCCCGACTCGGTGCGCTCGATGGAGACGAAGATGCGAAATTACTAGAGTGTGGGGAACGCGGCAGCCCCATGTGAGGAGAGAAAGGCGCTGGTTAGATCAGCGCCGACGGCAAAGTATGAAGCCAACGAATCCAACACGTTCGCAACGCACCTTCTTTTGTACAGAACGCGGTCTCATATTTGTAACTAGAAGCAGCAACAAACAATAAATCTGGTGGGATGGGTACACTTCTGGCCGTCACTACCCGTTGATACAACCTTTCAAGTGTGTCTCCTGTTGGTGCGGCCGCCGTGCTGCGAAAGATGCAACGGATGCTATTTAAATCCATGTAAGGTCAACCCTGAAACTCGCCCGTTTCTAAAATCGTCACATGAGGGTGATGTTGGAGTGATGCCCCACCCGCTGGTCAAAATTCCAAGGTGCGGATAAAGGAGCAGTTATATTACAGCTCAAGCCATGGATCGTGTCCGAAAGGTAAATGCTCTTGATGCTCATGTGAAGAAGGGAGTCGAGTTTGAGAGTCTGTCTCGAAGTAGTTAGTCCGCTTTGGAGAGAACAAATGGTAAAAGCGGCGAGCAGAGCTTCAGAGGATGTGCGTAATACATCGTGCAGATGTAGCTCCTCCGAAGCTACCAGCACTTCTCCTATCACCATTGTAGATTCGGAGTCGAGGATGGCCCATGGTAACCGCAATGATGAAACGAAAAGTATGATCGAGTTGACGGGTGAGAGGCAAAGTCGTCGGTGCTATAGTGATAGACTGCTTCCAGGTGAGGGAAGGAATACCAACGCATCAATGAGGTCAGCGCACGGATCGTGTGCATAAGAAAGAATAAGTAGATATCGGAGGGGATGTGGGTCTTCATGGTCGACACGACCACCAGGGAACATCATAAGATTCGGCATCCGCAGTGTCAGAAACAGAAGGTCAACGCGTCGCGATAAGCACGTAGTGAGTTTATCAAGATGAAAATGTCCCTCTGCTATTGCTTAGAGCTCGTAAGTGGATGAGGCTATGTGGAAAGCGATCCTCGCAGAAAGGCCTAGACGAGTCCCAGTTCGTCCTAAGCTAACTTAGGGGCAAACATAATACAATTGCAGAGAGTGAGGTAGTATCGTCAGCATCGAAGAAGCTCGAAGCTCGAGACACCCTGAAGCTTGTCGCGGCAGTGTCGTCGCGATGTCCCCGAGAGAGGAAGTAACACAACAGAGTGTAGAAGGCTGCTTTGTTGGACAGATGAAGTGGCACCGTCGTTCAGCGGCAACCGTGGGTGCAAAAACATCTGATATATGATATCTCCATTTCACAGAGTATGGAGTTTCCTGATATGACATGTAGCATTGCTGTGAATCCAGTCTCGTACAGAGAAAGCCACGTACGAATGGCCTGTATGAGCAGCTCGATACTGGTGAATGGAATATGGAGACACGACTAGAGAGAATGTTCAGCGAGACAATACACCAAGAGCAGCAGATCGTCGAGAGAACTAGCGGATTGAATGAACTATCCGAGGGCCTAGTAGGATATCGCTGTTGGAAAAACAGAATAAAAGATGTTGCTGACTCGGATCTCCAACTTGAACAGAGAGCGCGCCTGCCACGGAGAGGTCACTGCTTGCGTAGCAGTACTCCACGCCATATGGGAATCGTTCAGGGTTATACATGCAGACCATATTGAGCGCAAAGAACGAGAACGACAGGGACCTACAGATGAATGAAGGCTCTGAAGAGGATGGTCGTGAGTCGTGACGTCAACAACATCTCGGAGAAAGTCGGTTCCCACGCTCACCGATCTGGCCTTTCTCCCTTCAGTAAGAACTCGTGTTTGGGCGTCTATTCTGGTTCCACGATCCTTCGAGCATCCGGTGCTTGCGCGGGACACAGAGCGAAACTAGCAGAGCACGGTAAGACACTCGTCGCTATTTAGCATTTGTTTGGGACGGAGCTGATCGTTGATTACATCGAAGGCATTTCTCCTCATAAATTTGGGGTCAATCTGGGGTCCCGACTTCCCATATCGTCCGAGTCATCGCTCTCGCGCCAGCAACTACTTATCTCAAAGTTTTCTGTTACGATTGTACTGTCCCTCCTTGTTATTTGTGCAACGCTTTCTTACTGAAACTCGTCTTTGGTAGGATAATGGGAGGAAAACGTATTCCCCCTGAAATCTGGGCCGAAACGTTTCTCTGCGTTGTGGAATCGTGCGCCGACGGATTTCCGAAGCTTCACCCAAACCAAGCTCCTCTCCTACTCACTCAAGTCTGTCGGGCCTGGAGAGACATCGCGCTGACGACACGTCACCTTTGGACGCATCTGGATATCCCGCGTACCGACGACGACCGTTTCATCCCTATACTTCATAAATACATCTCGCTATCATCGCCTTTGCCACTCACATTCACTGTCGATCTCTTTTCCGGCGAACCCACATCCGCGATTATAGAGTTCATGTATGTCGGCGTCCTTTGCATCCACTCGGAGCGCTGGAAAGATGTACAATTCCGTCTACGCCATGATAAATCCGTCGAGGCCCTCACGTCCCACATCTCCAGCAAGTTCAGAGTCGCTGATAGACCCGACTTTTCGTCTTTGCAACCCATGCTGGAAGCATTCGAGCTGGAGGTGCCGTATGCTGCTCACGACAAGGCAATTTTCGAAGTCAAAGATGACGCTGCTCCCCACGTCTTGTTTCTCTCGGGCCTCAAATCGTGCTCAAGACTGCGTAGCCTCACGATCATCAATTGGATCCCACTCCTCACCTTCCCACAGAACGCCCTTCCGACCACTCTTCACCATCTTTCTGTCAGATATCTTCTGGAGCATCCTTTATATCCGGAAAAAGTAACCTGTTGGCTGCGTAATCTCCCCTCGCTTTCATCGCTCGACTTCAACATCCCTCATCTCACGACCGTGTGGATGACCGACGATTGGCCATATAACCCTCCCCGGCCGGAGACGCTTGACTATTCTTTCCCCGCCATTCGCTCACTCTCTATCGCTGCAACGGACCACGTAGCTATGAACTACCTCCTCTCACACCTCCCTGTGCCCAATCTTCACTCATTGCGCCTCACCGTCATCAATGACTGGAGTTCCCCTGCAGCCTTCATTGAGACGTGTAGATACCTGCTGAAGCAGTGCGCGTCTTCACTTGAAACCCTCGAGCTTTGCGGGTATCAAAGAGGTCTCAGTGACGAGGAGCTGGTGATGAGCATTACGAAAAGGATACCTGGCCTAAAATCGCTCGTTATTCGGCGGGCTCGATGCATCGACGAGCCAGTCTACGAAGAGATATTCCAGTCCCTCACTATCGACGCTTCAGATGGTCCGGATGGACGCCCTCTATCTGCCGCGAACTGCGAACTTGAGCGCATCTACTTCGACACTTGGCTACTACCGCCCAGTCCGATGTTCAGAAACGCTCTCGAAGATGGGCTGTTACCCTATCACATCGAGAGGTTCGAGGATCTGTTTATCGCCATGGCGGATATGGTCCTTTCGCGGTCTGTAGATGGTCCGAAGGCTCGACGGGTCTCGCTCGAGCTTGGTCCGATAATAATGAAGGTGTATAAGGAGTGCTATCCGGAGTGGAAGGCGTCGACTCAAGAACGGTGGGAGATGGTCACAGGAACAGTTTGGGAAGCCCAGGATAGCACTCCATGGTCTTCAATTCTTGAAGGTAAGCGACTACACTCGCCCTACGCCCTGACTGTCCGTTATATTCGACGTGAAGGGAATCGTTTACTGATATACCCACCCTGCAATAGCTTGCACAGACCAATACGGTAGTCCAGTCACGTGACCACCCCCAAATCCGTCGATTGTACCCAAATCGTACCCTTCCTCACATTTCGCTTTGATCATCGCCCCGTACGATTATTTGGTAGCACCTAAGAATCCTACATGCTTTACCTGATATATTTCCCCAGTCATAACATTCGACCCATCCCTACGGGTCTGTCTAAGCGTCTGAATTGCGTAAATGCACGAGTTCATAAAAATCTATAAAATTGCCTCACAACGCCTGCTATCCTCCCTGTTTTCTTAGATCCATCCCTACCCGCGATTCACAGTCCCATCAAAACAAGTCGACCCTCCCCGTCCTCCCTCTAATGACAGCCACCACCTTGCCCTCGAACGCAGTCAACTCTCCGCCTTCCGTCGCTACCAACTCCGGCAACCTCACGCTCTCCTTGACGATCGCATCGCCGCCAAGAAGTTTCTCAAGATTGGTGGACGCGAGAGCGAGGGCTTGGGACTTGGAGATCTGGCCGTCGGCTTCGAGGGCAGCCTACATTTGAGAGAGAACATAAGCTTCGGGGAATTAGTTCAGACAATAGAGGGCGAAATGTACCCAACCGACGTCAAACCTCGCGTTCCTCGCAGCCCAGCTACCTTCGCACCCGATCCCAACCGTCACGTTGTTTTTCACCAAGAGCGAAATCTCACTATCCTTGCTCAACGGCGGGCCAGGAAGCCTTCAAAGAGAAATGTATGTTAGTACGGCCAGTCCTCCATTAGCACGACCACCTCCTAAGAAAAAAACAGAAAAATCAACGCACAATCTCTTCATCTCCCAAACCTTCGGGAACGGTCTACTCGGCACGAAAATCACACCCACGCCCGCCTCTCCCAACTCCTTCGCAAGCAGATGCGCCTCAGTAGCGCCTGTGATGGTCAATTGGAGCGAGATGGACGATTTGCTTTCTATCTCGGCTTTGAGAGCGATGAGGGTCGCGATGATGTCTGCACTGTGGGCTTCGACGACGAGCGGTATCTTTTCCTATTGAACGGCAATAAATATAACGGAATTCGATTTGACGATCGACAGCCAAAGTGTCAAGAACGAATACGTACTTTGACCACGTCGACATAAATCCCCTTCCCATCAATCCCATCCACCAATCCCTTCCTCAGCACCCCAATCTGTGTACTCACGCTCGGCCCTGCCTTCCCGAAATGTCTCACCGCGACATGCAAGCCTACGTCCTCTTGGATGACAGCTCCGTCCTCGAGTTTGTGGGAGGCACCGAGGGAGAAGAGCGTGCTGAGGCCGGAGGTGAAGCTTGAGGAAGTGGGAGCTGTGATGGCGCGGGTTGTTCCGGAACGGTAGGCGAGCCTGGTGATAGATCGCCGTGTCAGAAAATCGGCGGAAGAGTCGAACGTAAAAGAGAGGAGATAGAAACATACAAAGCATCCCGAGTCTCAAACTGCAGCCCATCTACGGCTCTGATCACGGCTTCCTTTCCCTCACCCAACGCACTCGGCAAATCACCCTTCAAAGGCTCCAGAACGGTTCCGTCCACCGTCGACGCCTCGCCGGAGATCTCTTGGAGGCCAAGTTGAGAACCAAAAGAGAGAAGAGCGGGAGAGATGGAGCCGCCTTTGAGGTCTACTTCGCGGACGTGGACGTTAGGAGAAGAGAGGGCGCCGAGTGAGCAAGTGGTTATATCGCCGTAGCAGAGAACAGTTCCGTTCTGGACGATGACGCTTCCGTAGTGCTCGCTCCCTACGGACTCAGCACTGAACATCTCCTGTACCTCCACTTCTCCGTTCTGACCCACGCCCGGCATCCAGACGCTTTCAACCCCCTTGAACACGATAACTTCCTCTACATTACCCTCACTCTTCAGTTTCTCAGCCGGTCCCAAGGGCGGTAAACCCTCGAACTCGATCGCCTTCTTGATTTCGTCCTCGAAGTCGGGGACTTCGGGTACGGTCTGGAAAGTAGGCGAGTCCTTGGTGTGTGAAGTGAATGGAGATGCGAGTTGAGCGATTCCGTCGATGTAGACTTGGGCTGGGGTAGCTCCGAGAGCGAGAGGGTGAGAGTCCCAGACTACCAAGTCTGGTGCGGGATTGGATGAGACGATGTTCAAGGTTAATTTCGTGTGAGGGAGCTTGAGATATACGTTCAAATGTACGCACCAGCATCGTAGCCTACACCACCGAGGATTGAAAGAAGAAGGTACTGTCAGTGACGGAGAAGCTTGACGAAACGAAGAAGAGGAGTGTCACAGACCTTCCCTAACATATCCAATCCGGTGATCCATTCCAATCGTCTTCGCCGCAGAAGTAGTCACCGAGCTCAACGCCAAATTATCCGCAAGACCATACTATCTCGCAACCAGTCAGTCGACATTGAAGTAGCGATGTATACGGTGGCGAAAGGGAGAACGTACATAATGAGCTTGCTGGGCTTCATATAACAGGTACCTCGAATTCAAGACCGAGTGATCACTCTAGAGGACCAAGTTCGTTTCGTTATGTCATTGCGGATAATGATATTGAAGACAAACCTTCATGACCACTGTCAGTCCGTTGTCAGACAAAATCCTCGCCGCGAATTCAGATCCGCGGTAGGCCTCCCGTTTATACCTATATAAATAATGCAAGAGGGTGTAACAGGTTTAGAGCCATAATCTCCATTGCGGGAATGTGGGTGTAAAGTAGCAAGAATGATGAGAACTAACCTGGCATTAGCAGCGAAGATAGCAACAGAGGGCGGATGTCCTGATTACAAATCCAAAGAATAAAGTTAGAAGGGACGCGTATGACGGAATTTACCCAAGCAGAGCCGATTACACAGATCAATAGGAAGGTGGGGTCGTGAATGAGACGTACCGTAAGCTTTCTTGAGGACTTCCGGGACAAGGTACGCTTCATGTGCGTGATGTACCGCCGCGAGGGAGAACTTGAACTCGTTCGTGAGCTATAGAAAATCCAAATCAACAGCGGTGCTCAGTCTGAGTCTTGCGAACCAATGACGAAGGGAACTCGTCGTCGAGAGTACGTACCCTAATCAAATCGTCCAAATCCACCGCTTCATAGCAATGAGCTTGTACCTAAACGTCAAAAAGTATCAGTCAGTCGCATTGTTCTCCGTATCGGTTCCGATTGAAGTAAAACGGCGACATACCCTGACCCGTCCCCTCAAGACATCCACCAATGCATCCCACTGCAGATCATCCGGGAACTCGCCAAGATCCGTCCATTCTCCAGAAAGGGCTTTACTACAGAAAGCATCTTGCTTTTCTTTGAGTTGACGCGCGGTGTCGTATCTGTGTGAGAGACACAACTGAGTGAGTGCGAGCTCGCGTTTGCGATTCGGAGGGCGCGTTATAGTTATGATGTCAGTGGGAGGATTGTGTGGCGGGGTGTGGCGTAGGAATAAACGCGCAGAAGCAGTAAAAATTGATTAGAACAGACAATTGTTCGAAGTGGCTCATCGGAAGCCCTCGACAAGCGAGTGAGCCTTCCTATCAGTGGGAATGCTACCTATCTCGATAGCAAGAGACTCGAAACCTCGCTTTCGCGGTAGGTATACGGGTGTAGGTGCCTCGATGGGCCGCTCCGACGAACTTCAATGAATAGTGAGGAGAAACGTACGCTTTGCGGAAAGCCCAGAAGGTGTCCATACGAGTTCCGGAGTATACACGACCTAAAAAAAGACCCCTCAGAACCACTGTGGGGGTATCGTAAGAAAAATGTCAAGCGTACTTGGGTTCTCGCCTGACCAGAGGAGCTTGACAGGTAAGTAGTATATTTGGAGTAGATTGAATAGACACTGTCTTACCGCATGCATGCCTATAGTAAAATACGTATCAGCGACCCACATCCGTTTACTCACAACGTAAGAGACGAGAAGAAAGCAGAGACTCACTTCATCTGCCTCCAATGTCCACTCCATTCCTCGCCCTCTCTCGTATCCCTATACGTCCCGTTAAGATCCGCAGGAGGCTCCAATAACATCGCCGTCGGACTCCTCTCCTTCGTCTCCCTCAACTTTATCGCGAATGCTTGGCCTCCAATCGCGTTCGCGCTACCAGGAAGAACGAGAGCGGTGGTAATGCCGCCAGAGATAGAGAGCGGGTATGAATCGTCGTGGGTATTGAGGCCGTCGATGGAACGAAGCCAGGGTAAAGTGAGGCCTGCATGCGAGTTTCCGTCTGACGCACCGGAGAGTGCAGGGGCGGGATAGTCGCCGAGATGAGAGTGCGAGTCGACGATACTGGACACGAAAACCATGGATTAGTGCGTTGGGCATGTAATGGATACGGGAGGACTCACCCAGGTGTGACCCAAGCCCCATCAACGTCTACAATCTCGATACCTCCGCTCTTCACCAGCTCCCTGATCTCCTTCGCGAACCTCTTTCCTCCCAAACCCGGTGCGATACTCTTGATGATCCCCTTATCCACGAAAATATCGCCCTCCACTACCTCCGTCCCGTTTGCTCCACCAGTCCATATCTTCGCATTCTTTAACAGCGTGGGTTTCGTACCGGGTACGAAACGATCCGAAGTCGAACGGGAGTAGAACGAAGGAGATGGACCGGGCGTACGCGAGAGGTCGCGACACCGCGAAAGGGTCTTCTCGGCATGGATAGGGACGCGAACAGTGTGTTGTTGGTGACCGCTGAAGAAGGCCGAACTCGAATTGAAGATCGTAAAATGAAGACAAGCGAGGAGGATGAGAGGACCGAGAAGTCGGAAAGCCTTCGAGCGAGGTCGCCTCCGCTTCGTTTGGCCTTGCTGGAGAGTCCTTTCGTCAACATCAGTGCCTTCGTAGATGGTCGCGAGCCTGGAGGTCTTCAGATCGCGAGCCATGACTGGAGGACACCGCAGGCGGAAGAGACAGTGGGTCAACGCAAGAAATGATGTAGTATTATATAGCGCACCTTCCCACTCTGCTGTCGTCGTGTTATCGCGCGCGTGCCTGCTGATATGGTGCTATCTGTCCAAGCTCGAGCTTGAGTGCAGGGGAGTATTGCTGCCGACGTGGAAGAGAAACTGGCTTTGAGTGCATGGGGAATAAGTAATTTTGAACACTCGTCGGAGAATTGGGTCATAATCAAAGCCAACGAACAGAAGGGATAATAATCGCAGGAGAAGCGCGACAAAGCGAGTGCAAGAACTAAGTAAACAGGGGCTGAGAAATAGTCGGGTTCCGCTTACCGGCCGGGAACGTCCGGTGAACTCGTTCTGGCGTGAGTATGTAGATGTGGATGTGGCGACGAGGTTTGAAAAAAAAGGAAACGCAAACAATCGGTACCTCGACAAGAAAAGGATCAATAAACATGAATTAGGGTGTAAAATATATACTACAACTGTCAACCGCACACTCTAAAGTACTCGAAGCCGACTCACGATGGAGAACAATCCTGTGTGTCCAAAGAGGGTGGCGTACGTAGTTCGATATAGAGGCTAGGCGCAGACGAATCGTGTATCATAAGACCTGTCTGATATCTTCCAAAACTGAGAAGAATTAGAAACGGGGCGAGCAAATGAATGGGTACCACCGCAGGAGGACAGCAAAAGAACGCATCCTGTCTCGTGGAAGACGGACTACACCCTCCTCTGAGTTTTCAATCCCCGCACAGCGCACCTTCTCATCAAAATCTTCTCTCAAGCCATCAATCTCCCCATCCTTACCTTTCTACTTCAATCTTCACCCTTCACCCCTTGCTCAAGGCCCTCCTCATGTTACTGAGTTGCATAGTCGTTGACATCATGCATCCTACTCGAAGTCAAAGTCGAAATCTTCGTCCAAGGTCCTTTCGACAAGTGTACTGACGGAAAAGGACATCAATACACCAGGCTCCTACATTGAATGAATAGAGATCAAAAACACTCACAATCGACTAAATTTGTCCTCGATAGCACCCACCAATCCTAGCTCCCCGGGAGATGGACCTCGTGAGTATATGTCGATGACTCCAAATAAGCCGATAGTGGCAATCCATTGCCGGTCAGGTGAAATAGCTGAATACTCCAGAATTAGACCATCTCGCTCGGACCATCGTCGAATTTCCCCATCCATACATGCGTACAGTGCACATTCCCCAAACCAAACGAACTCGTCGAAAGATCCCGCTTGGAGTGAAGTCGGCAATCGATTTCCACTCTCCACATTCCATATGCTTAGTTCATCTTCATTGGCTCCTGCAATGAATTTATCATCATGGGAGAAGTGAAGGTCGAAACTCAAATGCTTGGTTTTCTCCAAAGAGCAGACGCGACGCCCGGAGTCTCCATCCCATATCAAGATCTCATCTCTTTCGTCCCTCGAGATGACTTTGCTGCCATCAGATGAGAACGCAACGGACATGACCCATCCCATATGCCCTTTCAACTCGAACAGCTGTTCGCTTGTCTGTGCATCCCAGATGCGGACTGTACAATCGTCAGAGCCAGAGACAATACGTCGGTCATCTGATGAGAATGCGACACAGCCAATCGAGCCAGTATGGCCTTTCAGTGGACCAAGAACGGTCTCGCCGTTCTCGACGTTCCACACTCTGATTGTGCGGTCCTCTGAACCAGAAGCGAGGAGCTTCCCATTGTGGGAGAATGCGAGGCAGAGAACGCAATCGGTTCGTCCACGGAACACTTTCTGCAAATTCCAGTCGCCGGCAGGCGACCAGTCTTTGAATATATCGCGAGGAGCGGCAACGGCGGCGTTGGATGAGGTAGAGCGGGTATCGATGGAGGATGAATTGTGGGATCCGATGGGATGTGGTGATGAGTTTTGGTCCGCGTGTGAGTCGTCCATGATTTGGGGCAGAGTCGGCATACTATATGCGGAGGTTTGCACGTAGGACGACTGGACTGGAGGATGACTGTGGGTATCGAACGGATAACCTATGGACGAGGAAGTGTCGATGTATGCATGTCGGTTCGTGAGATCCGGGAATGTTTGATGGAGCTGAAATGCTTCGATGGTTCCTTCGAGTCAAATTCAGTCAATACAGGTCTATTCCCCGAGTAATTTCACGAGATATAAGGTAGAATTCCGACATACGAGGTGCAGTCATATATTGCGCCGGCCACTGAAGAGAAACATCAGATTTAAATTCCAAGAGGACTGCGATAAATAATGACATACCTCATTTATGTGACTTACGTAGCTCGGATAGTTACAAGATGTATCAACATCCGTTCCGATGAACTGGAAGGATGCTTCGTCAAACGTAGTCTGCTGCACCGTATATGATGGCTGGGGTACCCTGTCTGGCGACGCGACAATGTCTGGGGATCGGACGCCATCGGACGCAGCGGCGATAGGGTTCACGTCGAGCCCTTCGCGCCTTGGCTCAACTGGCATAGCTTCGATATCGTCGTGGTCAGTCGCACCAAGTACCGGAGGGCTATAAAATCAGGGAAATGGAGGTGAGATCCTGTCGCCACATCCGGATGGTGGACGTACACGAATGGGATGAAGTCTGCAGGGACGGTCTGTCCTGCTTGGATCCCAACGCGAGAACTCTCCGAATTAGCTTCATCCGCCATTGCAGTGTACTTCTCATTCAGAGCCTCGTCCGCCAACACCTCCTTAATGACCGCATTGTACCTCTTCCATCTCTCCGACTGGGTCATGCCCTCATCCTTGACCCTCGCAGACAAGTCCCTCCAAGCCTGCTGAACCTTCTCGTCGTGAATCTTGGCCATATCTCGGGCATTTTTCGAGCGGTGGCGTTTGTTGGGTTTCGAGGCTAAACGTATGGACGAGGTCTGAGGCTGCTTGGCAGCATGTCTGGCTAAGACAGATGTTTGATGGTTCTGTATCCATCGGGTAATTCTCTGTAAAAGTAATCCAGTTTATCAGTGTCCACACCGATTGTAGAGAGAGAGAGTAACGCGCCTTTGGGTATTTGCTTCCATCTCGTCATCATTTCCACGTCTGTTTCGACCTGACCGTCTCGCTTCATGTACGGGACGCAAGGAAATTCGTGTTGAAAGTCCGCAACAATTGATTTCTTGTCGATATTGTGCAAGTTCCCTTGATCGGCGATGATGCGGCGCTCGAGCCACGCTTCCTCTTTCTGAAGCCATCTAAATAATGTCTGGTGGATGATCGATTTATGATGACATCATGAGTATACTTTCACGGAACAAGAAACCAGGTATACCTCACCGGATTACTAGACATTTTGGATGGCGGCACGCGTTAGACTCGACAAACGTTGAAGGAAGAGCTGAGTACAAGATGAGTGTGAGCGTGAGTTTCAGAGGTGCGGAGAGTCGCTGCTAGAAACAAAGCGAGCAAGAACAGGCTTTATATGCATGCAGACGTGCCAAAATAACTGGGCGCCGGTCGCGGGCGTGCTGATGTCACACCCACGATGCACAGCATAACCAAGTCATGTCCTTCCATTCCGTATTCGTTTCATAGTCGGGCAGCCTATACGAGGCTGTTATACGCACGGGTGAACAGGTGCTCTGCACCCGTGTAGCCAGTGTAATTGTACTTTAGCGCCACATCAGGGGGTCATAGAGTGTAACAGCCGCGGGTCGTATTGCAATCTAGAGCGTAGTGCGTTCAAGAACCTTGGTGATAAGTGGAAAGGACATTAGACCACTACCTGGAGCTGCGAGACAGAACTAGGGGGCAATTCACGCATGGGGTATCTATACTTGCCCAGACACAGTCGGACAACGGGTCGATCGAATATTACAACACAGCCGTAGTGTTAGACAACGAGAAGCGGGAACATCAACGCACATCGTGAGCTGCATGAGCTTCACGCAGACTATACTGCGAATTCAAGATCGCGTGGTCGCTCGAAAGAATTGAACGTGCTACTGAGTGCCGCATGCATCGTGGAGAGAGTCAAAGACACCTTCACGACCAACGTAGACTCGTTATGCGTTTTGGAAGCGTACTGGGAACCTTGGTGTGCTTCGGGTTTATATCTGCAGAATAATCAGAACGGCAACGTATAGTACGGCATGCATATCTCTGCGCACAAGCACAAGGCCGCGGAAAGTGAGAGTAGGGGAAGATGACGAACGTAGTCTAAGTGTTAAGCTGATATAGCGACCAAGGGCAGATATCCTATACACTGATGCAAGGGAGTATGAGCGAGATGGCGACATCGGGAAAGGCGTGTGTGTGGTTGTGTGACTTAGGGGGTCAATGAGTCGGAGCAAGATCACGGCAGGCAAACGTAGGAGTGGTTGGTTGAGGTGCTGGGGAGAACGGCGAAGTAGCAGTCACCGGGTTGGGAGCAGGAGCACAGGATGCTATGTACTAAGGCGGAGATTGAGGTTTAGGGACCTTCGATAAATATCAAGGAAAGTACTCACCTATGTGTGACCCAGCCTCCAGCGGAGTCCTGGCTTTCGACACTACTCTCTTCGTCGACTCTCACGTCTATGTCGACGGTAAGTCCATCCCTCTTACGCATCAGCTATGGCAAACCTCCTTACCCACGAGGTGATAGCGCTTGACCATCTCCGACCCGTCCAGCTAACTCATACATGTGTTTGCAATCTTCGACAGCATATATTTTGCCCAAGATGAATATCGATAGGATGCGATTGCGAGTAGAATGATAGAGAGGAGACCGCTATATGGGGTGGATCACGGCAGCGCCGAAATGTTATCTAAGGCCGTGAAGTGAAGGCATGCGAGCAGGATGAGGGAGTCGTGGACGTTTAGGATCACAACTGTGTATGTTCGCGTCTGCGATCACCTTTCTCGTGAACCTGTCCGTACCACCCTTTGCCGGTCGTCGAGTCCGGAGTCCTTCAGGTCAAGGGACATCGTATAGGTCGATGACTGTGAAATAACAGAGCGCGCGTTTTCTCGGTCAAGACGGTACCACACCAAAGAGCTGGCAAAGAGAAGATAAGAACGAAGGGCCCAGTGACTGTTCGCGATGGCAGCACCGGGGCCGGGAACTAATCTCGGATGCGGGCTTGGTTTCATCCGCGCACCCACACACTCTTTCCAACGCGTTTTCACGTTGTACTTGGTGATGTACCACTACCCACCACGAGTACGAGCGCTCTCAAGATGGGAGACGACGAACGGAGACATACCTGACGGGATTTGACTTTGTAACCAGATTTCCAACCCTGCCTTCCGTCTTCGCTCGACCTCGTTCTTCACTACTCTGTCGCCTCCTTTTCGTAGTACGAATCATGCATCTACGTTTGATGTCATCGATTTTGCACTCCTGTGAAGGTTCGTAAGTTTTTTTGCGCGTTATACTAGCGGCGTGTTAGAAACTGGAGGAGGCGGATATATACAGTGCGGAAGGTGCCGTTCGGTAGGTTTGGTGGGGGAACATGTCAGCAAATCGCCTACCGCGCAATCTGATTCGATTTAGTCCAGAGGTGCCCAGTGAGTATCTTGTCCACTGAGGGTGAACACAAAGATGGTGACCCTATCGCGCATAAGTGAGTGGTGAAGGTGGAGCGTATCATCTACGGGAACTATAAAGCGCGATATATGCGGATTGTGCAGCATCGGCGGAAACGTAGGAGGGATCCGTATTTGTGTAACAGGAGGAAGGGAACGTACACCGGCGCAGCGATGTTGGGACCATGTAACTGTGGGGTGGCGAGGCGGTAGACGTATTCGGATCGGTCTATGTCGAGGTGGGAGTGCGAATCGGCGATACTTCATACGAAGAACTCGTGTATTGGTACAGTGGGCTTTCAATAAATGTATGCTTACTCACCGAGGTAGTATGACCCAAACCTCAGCAACCCCTACCATCTCCATGCCTTCACTCTTCACCAGCTCTCTCATCTCCTACGAGAACCTCTTTCCTGCCAAACCCTGTGCGATACTCTTGATGATCCCCTTGTAATGAAAATATCACCCTATACCACCTCCGTCCTGTCCGATCGAAACGTCCATGTCTTTGCATTCTTCAATAGTGTAGGTTTCATGCCAGAAGCGAGACGATCCTACGTCGAACGAGTGTAGGACGAAGGCGAAGGAAGGATGTACGCGAAAGGTCCCGACAGCGCGCACTACCCTGGCCTTTCTCGAGTGTCCTTTCGTCAACGCCCATGCCTTCATGGATGATCGTTGAGCGAGGTCTCTCCGGTTTGTGAGCCATGGTTGTAGGCCTGGAAAGATGGTAGCTTTACGATGTGCAATCAAACAGTTCACTTTCTCCAAAGAAAGTGCTATCAGACTAAGAAACCGACGAACAGAAAGGCTCATAATTGCAGAAGTACATAGAAGCGAGACAAAGTGGGTGTGCGACGACAAAACCGAACAAAGACTGAAAAGGCGAAATACTCGGGCTCGGCGGAGGTGCCGTTCGGCGACGTCCGGTCAATGTTGTTGTGGCGTGAGCATGTAGATGTGGCGAGGACCGAAGCAAAAACAAACAGACAAACAGACAAACAGACAAACAGGAAGTGCAAACCAATCGGCACGTAGGTGTAGGCGAAACCAAGATCAGTGGCAGAGAATTATGGAAACATAAGATAAATTGTCTGACAATCGCACACCCTAAAAGTACCCGAAGCAGACGCGCGATGGAGAACAACCCTGTCTGGTCAAAGAGGATTGCGTATGTAGTTCAATGTGGGGGCCGGGGGAAGAGAAACAGTGTACCATAATACCGGTCTGATATCTACGAGAACGGCGAAGAATGAAGAGCAGGGCTATCGAAGAAATAAACACCACAGAAGAACAACAAATGAGAGCATATTATCTCCTGGAAGACGGGCCACACGGTATCCTCTCGGTTTTCAATCCCCTGCACATTGCTTCTTCTCGTCCGGAATTTCTCGCAAGCCATCCATCTCCCCATGCGCACCCCTCCGTGTCCAGCTTTGCCCTTCATCCCTTCTGCAAGGCCTTACTCAAGTGACTGAATAGAGCATTCGTCATATCATGCATCGTACTCGAAATCGGCCTGAGAGTCGAGATCTTCGTCCTCCGAGTCGCGGTCTTCGACGAGTTTACTAAAAGGAAAGTCCATTAATACCTCTAGCTCCTATATTGAATGAACAGAGAACAAAAACACTCACAATCGACGCCATATGTCCATGATATCGTCCTCCGATGCCAATTCTTCGGGAGATGGATCTCGTGAGTATAGGTAGATAACACTTTCGACGCCGGGACTGGCAATCCATTTCCGGTCAGGCGAAATAGCTGAACCATCATACAGGATTGAGGCCTCTCTGGTGAACCATCGGTGGATTTCCCCATCCATACAGGCATACAGTGCACATTCCCCAAACCAAACGAGATCGTCGAAAGATCCTGCTTGGAGTGAGGTCGGCACTCGTTTTCCACTCTCCATATCCCAGATGACGAGTTCACCTTGGCGCATCCCTGCGAGGAATTTATCATCGGCGGAGAAGCAAAAGTCATAGGGAAGAAGTTCTGTTTTTTCTAAACAGCGAACGCAACGCGTCGACTTCACATCCCATATCAAGATGGCCTTTTCGACGTCGCTCGAGACGACTTTGCTGCTATCAGATGAGAACGCAACGCAACAGTGGATATAGTCCTTATGCTCTTTGAACTCGAGCAACTGTTCGCCTGTCTGTGCATCCCAGATGCGGACCGTACAATCGGTAGAGCCAGAGACAATATGTTGGTCATCTGGGGAGAATGCGACAGAGAGAACACAGTCCGTGTGCTCTTTCAGTGGACCAAGAACGGTCTCGCCGGTATCGACGTTCCACACTCTGATTGTGCGGTCCGATGAACCAGAAGCGAGTAGCTTCCCATCGTGGGAGAATGCAAGGCAGGATATGGACATGTAATTGGTATGCACACAGAACACTTTCTGCGCATGCCAGTCGCCGGCGGGCGACCAGCCTTTGAATCTATCGCGAGGAGCAGCGACGACGGCGTTCGATGATGTGGAGTGATTGTCGTGGGAGGATGGAATGCGAGGTACGATGCTACGTCGTAGAGAGCTCTGGTCCGTGCGTGAGTTATCCACGACTTCGGGAGAAGGTGGCGGGTTATATGCGGCTGACTGAGAATGCGGCTGTTGGATTGCAGAATTGTCAGGAGTGTTGTTGGAATTTCTCATGGAGATACTTGTGTCAATGGAAGTGTAGTCGTTTCGAATATACGAATATGTTTCCTGTGACGTATCTGCGAGCCCTTGCGTCAAGATATTAGTCAAAGCGATCACCGTTTTGGTGAGTTGGAGAGCCTCAACGTACGTAGCGAAGCCCCGTATTGCGGCTGTTGAGGTTGAAGGTTGGCATACGTGTTCCCGTAGGCCAGTTCGCTTGCTTGATTGGCTCCCATGCTGCTGCCGAAGTTTATGCCGTACCAATGGGGGTCGATATCCATGGCGGAAAAGGATTGGGACGGAGCTGCCCAAGATGTAGTTGGTGTAAAGGTTGCCGACATGCTCAGGTAGGACGAGGACGAGGTCGTGACGGTCTGATGGGATGCCTGTACTGGGGGCATTTCAACTGATTCGCCGACAAGCATAGCGTCTGTACCGCCACGCTGTTCCGGAACAGGTGTGTCAGGGCTAAAAGATAGCAGCACAATTGGGTCAAGACTTAATCGTAGTCGAGTCAACTCGCGTAGTAAACAAGACAAACCGATACTGGATAACGGTAAAAGTACCGGATGCAGTGCCAACATCAGATCCACCTCTATCTCTAACGCAGGGTTTCTCGAGATTCGCCAGCAAGGCCATAGCGGTATACTTCGCACTCGCCGCATCGTCTTTGAGAAGTTCGGATATGGCCTCGTTATACCGCTTAAACTTCGCGGAGTCGGTGATTTCCTTCCTCTTCACCCGAGCGCAGAGCTCGCCCCACATCCTTCGAATGTCGGGATCATGAGCCTTCGCCATGTCTTTCGCATTCTTCGAGCGTGGGCGTTTGTCGGGCTTGATCGCCAGGCGTTTCATCGAGGTTTGAGGCTTTCCGCGAGCATGCTTGTCGAGAATAGCTTTCTGGTGGTTCTTAATCCATTTATTCAACCTCTGCAATCGCCATGATCAATACCACTCATGGAGTCGAGCGCATGTGTTACGCACCTTGGGTATCTGTTCCCACCGAGTAATCATCTCTACTACGCTCTCAGCAGAACCGTCAGGCTTCTCTCGAGGCTTGCAAGGGAAGTAGTCTTGGAAGTCTCCGACGATAGTCTTAACCCGGTCAGAACAAAAATTTCCATGGTCGGCTATAATACGGTTCTCGAGCCATTCCTCTTCTTCTTGAAGCCATCGGAAGTTGCGTGGCTATAGGTGATCGATGACCATCAGCGAGATTGGATCGAGTATCAAGAGGGATGACATTTACCTCGTTGGGGCCAGAAAATTTGAGCGTATTGGAACCAGCCATAACAGGGATTAAGGCAAGGGTGTAGTCTGGAGTTCGGTAGACGGGAATAATGCGCGGAAGCAGAACGCTGGACCTGAGTGGCGAACGTCAAGACAGACCCATCCTGATCTTATATGTCAGTGCCAGAACCTAAAATAGACAACACGCTGGTTGGTGCGAGTAGACATGTAGCGCTTTGAGCACAGCAGCGGAAACAATCAACTGCTGTAAGCGCTCTCCTATCTGAGCGAAGCCGGATGCCCTGGTTCTCCGACGCACTCATGACTTATGGACCGTTGCAACGTGATTATTGATTTAGCGTAGTCGGATACCCTGGTCGGATTGACTGGCCGGCCAAACGCTGAAGTGACTTCGGCGTGGGGAGACATTCCCACAGGACGTCTACAGGAATGGAGAGACGGCACGAAGAGGACCAGGGAGACGGTTCAGATCGCAAGGAGGCTGATGCATTTGATGTCCCCTCGGCCAAGCGAGGCAAGAGAGCCAGACGGGAGGTAATACTTATCCAAGTACTTTCATGCTCCGTTGTACCCCATGCCCCTCCCGTGTTGGTGGTCTGCGTCGATACCAACGTTGAGGACTCCTTCCGATCATCATTTCAATGCAGTCTGAATTTAAAGGGCCATTCTTCCCTCAAAGGCGTCTACGGGTGAACGCAACTGAATGGGAAGCAAAATTCACTCCGCCCCATTCTTTGCACAATCATCGCGAGCGGAACAAGGATCAGTGAGATAGAGTACACCACGGGCAATCGGGAGCACGATCAAGATGGTGGGCGAGCAAGAGCGGATAAACATAGCACCAGACCGTAATTACAACGGATGCCGAGTGATTTGAGTTTGCGATGAACATCCTAGGCGGTGTTGAATCGTCAGCAAGATATGGGCATGAGCTACGCTGGCGGTACATGCCTCGTGACAAGGCGAGGAATCGATGTCGCATATGGCTGCGCATGGTCATTGGTGACTGTGACAGAGTTATCGGTGGAGAGTGGCATGCGTGTAGGAGATCGATATCACTGTGCGAGAAAGTCAAGGACGGAAGTATGAGGTCGGAAGGGAGGGAGTGAATGGATATCGTACTCGTTACTCACCAGACCCGTCTTACTTTGTCAATAATTGGTCTCGTCTGCGCACCTATACCCTATTTCTAACGCATTCTTGCACTGTACTTGATGACCTACCGGCACTAGCCACCAGTATGAGACTAATTGAGACGGAGACGACGAACGGACACGAACGGTGCATACCTGCTTAGAGTTCCCTTCTTACTCGTATTGCCCGCCCTTCCTTCCATCTTCATTCGTCCTGGCCCCTCACTAGCCCGCCGCCTCCTTTTCGTAGTACGAGCTACGCATATATGTTTGATGTCCTCGATGTCGGCATTTCGGTGAAGGCTCGTAAGTTTCTCTAAGCGCTGTACCGGCGGCGGTCCAGAAGCTGAAGAAGGCGGATTTATACAGTGGGAATGTGCGGTTTGGTATATCTGGTGGGTGGTCATGTCGTGATTTGGACAATGCGAGGTAGGCGGGGGAGAAAGCAAGGAAAGACGAGGGGTATGGGTAAAGGATATTGTGGATTCGTAAGGCAGTGAGATGACAGCGAATAGGGCATCAGACTCACTTTCATGGCTGATATGTTTCCCTACATTCAACAGCACATTTCAAGACTTTGAGAATCACAGGGCACTGGTTCACTAAATGTAAGCCATGGACGATGATAAACCGAGGTGGACTGTGAGGCATGGACGGAAACGTAGGAAGGACCTGCATTGGTGGAATAGGAAGAGGAGGTCCACCGGCGCAATGATGTTGAGCGCATGTTACTCTGGAGTGGCACAGCGGTTAACGTATTCGGATGAGCATAGAAGAAGGTTGAATGGAAAACGACGAGAGGCTGCTTCCGTTAAGATCTAGTGGGAGGGCTTGAAGAGGTGATGGTGGTCGGAGCGAAAGAGTGACTGACGACTTAGCGCCGGCGCCGACTCCTGGATGTGTGGCGTGTGGCGCCTTCAGGCTACCCGAGTTGAGTACTGGCATCAACGTTGGTTTTATCAGCACAGTATGAGTTTTGCCATTATTATATTCACATGCCTCAACGTGCTGCACAATGTGGTAAAGCTACGAAATATCTTACCCATATAAGTACTATGACAAAGTCAAGGTAGGCTACCACGCTGGGTTACTGCTGAGGTTAGCGTGAATTCTCCACCACCCACTTTTTTTCCTTCTTCGAGTAACGAGTCATCCAGCTCTTAGTTTAGAATCTCTTATGTGGAATAACATATATCTTATGGCGTATTTAAGGAAGGAAATCTGCTTGAGTAGCACATAAATCAACAAATACCCCGCCGGGAGCGTTATCGTCTTCGTACATCCAACGTACACTGTCTGATGCCACCAAGGCCGATACAAGAGCACCGTCGCCTTTATGTACCATTTCGCTCGTTTTATCTAGTACACAACTTGTACATCCCGTCTCGACCGCTTTTGTTCAGTATCGCTATCTCTCGCATACATGGGTGTGAAGTCCGAGATGTAACACGCCTATGTGCCACGATCATCTTCAGGCTCGTACATTGAAGGTATACTATCAGGAGTAGTCGGCCATATTCTACATGTGAAGTAATCTGCCACCAAAGAGTAGATGTGAAAAAATCTTCCACCAAAGTGTATCGTACAAAACTCAAAAATCTTCTTCAAACGTTGGTAGGCCACCAGAAACAACTAGATACTGGTGCCTCCTTGATCATGAACTAGACGATTCTGTTCGAGAGCAACAGCGTTAACAGAAGCATAAACCAGTCAGTGCGATAGTCAAACAGCACACTAATCCGCCTATATTACATCGGAATGTCCACGAGAGGAGCATGGTCTGTGTAAAATAGAGCGTACCTAATCCTCCAGAGCCAGATACGCCATCTGAGCGTCGTAAAACATGGAGTCTGCCCAAGTCTCAATCGACCAATCCATCCCGCTTGTAGTCGCGTTAGACGTGTCTGAGCGCATTCGCAAGTTATTCCGCGTGTCGAGATCGAATTTTGTGAACGCAGTGAATATCGTGGGGGGTCGTTTGAAGTGGCACGGAAAACGGATGTGGCCTGAATTGCTGCTTTTTGTCGTCGTTTTACTTCCGAAGCTTCCAGCGCATATTCCGTCCTTGTTGGCCGGGAAAGCAATCCACGTTACCCAACAGCCGTGAAGCTCTGTGTCCCCCCACTTCTCCACGTTGATCTGGAACCCAGTCCTGCTGACGTTGGTGGCGGTAACCGAAAGACGAGGGACTTTGCCGACGTCGAATCCGCACATGCCTACAAAGACGACAGGATATGAGTCATAGCGCCAGTCGAAGGCAACCCAATCTGACGACTCCTGACTGCAGTGATACACGCCAGTACGAATGTCGGGATCACACGCGGGTAGCTTCAACCAGGAGAGTACACCGTTGTACACAACGGAATCTCCCCAAGTAGCAATATGGGCCATGAAATGACCCTCGCCGATGTTGTCGGTATATCCGTGTATACGAAAGCAGTGAGTTATATGCATATCAAGATAATTCAAGCCGACGGCAATGCGAGGAGAGATGGCATCCTTGTGAGACAGGTTGATCGTGCTTGAATGTGATGCGCCAGCCTTGCCCTCCGACCAGTGTTTCGTTGTCCTATACTCTCCGATGACGCTGCGAAGAGGTTTTTCGGATTTCCACGCTAGGATATTGTACTGTTGCTTCTCATATTGAGCACCATCGTACGCGATGTGGGCTGACACGGAATGAAAAGTATAACAGGTGAATATGACGCCGAGAAATTATAGGCGTCAGAATGAGTACCAACCTAGTTCGCCTTCTTTCACGTTTCCGCAATGAATTCCATCCTGATGAAAAGCCTGGACGACATACATGAGCTCCCCGGTATCGTCTCCGCCAGCACTGTCGACGTCATATCGGGAGTTATTAGTCTTAGTGCTTTCAACATAGCGATGTAAGCAAAAATAATTACAGCAAGGGCTTGAAACCAGAAATCTTGTGCAGCGCGAATTCTCCCTCGACTCTGAGCCAACGGACTGAGGTTGTATCTCCTGTGAGTATTTCGTGTAAAGAAAGCTATTGAATTGATATAATTTGTGTCGTCAGTGAAGCGTAGTAGTTGGAAGATATTACTCATAATCACCGTCTCTTCTTCCCCGTTACAAGCGAATCGTACTTGTGAAGCGTCGCCGATGATTTCACCGGGGTCTATCCGGCAAGATAGTTAGACCACGCATGACATTATTCCCTGCATCACTTACATGCCCCACCCTGACGATGCATGTCGAAGTTTCAGTGACTGTGGCCAAAGGTAAAAAGGCAAAGCATCATGTAACGAACGTTTTTATAACCACGGCCAATCCAGATAGGTGTCCCATCCGCCTCTACCCCACCTTGGATCTTGGTCCTCGCTCGAGCTTCGGGAAAATTATGGGACCAGATCTAGGACATGGTCGTAAAACATGGCGAGAACAAGAGTAGGAGGGTGTGTGTGAAACGCGACTAACCCATTTGACTTTCTCCTCTGGACGACCGAACAAGCCATGTACATGGTCCAAGACGATCGGTGCATCAGTCTACACAATTCACAGCTCGTTATATGGCACATACAAGAAAAATATGGAAGAAAAATAACACACCCGTTGATGGTTCCAATGAGCCTTTCTGTTCTCTTCGAACGCATTGAGAGTGCAGTACTTCGGACTCCAATCGCTCGTAAATGCGTCCTGTACAATATTCGCAGAGATCATCTTATAGTCGAGGGTCAACGTATCCGGTGCAAACTTCCAGCTTTCATGGAAGTTGGTGTCTGGAGTGATGTCTCCGCTTTCTAGGCGCTGTTCAGCATGGATCATTCGCCTCGCCATCCAAGAGGATTCGATGTATGCATTGTGCGGCTGGGGCGCTCCCCAAGGCTCGGGATGAGGCTGGCTGCTCCTGATGATAACGCCTGTGTTGACCTCGAAGAGATCGTGGTCGATGATCTCTCCCTGTATAGCGATATGCTCAGTTGTGAAATGTCTGCTAAGTTGTGGTAATCAAGAAACATACCACCATCCAGAACAAGGCAATATCGGCGAGTTCATGGCGCTCATAAGAGCCCCCCACGTCGCTATGTGCTCCAGGAAACCATACCTATACCAGTACCTGATAATCAGCATGACTAGAGTAGAATTGGGTATGCAACCCCCTGACCTCCTTTAGAACCTGGTTCGCACCAAGTCCGTTCTCCGGAGTCGTCCACAGCGTGGGCCTAAACTCCCTCCGATTTTCTTGAAGAGACACCGCATGAAGAGCGACGTCGATGTTGGATGGGAGGTCTGTATCCTTTATGCGCAGTGCCTCTATCTGGTTATATGCTGCTCCAGCTGTATCCCAAAAGCCAACACATCTGAAAGTATTATTATAGCATCAGTCAATACACATCGGACCATGACTGGAATTCACCTGATCCTTGGCTTCCTGGTGCCGACAGGTACAGGATGGATTTTTCCCGTATGAAGCGCGCCCCAGATACTGAAGAATACACCAAGATTCTCCGTCTCTAGTAATCCGATCTTGTCCTACAACGTAGATATATTTCAAGTTAGTGAAGATGAATTAAAAACCGTGAATATATGCGTACGATCAGTTCCAATGTCTTTCTCAGAATGTATGCACCCCTTCATTTAAGGCGTGAATGTATGGTCTACACAGGGGTGAGAATATCTGGTAGCTCACCTCGAGAAGCTATGAGTAGAGGTATATCAGCATCAGTAAGAGGCGAAATTGTGGAGACATCCACGCACCCGAACATAAAGATCTCATCGCCCTCCTCGTAATTCTGCGCCAGAAATGCATAGACATCCCTGATCTTACTAGCTGTGTACATCGGATGAAAGCCGTCAATCATTTGTACTTAAGGATTGTAATGGAATCCCTACCGACTGCGACACCTTGATCTTCTGTTGAAACGATGTATAAATCAGGAACATTCAATCGATTGAGACGGTTCAAGATTAAACCCACTTAGCTTGGCATCGTCTCCAACAAATTCTCCTAAGAAGTTCGCTTCAGGTTGCACACCGCTTTGATAGAATACGATTTGCAGCATTCCAGTCCTGACAGCGCGTAGTCGACATTTAAATACATCTACGAAAAATAATAAGGACAAGGAAGTGGACGCACTTGGTATCTTGAGATTTGAGGGCACGGGCTATTGTACAACAAAGATGTCAGACGAGGATGAGGAGGCGCGGTCAAGTAGAATTGATACTTGCAGAGACGAAGTACGTTCGTAATTCCCGCATTGGATGTGTCTGGTCAACGATTTAGTTCTGAAATAGTGATATGTCGATACAATACATATCGAGGAGTTTCCTCACTTTTGGTGTCTTCGACTCCATGAACAGGATGCTGAAGTTTGCTGGGCGCATCTTGATCGAAAATGCGAGAGTATCAGTGAGCGAGATTTTCAGCTGACATACAAGTACTGACCTGGAGTGATCAATCCATCATCATCACCAGTGGCATCGCAGAAGACAAAGAGACGTTGGTTATTGTGGATTACCCGCATGCTCTCGGAAACTGAGATGCAACAGGAGAGAGGAGGGAGCGCGAGGAAGGGATCGATGGTTTGACCTTAACCCGAGGATGTGCTTCCAAGGTCGACGACGTCATTATGCACCCAAATAGTTGCCTTCAGGGATACCATAGAACCTCATAGAACGTGCATTAGTTAAACAAGACATGCCGAAAGACAGTAAGTAACCTGCGACAGCCTGCGACGCATCACTAAAGCAGCAATCTTTTCGCGATTTTCTCTCAAGATTCCACGGTCTTGGTACGATAAATACCATCATATATACAATTTACATAGGTCGGCAGGCGTGTGAAAAAACAAACAAACTATAGTCCGGGTCCTCTCTTACTTGCTAGCTTGTTATAACTTAGCAGCACTGGGGGCTTTATTGATAGTAATTTTCGCGACCTTTCCTCGCCCTGAACTCGGGCTGAATGTACGGCAAATTCCGAATGCCACGTTGACTGAGTCTCGGCTACCAAGAGCTCTCAGCTTGCTCTCAGCTCAGTGCTCAAGCCTCCTCAGCTTTCGACACTGTTCGCAGTGGGTGCTCAGTTGGAGTGTTTGACACTGGATGAATTCATTCCTTTTTAAGCAATCAACGAAGTCTGTCCTTATCTCCATCCGCAACAAAGCTATCCGCGAGTCCTTCCGCCAGTTCCTTCGGTTCCTGTGGACAACATTGGAGTTTTTGTGCTGGTTGTTACGCCGCAGACCTGACGACTTAAGCACCCGTGCTCCAGTGAGTCTCTCTTTGTTCTTGAACAAGTCATGGTTCCGTCGCCCTGTCGACTACCCTTCTCGAGTGACGAGTCAGATTGGACCTCGGACCCGTAAGCGCCCACAACGTATAAATACGCGTCATTAACCACCCACTCGACGCGTTCGGGTCCGCCCCCTCTAGACTCGACTACTGTCCGTCCTTGACAGTTCATGTCACACATTGTTGGGAAGCTCGTTGGCTGGTGGGCTGGAGAACAAGAGCATACGACGCCTGACATGCCCCAGGTACGTTTCTGGGGCGCTATGTTCACCTGGCATATGGGATGACCGGGAGGTTGAGCTTCATCCTGACACGAACGTCCAGATGTATCCCAGCCCGTTCGACCCATCCATTACCCTCGACGATTCGGTATGCTCGAATAGTGCTCATATCCTTGATAAGTGCTGAAAAAGAGGCGTTGGCAGCGGTTCTCGCGTCGCAAGTCAAATGTATTGGATACACTGTTGCCACCGTCTAGCTCATCTGTGAGTGTACGTATCCGACGTTTTTGACCATTACTTACAGTGATGATCCATACCTGACACCAGCGTAAGTGTTCCTTCTTTCTCTACCAACCGCTGTGCAGTGGAGAGTTGATGTCGTTTTGTTGTACTAGGTCGCTCTACGGTCAGGGCTTCTCCTACACCTTCTCCCCCGACGAAGTCCTCGAAGTCAGGCTCTTCTTCTTCAGTCCGAGCGTACTCCTTCGAACCCAGCAGACAACCATCTTCGTTCGCTGACCGCAAGCCGGCACCCCACTCTTCTGCGACTACCACCTCCCAAAGTTCGCCACGATCGAGCGCTAAGCCTGATCCAGCGAAGTTCACTTTCAGCGACATGCCTCCCCCCTCCAGCGCAGCAAATCCTTTTGCGTTTGAATCCTCGGCCACGTTCTCGAAATCTACACCCAAGAAGGTATCTGTCTATCCGACCTCTGCATATGTGACTCCCGACGTCACCCCAGCTCGTCAACCCGCTCGCACCGCGCCCACGACTCCAGCTCCCTTCAGTACTTCGGTATCTTCCCAGTCTACTCCGCCTAGGCAAACCAATTCATCTGGAGCACGGACGTCATACCCTACTCCGGAGTCCAACCCTTTCAAGTTCGAGGCGAAGCACAAGGTCTCTTCCGCGCGTCCGAGAGATACGAAACCCATCCCCGCTCCTAACTTCACCACCACGAGCAACACCAGCTCCGGGACGTCGAACTATAACTCTGCGTCTCGGACGAAAGGGCGTAACGGAGGCTCGAAGTCCACGCATCTCACTTCGACAGTCTTCGAGGACTCGGATAAGGAAGACGAATACACCTCTTCGTCTACGCTAGTAGCCACTCCTAGTGAAGGAACACGCGCCTTCGGTCTTGCCTCGCCACCTACTTCTCCCGTTTCCTCTCGTCGGCTCGGCACGACCTCTGCCAGTGCTTCCCAGTATAGGTATCCTTCCTCCTCAGCTGCCAGTGCTGGGTCAGCATATCGTACTTCTCCTCGCACGTCCGCGACACCGAGCATGTCTGCATCTGAGCCGTCGTATACGTTCAAGAAGAGTGGAGAGAAGTTGAAGTCGTACCAAGCTAAGGATCTGGAGAGACTGGTAAAGAGGGAGAAGAGCGAGAATATACCGGGGGTAAACAGTAACGTTGGGACGCTGTTGGCTTATCAGATGGGGTATGTGATATTTTGCCTTTCCTGTCCGAGGAGGGGGGGCATGCGCTCATGTGATATCCTGCGGTGTGATTCAGACTTGGGAAGACTCCGGTCGCCATCGCACTCATATGTGCCCATCCTCTTTCTGGACCAACTTTGTATGTCTAAATTCATCTAGTGCCGTGTAGTCTGGTCATCGCTCGACGATCTCGGTTTGTTTGTGCTCCCTAGGGTTATCTGTCCGAATAAAGCAATGATCGATCAGTGGGTGGGAGAAGTGGCGAAGTTCGCCCCGGAGCTGAAAGTCGCCATTCACCATGGTCCAAAAAGATCCAAAGGTTGGCCAAATGCGACATATTCATGCACAGCGGCGCTAATCTCTCTGTCACATTTTTTGTGTACCGTAGATCCTCGGGTATTTGCAGACAGACATGTGGTGGTGAGATATCATTATCGCCATGCCCACTCTACCTAAGATGAACTGACCCCTTCTCGTAGATTACAACGTATAACCTTTTGTGGCGACAATACAAGGCACTCCAAGCGGACCTCCAACGTCTCAGAAGGGACGATTATCCTATGTGGAACGGGATGAAGTGGTGTCGCGTGATTCTGGGTATGTCACTCTTTCGATCCTAAAAAAATAACTACCATCTGAACTTGTGCAACATTTGAAGACGAGTCTCAGAATATGAAGAACTCGGCTACGTTGACTGCTGCCGCGTGTTGTGCTCTCGTGAAGGATCATGGGCTGTTGCTCAGCGCTACACCGGCTCAGGTTGGCCTTTTATACTGAGACTTGTGTGTAGGAATTCCGTTGACAAATTCTCGGTCGCATTTCCAGAATGCCTTGGAGGAGGATTTGAAGTCCACATGGCGGTTTCTCAATGTGCCGCTATCTGTTAGGTCCAGCGATGGTGAGACTCTCTCATATGTCCACATCCGGGATTTTGATTGATGAAATTTGCATCCCCATGCTCACAGTGGGTTCATTCCATGTTCTTTCTTCTTCCTACCATCTGACGATTTGTCCAGGCGCGTCTCTCTGAATATTTCATTCGTCGGAAAACGGACGTCCTACATGACCTTCCTGGTCTTCATGAACACACCATAAATCTCAGATTGACCCCGGTCGAGCAATCGGTATACGACTTCGTTACCGCCATGAGGTACCACAGTCTTGCCCGTATGACACGACAGAGTCAAGGTATATTCTTGCCCTAGCAATTAATGCGAATACGTCCCCGATCTGACATGACTTTTCGGTACAGTGACGAGTCACCCAGCGCTCATCAAGGGATCTCTTCGACAGCGTGGCGTTTCTGAACAGACTCTCGGAGGCGAGGAGGGCCCGTTTGACGTGGGGTTTGAGTCCACGAAGATCCAGGCCGTCATGGAGGTTTTGGAGGAGATTCGGCGTAGGCCGGGGAACGAAAAGACTATCGTTTTCGTACGCCTCTTCTTTCACTTCCCTATCAGCTCATTCTAAGCGTAAACTGGTTTTTTTTTTTCAGTGTCGATTCCTACTCACGTTGGATATCTTGTTCGACTTGTTGGAAACAAGAGGATATGGGTGCACCTTATGTAAGTTCATACGCTCCTTACCGGCGACTTCACTCATGAACAACTTCTTTCGAGGTAGATAACGGCGAGATAGGCGCTGCCGCACAGAATGCGGCGCTTGCTGAGATCGCGACAGACCCTCGTCGTACCGTTCTCTTGATGTCTATTGGCGCTGGCGGGGCAGGTCGGCATAGTCCTTCTCATCCTCGATCCGATTCTGTACACTTACTTCCCCCCCCTTTTTTTAGGACTGAATATCACGTCGTGCAACAATGTAATCATCACTGAACCGAACTGGAATCCCTACAGGGAGGTAAGAATGATCTTTATCCACTTTAGACCTATTTCTGGCTCATCATGGATCGAATACAGGAGCAAGCAGTCGGTCGGGCGCATAGGATCGGGCAGACGAAGGATGTTCATGTTTACAGTTTGGTCGCGGAACAGACGATCGACAGGCGTATCACTGAGGTACGGTCTCCCTCCCGCCATCCTTCATTTCACCCAAAACCTTTGAACTCGTTTGACGTGCCTCCCTTGCCCCTGCCCTTCCCTGGGAGCAGGTTCAGACGAAGAAGAGAAACAAGATCGATCCATATATGGAGCGGATGACTGCGATGACTCGTTGAAGGCGATTAAAGTCTAGGAGTACGTTACCGTTGATATGGAGAACAATTTTCTTGGACACCATTACTACTGATGGGACGAACACTTTTTGATAGTTTCTTGTACGCTGCTTACATGCAGACAGATCCTTCCGTTGCAATATACGATATATGCTTACCGGCTAACGATGTACGAAGACTCGGGGTCATCAAGGGACAACCGTTCAGAATGCTGCGTGACTTCACATCTCCGTCTCTCCGTCTTCACATTACTACATCACTGGCTTGGTCGACCTGATTATGTATATGTGCTAAGAGCACGGCTCATGCACCAAACGCACTGAGCTGATTGAGAATGAACGAAAGCGCCTGAGAACCATACTCCGCCGCATATCCCTCGTGGACTGCCTGATCATCCCCATTGCAGCAGAACGGGTCCGGAGCGTCGCAGAATGACTGAACCCGGCTCGCGAATGGGCACTGGAAACCAGCTGGACGTGGTGCGAACTATACATCACCAGATATGTATCAGTCTTGTGAAAGAGGGCAATGGATGGGCAGGAGTAAAGCCGATGAAGGGAGAAATAAAACTCGAACATACCCCTGAGGCCTCGCAAGTTCCGACGTTGAAACTTTCTCCGGGAATGCGACGAGGATCACCGAAGAAGATCGCAGCTGCTACTTTCGACTGGGCAGCAGTTGATATAGGAATAGCGGTGCTGGTAAGCCCTTCGTTGGTGTCCCCGCCTCCACAAAATCCGTCGTCGAAGATCTGACCTCCCTGCGGCGCATAATAACAAGGTCATCAGTGCCAAATAACTGTATACGTCGATCAAAACAGAGGTTATAATGGCACAAATGGAACTTACCTGGGAGTATCCAATGAGGACCAGTACCGTACTCGGACACTCTGTGTTGAAAGTGTTGACCTGACTAGCTACGGCATTCACACCGTCAATAACCGATTGCGCATAGCTGACGCCTCCGCAAGACGCCTGTCCGCCACAAGCAGGGTAGTTGATCACTTCCGATGTCGATCCAGGGACTGAGCTGAGGACCATGTCAACAACGGGACCTGCACTGCCGAAACCTGGCGGTGCGGTGGTCTCTCGTGCGCCGAAGACATGTACAGGCGGACACTGAGCTGCGGCAAGAGTTACGAGGGCACTTAGAAGCAAAAAGGAGGCAGTGGGGACAGTGAGCATGGCGGATCGAGACGGTGGACATTTGACTCCCATGTCGGCGACGGTTTTATACGTATCGTTTCTCTCAGTCGTGTGATGCGTTTGACGAGACATTTTGCTGGATTTACACATATTATTTTGCCTGAACAGTAAGCATCAAATTATGGTCATCAGATAAATTAGGTTACAATCCTACCGAGCTCGGTGCACGGTCGGAAATACCCTCTCGTATTGCAAGGGAAAATACGACGGCTAAAGGGATAGATGACGCGAAGGAGCACTGAAGCGCAGTCGTCATGGAACCAAATATCCTATTGTTGTCGCCGTCTCACAGATCGTTCGGCGAACCTGCTCTGAATGGACATCGGGAACAGTGTCCTGAATGTCTTCGATGGTTTGACCGCATGATCGTCTATCAATGATCGACGGGTGAAAGTATGTGTTTGTATATGAGGGTTCAATACTCACATGAGCCCCTTCGACAGAGATCGCTGACTTCACCCGGATGCAGTTAGAGCATGAGCAGCCTGTAGATATTCTTTTACGGTGGATGCTACAACCTCACAGGCGGCAGACCGCCAGAAGCTACAAATGCAGAGAGTCACACATATTTCTGTATGACGTATCGTGTGCTTTCTGGACATGGCACACTATTGCGGATGTAAAACAAGGACGAGTATGTCACACGTTCAGTGAGAGATTGATTTCACGCACCTTCATTCACTTGCACATGGACTAACAACATAGGTGTGGCCGCCGACTTGTAGTAACCGTGGAAGCCCATTGGTACCACTGAGATATTGTGGACGACATTAACTACAGGCGATGCGAAACGAGGCGACAATTATATCGCCCAATACACCAAATTGAGGTGCTGGCTTGCATCGTGACATACCGGAGTTCGACACAAGGAGTTGAGTGCTTCGAAAGAATGTGTATAGAGCGCGTCGAGCCAAGAAGTATGAACATGGACGAATTTAATGCGGAAGCCTACATGGAAATTCTGATTAAGGCGACACCTTTCTCATCCACTTCGGGATCATGCAAAATGCTGGTTATCGAGCCGTGGTCGTCCCAGCCCTCAGACTCTGCCAACTCCCTCTTCTCCTCTGTGAAAAGGCTCCAAACCTTCCATAAATTCGGTCCGAGCGAGAGTTATGAGAAGTGATGAACCATACGACTATTGGGGACGGAGAAGAGGTGCGACGAACGCGAGTGAATCAACTCCGTGATAGCCCATAGAAATCGTAGAAGAATCTGATGTCCTCCTTGTGCGACTCCGCCCGTTCGGCATCTGTGAGTCTCTCGAGTTCGCAGACCGCGGCATCTATGTGAAAGAAGTCTAGTACAACGTTCTGTCGGGGGAGGAGTTGTCCATCAGGTTGACAACGCAGGGTACCCAGCAGATCCTCAGTGTCTGTCGAGCTTAATATTTCGTAAAACTTTAAGCTCGTCAAGGCTAGCAGACCTTGTACCATCTCTCCTGGAGAGGTGAATGGCCTCTCGTAATAGGACATTATGAGAATATGCAGGCTATGGCCACATTGGCGAACAAGCTCTATGAATGCTGACGAGAAGGCACCATGATCAGAATCGTCATTGTTGATGTAAACGCGAATACTGTAGAGGTGTGGAAACTCAAATGATTTGAGGAGAGATGCGCACGCATTGTGGGTGGCTGAATATAGCTCGAGTGTGACAACATTCGGGAGGATAATTGGGTGTCTATCGCGGACGCGGCGATCAACAAATCCAAGAATGTTCAGCATCCATAGAGTCAAGCATGCAAGTGCTGTGCATCGCGAGACACTAGAAATGAACATATCGAGGCTGAATGACTCCAGCGAGCTATTGTATATCTCCAAGTCGAAGAGAGTAGGGGGAAGACAGTCCTTGTGAAACGACACAATGGGTCTCCAGTCCTTCACGCAAAGTGAAGTAAGCCTAGGGCACGTCGAGATAGCATCGAGGAATGATGCTGATCTGGTATCTGATTGTGCTCGGCAGGGGATCAGATAAGGAAAGCCATGTACGACTGAGAGCTCGCAGAGTCGGGTCGTTGGTGAACATGATCTCGAGGCGCGACCAGAGGCGAGGAGTATTGAGCGCTACGTTGCGCCACAGCTTCATATCATCGTAAACACGAGTGGAATGTTTCCAGGTCGGATCTGCAGAGGTGCGTCGCCATCGGGAAGACAGAGTGGCAGGAAGATGTTGCTCAGGATCTCGAACACTCGCAACTCCGGATCCGCCTCGGAGATGGCCGGAAGGGCAGTGCCACGTGGCGGAGGGCAATCCAACGACTCGCTCACAACTCTCATAAGTATCCCTCGAAGGCCGCCTCTCCTCTTGTGAGACGGTGTATACTTACACCATTGTCGAGTGGTTATCGGTTATCGTCTTCCTTGGTTAGTGTCTTCCCGCACTGGAATACTCTTCCTCCGAGTCTCCATCGTCTTTCCCTGAAATTCACTGGACAGCATCCATAACCATTCCATCCAACGCCGAGTCAACCTGCGAGCTCTTCTCGCAGACTTTTACCATGGTAGCTATTTTGGAGGGAATGGATTAAGCAGATGCTGCTGAAGCATGACTCCATTCGGATTGTATTTTTGTTTTTTCTCTTCATCCAGTCGCATTTTTGTCGCCTGAATAGCGTTAAGAATACTGTCTGTCGCTTTTCTTGGGCTTGCCATCTCCGTCTCGCTCTCTGATTTACAAATGTTGGTGCATTCAAAGTCGCAGTTTCTGATATCGCTTTTCTACGTATATTTGTGCTATGCTGACTACACTGTAGTCGCCCTCAAGCCTTCCTCCATAGCTTGAACTAGTGTGGCGGTGGCGTAAGGTATCCGAATAATGATGCCTTGACAGCGTATCGTCCTTTCCAAACCCAGCTCTAACTTTGTTCTGTTGCATGAGCTTTTATCCGGTACTTCTGGCACATCGGCGCTCGTATCTATGGCGATATATACACATCCTTGAGTTGGCGAAGTGCGCACCGCAGTCGAAGCCCTCCTTTCTTCAACTCGACGGGTGTCATCTTTCCCTCATCATTGGCTGTCCTTCACCTCGTGATTGATCTTCGTCTTCTCTTAGATTCTTATTTCGACTTATTTGCGCTACTTGTGGTGTGGACATAATATATAAGCCGGCCTAACACAACTCCCAATTCTTCACCTCGACCTAACTTTCCTTAGTGCCTCGACTCCCTCGAGATCGTCCCTCAGAATGCTGTCATCCGTCGCCGCTTTCTCTTTTCTTATGTTTCCGTTGGTTATTCTCGCTGAGAAGCATCATCTTCTTGTTTCTACCTTCTCCGTCGACAGCATCTACTCTGTCGAATTTGACGATGAATCTTTGACAATGTCTTTGATTGCTAATAACTCAGCAGCTGCGGCTGGTTGGATTACTACCAACGTGATTGACTTTGCATTCTTATGTATCCATCCTCTGACTTTTGCATCTTTGTTTCCAGTCTGCTCGCACCTTCATATACGCCGCTGCGTGGACAAGTCCCGGTCAAGTCGCCGCGTAAGTACTTTCTATGGGAGTCAGCACGCAGCCCGCGCAGCTCATATGTTTCTACGCAGTTATACCCTCAACAACAACTACACTATCAGCCTGCTCGATTCCATCGAGGGTTGTGACGCCAGCGGCAACCCTCTCTATGTCTCCCTACTCGAGGAGCAAAACATGATCTTATCCGCTGAAAGTACCTGCTCCCTCGTGTATGGAGTCGACCCCACGAATGGTTCCTTCACCTCTCAGATCCAAGTCGTCGACTATAACTCCTCATCATTCGTTCACGGAATCGACCCTACGCCCAATGGAAAGTTCGTCTTCGCCGCCGACATCGATCAGGATGCCGTCTGGGGCTTCTCTGTCGATGGGAATGGAACCCTTGTCTTGGGCGAGATCACTACAGCTCCTTCATCTTCTGATGGTCCTCGGCACGTCGCCTTCCACCCCAACAGCACCTATCTCTATGTCCTCGAGCAGAACGGCTGCAACGTCGACATTTACTCCATCGATAACTCCACCGGTGCTTTGACCTATACCAACCAGACCGTCGCCACCGTCCCTAGCGGTGCGTATTTATATCTATCTGTTAGCGTCAACTTATCTATATACTCATCCACACCGTGCGTAGCCAACTGCACCGGTTATTGGGCCGATGAAGTCCGTCTCTCCGCTGACGCCTCGATCTTGTATGCTTCCACTCGTGGTCGGGAATCTACCACGGACGGATTCGTCCAGGGCTATGCTCTTTCCTCCGATGGCGGCAGCTTTATCATTCCTTCGTCCGACCTCACAACAAGTACCACCCTCTTCTCCTACCAGACCACGACCTCCGGCAACTCTGCGAACGCTGTCAATCCCGCGCCTTCGACCATCGACGTCGGTGGGAAGTACTTCGTCGCGCTGACCGACTCCGAAATTGGTTTCCTCGCTATGCTCGAGTATTATCCCGGTAATGGCAGCATGGTCGAGGTTGCGAGGCTGTCGCTCGATGATGGTGGATGCTGCGCTGCGTCTGTTTGGCTCGATTAGATGCGCTGTTTCTGTCCGCCATCACGGCCCTTCTGCAAGCCCATGCACCTCTATGGGTTCCATACGTTTCTCAAGAGTGCCACATTTACCTGTTCATACGTACATACTTTATCATCGTCAATGTCCTCTTCCACGTAGCATAAATTCTATTTTCTCTTTCTATACTTTGGTCGGCCTCTTACTGTGACTTTGCGCTCACTCTTTTAATGCACATCTGCTCGACATCTTAGTTGAGGCATGAGTTTGATCGCCCATTCAGAAGAAAGCATATACCATGTCGAGAAACGAAAGAGAGTTCGCTTCAGAATTGGCGAAACCGACGTGAAGCCGCTTCGATGCGTAGCTGCGTGAGCGTCTCTTATATTATTCAGATACACTTACGGGTAGAAATACATATGCAAAGAACGGCATGGACATTAACAGGTGAAGAGAATCATGATCGCGATACATAATACAAGCCAAAGCTGGCTGCGAGGAACGAGAATCCGGAGAGTATTGGGACGCCATAGGTAACTGACGGAAGTGATGATCGTGGGACCTTTTTTCAGCCGCATGTATGACCTTCGACCAGTTCCTCAGTGGCTGAAGGTAATGCGGAACCTCAACCGACAGCACAAAGTCGGCTGGACCCAACTTACAGTCTGAATCACAAACGACCCCGGGTGGGCTCGGAAGTGTTGATCAGCGATCAAAGAGCTTATCATTTTGTGCCTGTCCAGCACATCGCAGCGCCTATTCCTGCGCGTTTGATTCTCGAACTGTTACCTCCTCGTCCGACTCTCCTTCCCATCTATTGACTAACATAACCACTCAGATACACCATTCAATCGCCCACAATTCTATGACTCTGGGTAACCACTGCTCACCTCTGTACACGCAACTCACAAGATTACATTACGGGGAGTGCCAGTGGGGTACGATGGTAAGTACTTTGCACACAGCATGTTTACTGATATGATGAAAGCATATGACTTTTATGTCGAAACAGGTGCGATCAAGGGGAATCAAGGAGGCAGAAGCGAAATGGAAGCCTGACGGTAGCGCTCAGGGGAGGATAAGCCAAGTAGCTACTCGCACAGTAGGCTGCTGCTACAACCACCCAAATATACAACTCACAGACCGTCCAGGCTTTCAAGGATAGCGAGCTGTTTTACGGAAATCTAGTTCTTCCACAGCAGGTCTAACAGAATTGCCTTTCGTATTCGCTCCGCTGGTCCTGTCTTTGAAACGCCGGACCTGCTCTCAATCTAGCCCTAAGGATTTACACAGCTTTAGCTTATGACTTGGCGAATATCACGATAGGCTTTCTTCTAAAGTATAGCGCAATGGTCATGATGCTACTATTCGGGTCAGGACAGGGGAATGCACTTTACCTCTTATACCTGTGTTCACTGCGTGGTACCATAATCACTTGTACTTTCTCCCTCTCTCAGGTCTCTTAGCACGACCATGGCCGACAATTCGTGTCCAGGATGGGATCCGAGGTACCCTCGGGACATACGGATTGCGATGCAATCAACGGTGGTAGATGGAGTATTTTATGGTGAGTAAATGTTCGCTATTGAGATGGCGGTTCTGGCGAAACGTTCACTGACTACTCTGCGCCTCATGCTCAATGTTCAGGTATATTTGCGTGTCTAATCATTATGTCTACGTATACATTGGTGTACGTCCACGTAAAGAATAACATCGCTTCGCTGACTTCCTTTATCTGCGGTTGATCAGCTCTCAAGGCTTGCGACAGTCGTATGCACGGATCATCCTCCTCGCGGTCACCATAAGCATGTTCGCTATATCGACCGCCCACCTTATCATCACGACACTCTCCTTCCTCATTCAATGGCCGTATATTTGTGCCACTGTCGCTCCAGATAGCTTCTATGCCCAACTGGAGTGGATGAATATAGCAATCGATGTTATGGGAAGGACGCAATACTTCATCAGTGATTGTGTGGTCGTGTGGCGTGCATGGGTCATTTGGTATGATAAGCGTTGGATTCGAATGTTCCTTCTGTTCTCTCTTCTTGGGACCGCTGGTACGTGAAAAAAAAAAGTATCAGCGAACAACATACTCATCCAACCTGCCCAGTAACTGGGTCCGTTCTCGTCGTTCTGAATGTGCGGGAGATCAAGTTTGACAATCATTATACGGCTCTCGAGTGGAACATGTTGGGGACCTTTGGGCTATTCGTTACCAACTTTGGTGCGACAATCGCGATCGCGGTCAAAGCTTGGTATGTTACTCTATTTCTCGTCTGAGCACTTGAAGTGGGCTGATTATCCTCACGGAAGGCTTTTTCGGCGGTCGGTCAAGGAATTTCTGAACCGCGGTAGCTCAAAGTCGAAGGTCGAAAGCGTGCTGACCCTTCTAGTGGAGTCTGGCGCTGTATACTGTATATACTGGGTAAGGAACCCCTAATCATATCCGACTAGAGCCGTCCCATAACGAGTAAGCAGGTCGTGGAGTTCGTTACAGACTTCGGTGTGTTGGGTGACTTCGATATTGGGTGGGCCCAACCTAACATATCGGTCCGCGCACCCCATTATCATCTGTTGTATCAATGACTGACTGATCCGATCATTCCTTATAGGGCATCTATCCTACACTCATCATACTCCTTGTTGCTCTGCAACGTTCTACTCCCGAGAATGTCTTTACAATATCAGGAATACCCTCCGCTTCTCCAGAGCCTATGCGATTCGATCCTGCTTCAGATTTGAAACAAGCACAACGGTCCGAGCTCTCTGAGAGCGAATTTCTATCAGATAATATTGTCGACACCATCCATTCTCGGTACGACAGAAGTCAGGTATGAGGGCATTCAATCGTATGCAAAGGTCACAGTCGGTACGTTCTACGGTTTCTTCTCTAAATATTGTTGCCTCCCGCAGTGTACTGAGGTACATTCAACCATGACAGTGATATATTAGTCGTGACGCAATGTTTTGGTGTCCCAAAAAGTAGATATATTTCCACAGGACCAGAAACGTTCCCGCTATTGCTTATGAATATTTACCCATACTGCATTTTGGGAGTTGTGCCATATAGCCGAGTATTTATGCCGACAAATACTCTTCCACTGCAGTAGCTTCACTCCGGCTCTCGTAGTAAAGCTAGTAAAGGTTGAACGGCGGCATACCAACTCCACAATGCGTAAACAATGAAAGACCAAGGGAATACTATAGCTAGCTATCAACTAAAGTGAGGGATGTATGTCGACCAAGTAGGTAGTTCATATGCACTAGCGGGCAGAAACCACAATGATCGAAAGCTCTCGACGATAATAAACAAGCGTGCCACACAAGAGAGTAACAAAACAGGTATGAAAATGATTCTAAGACCGTCAAACTCTATTGTTTCACTCACTCCGAAAAACTCCAGGACATCGTCTACATAGGCACACATGGACGAGAGGGCAATCAACAAAAAAATAGCTAGACCAGTGCCTATTATGATCGATGCAGATGCACGCCAACAAATGGCCTCCCATGAAGAAGGAAAGTTAGAAGTCCAAGCAGCAGCATGTAAGGCACCATAAAGAACTGTCAAAAACGCGGTCCAGAAACCTAAGGTACCCCAAGGTACATCATCACCGTTCTCGTCAATATACTCCTCCGAAAATATGAACGGCATGGGCATCCTTACGCTGGTCCGATGGCCCTCACATAACTGAGTGCGAGTTATTTCGGTGTTCGTAATCGTGAGCGTTATTGACAAGGTCACGTCCAAAGGCTTGTTCCACCAAAGCACGTACGTCCCGAGGGCGAAGAGTCCGTGGACGAATGTGTTTAGCTCTAGTAAGCTGATAGGAAGACGCGCTGCCAGTCGCGCAACGCACTGGGCACAGAACCAGAGGATCTGGACAAGAGCAATGCTTTTGGCTAGGCTGCTCGTCTTGCTCCTCTCTAGAATGTCTTCTCGTGAGAGATCCGGGATAGAGGCTGGTTCGTTTTTCATTAGAAAAAGGATGCCATTGAGCGTCAGCGCCCGAAACTGTGGTTCCGAGCTTGAGGACACATCAACGCAAAACCCGCCAGAAGATGCAAAAAAGCTATGCAATGCGGTCCACTGATGACGTCGACTAATGATCTCTGTCGGGCTTGAGAGAAGTGCAACCTGGCAGAGCTTCCATCAGAAGGCAGTGACAGAGCAATACGTGCAGATACTCACTTCTATATCGGCGGGCTCTTCGAGAGCCGTTGATACGGGCTGGCTATGCACGTCCTTCATGAGATGCTGTGCTTTTGTCGTCATTGTTTTTGCAGCATCGAACTGTATGAACGCGGCAAGGGCCAACACCTCTGGCGTGAACACTCCAGCGCAAACCCACTTGGCCTTCCTCAGCGTCTGATCCCAGCCTGCATGGCCCTTGGCTGGGATGTTGAGGTGGACAGCACTGAGCACGCAAATCAAAAGCGTCGAGACGCAGCTCGATATAATAGTATATGTGCCTCGAAGACTGGGCTCCGATTGCCATCCGATATGTGTTGTGTCGTTTGAAGGGTTCAACGACATGTGAAGAACAAAGGGCAGCGGGGGTGTGGACGAGAGAAAATGAGAAAGTCCACTGGCAAAGACGTGGGCGAAGACGAAGAGCTGAGGGCGCTTCACGTTCACGAGAGGTTCACGCTTATGTGGCGTGCTCGTAATTCAGGAACAACCCTCTACATACAGAGTACCAGCCACCCGGTCATTCCCACACACGATCGCGCTCTCCTGTACTAGAATAGTCGAAGCGGTATCACAGTAAGTAAGTTTCATAGATTGCACTGATGAATCGGTGTATGTGCTGAAGCACCACAAGTCCTGCTCTTAAGCTTGAAGATAAGAATTGCAAGGAAATAAAAAATGACTGACCCAAATAGTCTGAGTACGCATAAAGTTGCTTTTTGCTCACTTCCGCGCCAAGTGAGGCCCGCAATCTCCCGTTTGCTTTTCCCACGCTTGAAGAATCTTGCTTGCGCCACTTGTAAATCCCCCGCTGTCGTTAATGCCCGTACCTCTTTCACCTCCACAACAGTCCTCATTTACACTCGCCTTTGAATTTATAAGCAGTCATAGCTCTAACATGCATCAAATTTACTTTTGGAATTCTCTATTTACACTGAGTTTGTTCACTTTGGCTTGCTCACGGTCCCTGGTCAAAAGTCGGTCTTCATTCTGGAATCTGTGCTCCACTGCTGTGATGAGTGTCGACGAGACTTGATGTTCACCTTCGATTGATGTAGGTTATCGTGATAATCTCCGCTTTAACTCTTTGGCAACACCTTACTACCTTTTCTCCTATGCTTTGGATCCTCCCAGCGCCAGCTGGTGCCACAATACATTGTCTGCTGATGCCTGTAAGTCTGTTGCTGCTTGACTTATTATTTTGAAACCAGGGTAGCCACTTGACCATCGCACGGTCTTCCCAGACCGGGACTTTTCATTAGAACCCACCGCTTGATTCTTGTCTACGAAAAAAACTACAGCCTCGCTAACCTCCATCGTCACTTACCAAACTCGCTATTTTATTAGCTAAATCTATATCTATCGGTGTAGATGACGAAACATATGTCCTGTACGTACATGACGTACAGTATCAGTCAAATAGCATATCTGGCATCTCCTAGTGCTCGTGATATCCCTTGGGCCACTTCCTACGGTACTGTAGTTTTTCGCGCACAAGTTCGTGTCCCGTGTCCCACGGGGGCCGCGAACGAACTTGTGCCGCGGGACAGTCCCACCCCATTGACGTGCACGGAACTTGTAAGTAGGACAAACCCAAATTTGACCCAAATTTGACGAAAATGTGAATATATTTAGGCTCCTAAATTGACCTCAGGAAGGCCTCCGAGACACACTTTGGGCTAGATTTTGCTACTGGGTGAGCTCTTCCACCCAAATTCAGAGTGGTAAATGCCTGTTGAACGGTTACGAAAGGTCGTCTCCCTGCAAAAGTGTCGATGTTCACGAACATTGTCCCTTGTCCCGGTCTGCTTGCGAACCGGGACACGAATGGATTATGTCATCTCGGCAACGGCCGAGGGGCGGTGGCGTGAACTTGTGCGCGAAAAAGTACAGTAGTATCTTTGAGATCAAGATAAAGGCTCGATTTAAACAGCTCGATGATGATACCTAAACGGTAAGACCATGTAGATGTTCACGGAAATCATCGTTTACGATGCTTAAGTGTCGCCAGCAAGCAGTAAGTTACTTAGGTACGGAAGTCACTTTTACTCACTTAAGTAACTTGACGCAGTCCCTGGCTATGCCACAAGTCGCTTTAAGTTACTTGTGGCAGACAAAAGCGAATGTGTCAAGTTACTTTTGCTGTAACCAAATAGTCTGCAAGTACTTAGTGGGGATGGTGCGGCGGTGAGTGAGAAGACATCAACTGAGCATACCCTGGGCCTGGGTCGGTTTGAGAGCCCGCTAGACTGAGGTGATGTGAAAGGTTCTTAGGTCCTGGGCTAGATCGTGAATTTGGCGGCGAGAGCGAGAGGTGACCGGCTTCGAACATGGTTGTAAGCAAAAGGTGACCGAGAAACTATGGAAATACCTACAAGACGCAATAGCACGACATAGACATATATACACAGGGAGACCGGCAAACATCGACTCGAAGGTGGACTTTGATCCGAATGCATACTGTCGCTCTGGGATTAATCGTTGTATCCCCTTGGTTTCTGAACACCATCCGATGGCGCTGACTTCCACTCTGGAGCCTCCACGCCCTCTGCCTTCCAAATCTCCAGCTGCCTATCCTTCGCAACCTTTCCGTCCTTCTCGTACTCTTCGACAGAGATCGGGCGTTCGCCTTGTGGCGTGGCGCGGAGAGCATGGCGTGTGGCCTGACCGTAGTCGTACGTAGCTGTATGCGTAACGATCTGGGTAGTTATGAGCAGTCAAAAAATAAGACAAAGTGCGTTTTAGAACGTGCAAGTTGGAGGCGACTTACTCTATTGTCCCAGAACGCAATGTCGTTATGACCCCATTTGATGCGGGCATGGAAATCCACATTATGGGCGATCTGCTCGAACAGGAACTGGAGAATAGTATCGGATTCAGCCTTCGGAACGCCAACGATGCGGCGGGTGAAACCTGCAACATGTGCATCGTTAGCGAGCACATAATATAGGCAAAAATGGTCGACTATTACCAGGGTTCACATAGATACTCTTCCATCCCGTCACAGGATGCACCCTCACCACTGGATGTATCGTCTCAACCGGTTCCCTTCTTACCGGCAATCCACTCGCTCGTGCCCCATCGGCCTGCGCCACCGCACTATGCAATGCGCTCAAACCCTCCAGATATACTTGGAATCCCCGACTGAAAGAGGAGTACAGAGCATATCCGGAGCTCCAGAGCGTGTCGCCGCCGTACTCAGGCCCGGTGATGACTTTGAGCGAGGTGGTACTAGGAGGCTGACGTTCGTAGGAAACGTCGGAGTGCCACAGTTGTAGCTTGGAGAATTGGGAGGGGTCGCGCACGCGGCGGTTGTTTTCGCTATAAACAACTGCGGAAGAAGTCAGTCAGGAGCGAGATACCGACGGATGGAAGTGCGCTTCGATATGTGTGCCGAAGGATAGATGTAAGGACGAACGAACCGTGTACTTCCTCTAAACCTTCCTCCCTGGGAACGCCAGAGGTAGGGTGCTTGTGAAGGGGTCCATAGTAGCGGGCAAGCTCGAGTTGCTCCCGAATATTGAGGTCCTGGTTACGAAAAACTTGGGTCCCGTGCCGTTGAGCGTTCGATCACGACGACCCAAAATATTGATAGAAAACAAATACTTACAGACTACCCCCCGCTCGGCGACTAGTAAGGCTCTGTACGACGTCAAATGTAAGATGGGTGAGTTCATACATCGATCACGGAGAATCACTTACAGCTCATCTTTTTGCGCATCGGTAAGCGTTCTCAAATCAACGCCATGGACTTCTGTGCCGATGGTGGGGTTCAACGTGATGACCTTAGAAGCCGCAGAGAAAAGATTCTTCTTTGCGAGATCAGCGCGGAGGCCACGGTCCTCGATGTCGAACGGCTCGATTTTAGGCCACTTGAGGTCTGGGTAGCGAGGCTGGGAGTTACGAGGTATCACAGTGAAACGAACGTTAATGGGAGATAGCGACAGCGTCTAAGCAAGTTATCGTACCCGATACTGCTTGTATGGATATGGATCTTGAGGATCGTCCTCTACGGGTAGCTGATAGTAAGGGTGCTCCGGCTTTGAGGGGAAACGAGTCTGAGTCTCGGCGAGTTCTGTGGCGACGGGGGCCATTGTGCGCTGTGAAATGTCTCAAGGGATGGCGAAGCGACAAGAGTAACTGCACATTGTTATCAGCCTCGAATTCCATTCTCCTTTATAGCACTGAGTGCTCTGTGCTGAGAGTTTTGGTCGCCACAATGAGTGTCTCCTACCATAAGGCAATTGTGCGTGAGGCGAAGGCGTTATGACGCATCTCAGACAAAGCGTAGATGAGACAATGGCGACAAATGATGGGATAGGGGCTAATGGCCGGATGCCGAATTCTTGTCGGTGCGGTTCAAGGACCTTGGGAGTGAGATTGTCCGTATGGGGAATGAAAGCACCTGTTGATACGAGATTCAAACGGAGACCAAAATAGATAAATCAAGCACTCAACTTTGCTCAAGGATGGCGACAGTCCAGATGATATTTGAGCACGGAGCTCCGACCAAGAAATAGGTCTAATTCTGTAAAACAGTCGAAGATACTTGTATGTCAGATAGAACTGGTATAATTTTGATGTAAAGGTTGATGGTTCAGTAATGCTGCTAGGTGTTGGGAGACACGTCGATCTAACAGAAGACACTCCGAGGCCAAGATGTTGAACACACAGATCGCCGCATAGATTGATCATCAGCGCGACTTAGAGATAGAGAAAACGAAGATGATGGCAGGAGTATACGAACTGTAAGAAAACAGCTGGAACGACGTCTGAGACGCGGCGGACGAGTCAGACTATCCCGAGATGAAGTTAGCCGCCGCCAGGGTACGCGGGCGCGCCTGGGCGCGCTGTGTTTACCAACATCAGCAGTCAACTAAGAGATGTGGGTCTACTCGTCGAAGGTGATCACTACATATATATATCTGTGAATAATCACTCGTAAGACTTACCCTGATATATGGAGTTCCCCAATCGCGACAGCGAGGCAGTTTTCTGCACGGCACCCACACGCCACACGCCACACGCCACACGCTACACGCCACAGTCACACTGAACTAGACTGAACTGCGTACGCTGAGGGCATCCCACCTTCCGGCTGCTTGCCGTGCATCCTTGGAGAAAACGTTCAGGTTTTAGTATTCGGATATAACGCACTCCAACGTGAGATCTCCGAAAAAAAGGCAGATGGAAAGTGTATGCACAGAGTACATACTACACTAACGACGTCGTACCGCGCACCAACAGCCCCTACGAAACCAGCTTAGATCAGGATCCACACAAACATCAACAGAACGAGAAAGAGACGAACTGTTGCAACAAGTTCCGCTCGTACAGCGTCAACATCCACATTGCCCACCTCAAGATAATCGCATTCGTATGAGCGAGGTGCCTACGAAGCAAGAAATGGGGCGAGCCGGAGGCGAGCTCTGTTTAGATTCGTATGTCGCGTCTGCTCAAGGACTTGCGATGTGTATTTGGATCGCTGAAATATCTGATATATGTCATCGAGTTCCAGAAGCGCGGTCTGCCGCACACACATATTGCCGCTAAGGTTAGGGAGTCCTACGTGACCCTCATGAGATTGACGAGATCGTTTCTGCCTGCATGCCGTCCGACCCTGCAGATCGTGTGGAAACTCCGATTGGAGGTGGAAACCATGGGTAGATGCTTGAGTGGCTCTCGAATAAGACGGTGTTCGGGGGATCGACGGTCGTCTGCACTCGGACAGACGGAGGAGAATTGGGAGCGGACTGGTTTTTGTGCCAGTAGCGATACAATCGTCAGCAACACCAGCAGCATTTCTTGCTAACGGCGACTGGGGACCGCGCAGTCTAATCAAGGCATATGGGAGCGTCATAATCAGTGATCTGAAAAAAAAGAGCAGTCGGGCATACGAAGGCGGACACAAACCTGGAAAACATCTTGTAGTGCCGTACGGCTTTCATCATCTAGGCTTAACGCCTCTTGAGACTCCTTTGCGACATCCTTCGTGTGAAATGAACGAGAAAGGGCCATCGTAAACGCTCCTGGGTGGACCGTCGCACCTTCCACGCTGATTACCGAGAACGAAGACGGATGCTCTAAGGAGTCGCGAGCCCGAATCCTTTCCGCCTCCGAGAAAGCGGTGTTTTTCAGGATGTCTGCCTTGAAGATGGCGAGATGGTGGTCGATAGAGTTGCCATGAGGATGAGGGATGGTGAGGACGTGTGCCGTTATAGGCGATGAGAAGTCCTTCGCGGTAAGTGATTCAGACGCTTCGGTCCAGGCGACGATCGTCTTGAAATACCGGATGATGGAGTTGCGAGGGTTATCGGCTTGAAGATCATCGGCGATGACTACAGCGAGTAAGTGTCAATGGAAATACGACTAGTAGTAGAAAGGAACATGAGTTCGACATTAACATCGTCCTCCTCTTCGGTGACGGCTAATGCACCTCCTTCTACGTGCGGCACAACCTCTCCACCACCTTTATAACCTGCATCACTCGAACCGTTCACTTCCGCTGCGTCATGTCTATGCTTGTTAACGGCACAAAATACGCGAAAACAAGAGAGGAGGATATGGAAGAAACATATCACGATCGACGCCGACAGCACCGGACGGTTCGTTAGTCCGGTAAGCTCCTCGCTCGAGAGTAGATATTCGACAATCACGCACTTCAACAGTGCACGGAGCGCCAAGAGCTGGTTGAGCGCCTGGACTGTGTCTTACAGCTCGAGACTAGACTTGCGTTTGTCGCCTTCATTGATCAAGGCTGTCTTGGGGGTCATGAAAGCATCTGCAACAGCGCGAGCCCATAGGTCCATGGCGTCTGGAGTGACTTGAAAAGAGGCCCCGTTTGTACGCCGAACGTCAGGGACGATGTGCTTCGCTAGGAGCCAATTGACGAGAAAGGTGCTGTGGACCTTGATTGTCTTCGGAAAGTTGAGCTGTGCACGAAGATCCTGGAGGTGTACGGCGAGGACGTCGATGGGATGATTCTTCCAGAACTGGTTGCCCTTGAGGATGCGGGCGATGATCTGAGGGAAGGTGTGATTTATGACAAAGAGATTGAATTTCTTTTTGAGGTCTCGTATGTCGTCGTCTCTCAGTTTGGGATCGTACAGTGCTTGACGAAAACGTTCGAAGACGGCAGATAAATTCTCAAAATACATGTCAGGGCTAGCAAGATCCAAAATGTGAGTATTCGCTGGCAGTATTCGTCGTACTAATCTGTGACAGAGTTGAAGTTGAAAATAACGTACTTTCTCTGAATCCACCAGCGACGATTACTTTTTCCCTCTACATCTCGTCTAGCCACTGCATGCGGTATGCCGACGAAGAGAGTTTCTCGTGTGTATTCTGAGCGACGGTGATGGGGGTATTGATGCGCTGGGAAGAAGTAGTCGCAGTGACGGCGACAACATGGTTGTCAGCGGGATCTCTAGAAGTATGTTTCGTACTGGGAAGGGTTCCCGTGGTTAAGAGAGTGGCGAAATGTTGCAAAGTAAGGGATGCCATATGCGCCTGTTTTGCTCTCCACTGGTTCGTCAGGTTGATGATGGTGCAAAGCAGTAGTGGTGCAAAGCAGTAGTAGCGAGTGTTATGAAGGTAGACATTCGTTCGCGTTCCGCGATATCGTCGGACGACTTTGGACGAGGCATTTTGATTGAGCACGGAATAGCAGGATGTTGAGAAAGAAGTTGGCTGATGAGGAGGAGCTGCGGTCGCCACGTCCAGAAACCCTGTTTCAGGGTTAGGGGCTAACTCGAACCCACTCGAACCTCTCTCGGTCTTAACCTCTTCTCGACATTTCATTGCCCAGCTCAGAGCTGTCAGCCCCGGACAGATCTAACTAGCTTCCTCTGTGTCGGGACTATGGTACTGCTCCGCTTGTCCTATCGAGTTTCTTTCTATATGCACTGATCGCGCGTCCCTACTTCTGAATCAACGGTACTCTGTCGTCGAGCATGATCTCTATGCACACCCCTGGCCAATCTGGCGAGATTCAAGGATCGACGCGTCTTTGTATGTGAGGCATGTCTGCTTTCATGATAGTCATTACTTGGAATGCTAATCTTACTCGTCGAAGCCGTGTGGCCGTGTGGTGTTTTTCCTACCGCAGAACTCGCTCTTATCATCGAGTTTGAGCTTGTGTCGTCTCATTCTTCTCGAATCCATTGCTCATCCCATTTCATTCCGAATACTTCCTCTTCAACGCGTGTCCGTCCTCTCACACCCGGCTTCCTCCACTCTAACCTCTGGCCCCTCAATATTTGCGTCCGAACTGTAAAGATGGTCTGCTCGCATCTCATGAGCGTCGTTTCTATGCTGGCCTAGCTCGACGTTTGACAGTACATCTCCCATCCGTCCCATTTTTTTCGTGTACGATCGCGACGTCTAGCCTCCTGACACCGTCGTCGGGAAACTCAGAAAACGTTAGCTATGTCTTATCCCGCACGGCTCCTTCTGAGGTCGATCAGATGGTCTCCGATCGTTACCTCGATATGGGGGCTTCCTCTCCTCCACAGGTGGTGTATCGCGCCGTTGGCTCTGGGGTCTCTCGATAATCTTCCCCGTGCTCGTACACGATTCAGACTTGGGAACAATGCTATGGATTGGCGATATTCCAGTAGACTGCGTCTCGAACGGGAATGATCTAGTAATAATGAGGATAGGTACGCGCTTGCGCTCAAGCCGGGTGAGATTCTCGAGGGCGCGTTGAATGAGCTGACAGAAGGGATGAGACCTTGTTCAGGGGAGTAGAAGTTGGACGAGACGGAAGGGCTCCTCGGCCAAAACATCATTGACCTCAAGGCGTCAACTCTTTCCGGTGAGTCGATTTGAATGACTCGCGACAATGTTACACGAGAACTCAAGTCTCTCCAACCCTATCTTCTCCGCGACACAGCCTGGACACTCCTGAATCACCCCGACTACATTCACTCCTGGAGCAAACCGCACACCCTCTTCTTTGCCATCGTAATGCTTAGGAAATATTAACAAGACTGCTCTCCTACTATCGATCGTATCTCCTAAACCCCTGTCCCTTGTCGTTGACACCACCACATCATAAGATCATCCACAGGTTTTGTTCGTGCACTGACGTAGAAGACTTATCGTCAGCTTCATGTTTGACACGCAACGCACAGGAATGCCACTCACGCCACAGTCCGGCCGGGTTGGGTTGCATGCGATCGAGGTATCTACGTCGCGTTTGCCTGGAACCTATCGATACGATCATTAAATCAATGTCGCTATATAGTGGTTCGGTGTGTGGTTGCGTATGGATCGTACGAACCTCCGGGGTAGGGATGGGAGCTGCGACCACGGCGGAGAAGAGGGAGAGAAGCACGGTTAGGAAGGAAAGGTTGAGTGAGCTGGGATTCATGGTTCTGAGTGCAAGCTTTTGATGAGTCTTGGAAAACGAGGGGGTGAGATGCTTGGCGACCTTCAAGACTCATCTTTGTATGTCGTCCAGAGCATGTGCAAAAGTGCAAGGTAAATGAGATTCGAATCGAAATGGGGTTGTTGTGGACAAATGTGTCCATTCCTGAGAGCATTAAATTCGTCTTAGTCCCCATCTGGTATCAAAAGTACTGACAGCACAAATGAATGCGGGATAGTGAAGCGTGTAGTAGAACCGAAGTAGTATTCATTATCCCTCTACTGATACCTAGGTTGAGCTTTGCAAGTGTATGTCTTCCTTGAAACGTACTCCGTGGCTGTCGGCCCCTAGTAGTCTCCGTACATAGAAGAGAATTTTTGATGATGATATGGAAAGTTGAAACGTACACATGGGGCGGATGGTGAATTAGAGTAAGTAATACACTAGGTAAAAGGGTATACGGAGTTCAGGAAAATTAGCGATCGTTGGATTAGCACAATAGGTGGATGATTCATCGATTTAGAGGCGAACGAGTGAGGATACCACTGCCTAATATTTATTCTGCGGTATACTGCGGCGGAAGCCCCACAATCCCTCTCAAACCACTATCACTCTCCACGAACATGGCCTCGCCAGAGGACGCCACTGAAGTCCCTCCTGCCACTCTTCTACTGGTAGGTGTGTCAATGTCCGACGTGTTTGTGTTAGTGTTCGTGTGCGTGTTCGTGTGTGGTTCGTAGCGCGAAGCTGAAGGTACGGTCCCAGCCTGCGTGCGTGTGTCACTTCCGACTTTTCCACTGGCAGACCGTGAATTGAGGTAGGCTGAGTTGGTGCGTGAGGTCTGCACGAACGGAGACGGCGTTGTCGTGTATGCTATATACAATATAAAAGCACTGTAAGATGACTCGAAGTGGGGAAAGGAATGATGCCGAGAGCGGATCCAAACTCACGCGAGTCAGCGGTATGCCCCTGATACACCCCAGCAGGCATACCTCCCTCCAGCGTTTCGACTCTCGAGCAATACCTGTCTTCAGTGACTGTACCTCTTCCTATACTATCGTTTGAACGGGATAATCTCCGTCTTCTCCGCAACCATACAAGCACCGATATGCCCACAGCACACAGTGCCACGATACCACCAACAACGCCACCAACGATCACACCCACGTCCGTATGTTTGCTCGATGTCGCGCCTCCACGCCCGCCACCCGTGCTCGTAGGCTGAGAAACCGCACTCGTCGATGACGAAAGAGACGAAGGAGCGGTAATGAACGCGGATCCGGCATCCAAGAGTATATAATCGAGGTAAAACGAATTTGCAGCGGCAGCCTTGATCTCGAGGGTATGAGGGTCCTCCGAGGCAAGGTTGGAGACGTCTAGAAGTTCCCAGTTGTATACTGGATACGATGCCGTTGTTGAAGGAAGAGAGAGTGGAGATGGAGGCTGTCCGTCGAACGCAAAAGTGCCGAGGATGGTGGCAGGGTCGATGATCATTCCGTATGCTCTGATGCTGGAGGTACCTGTTTGCGTTCACAAACACGGGGATGCAACGAAAGTCAGTATGACGGAAGTATTGGGTGATATGTGTAGACTGAGCAGCGTACCGGTGAGGTTCAAAGAGACTGTGGAAGACGGTCCAGTTGGTCCCGTCACGCTGGAGTTGAGGCTCGCGTCCGTAAGGTTGAAGTCCGCCTGCCCCGGAAAATTAAGTACATCATCAGACCACCCGCCCTCTGAGTAGTTCAAATATGGACTCCGGTCGTCGATGAATATCCAGCTAGTCAGTTGTCCATCGGTATCCGTAGGTATCGTCGAGTTTACTGGTGCGTTGTAGATGAGATAGTCGACGAGGAAGTCGGACTCGTTCGTCGCAGGGGCAGACGTAAGGACTTTTATTTCGAGTGTGTGCGAGGAAGGAGAGAGTGCAGGAGAGACGAAGAAAGGGACGTGGCGACGGGTGTTCGGAGGAACTTGAGTAGTTATGGTTGAGGATGTACTTCCATCGATACTGAATGAAACACTGGTGCTGGTGTAATTGACGGTCCCTACGCTGATTCCAGGTGTGGTACCAAAAACGGAGATCGAGGATCCTGTGGATATATTTTGTGGTCAAATCAGGTCTCGTTGGACAAGAAAAACAACAATGCAGTGTAAGCACCATCGAATGTATATGTCATCGTCGATGATGCCAGACCGGATCCAGACGTCGTCTTGAGGAACTCACTTGGATCTCCTAATTCAAGATCATTCAATCCAGCAATCAATACTGAAATCCGCAGGGAAGACGCAGAAATACAGGCACGTACCAGTTCCAGCGACGAACCATCCATCTACCTCGGCTTGGGGAGAGGTGCTTATCTGACCGTTGGCATTAATCGCCACTGGCGAATAATCAATGCCGTTGTCCGAATCGTCCACAATTACATATACGGACATAATAGAGCAAGTGGGGCTGTAAATTATGCAAGGGAGAGGCGCTATGAGGGTTCGCTGTGGAGGGCAGGAAGAGCACCAAATTGGGCCAGGAAGGAAGTCAATAGTGATGTCTGTATTTTATAAGATTTCGTCGTCACGTACCTCCCACGCCGTTAGGTTTCATCACACGGAGACCGTCAAGAGAAGGTGAGCAGGGAAAGATAACATCACTCGACAGCACCATGATATCTTTCAGGCCTATTTAGAAGAGCGAACGTTGTGGGACACCAGGGCATTCGTTGCAGATCAATGTTTACTTGAGGATCTGACTTTACTTCTAACGATGAGGTGGAGCAAAAGATGTGTATTCTCTTCCAGACGCTCGTATAAGTATCGTGAACGTCGAAAGCATCGACGTGGAGCTAAAACAAAGAGACTCTGTTTGTGAAGATCATCCGGCTGAAATTGACCATCGTTCCATCAACGGCAGCTCGTCGCGAGATCGAAATGTATCAAGGTTGCATCGAACGGAAAACCATCAGATGCAGGTGCATCCATCGTAAGCAAGTTTATATTTATATCGAAGCTGTGAACAAGGCGACCGAAGCAACAAGTTAAAGCATTCGATCCCTGTATAGAGCGCGGGTCGGAGGGGTTTGAGTGGATACAGAGCGATAGAGTAGTCGAGTATTTGGAATAGGGGCCTAAACTTCGTGCTGAACCACGAGTCTGGAGGAAGAATTGCAGAGCACGCCCAAGATTAGCCATCATAGAAAAAAGATCTGAGGATAACGCCGGCGAGAGATCGGTAGTTATTGCCAAGACTTGCGCGGATTGCATCAAGATTACTGCTGAGATGAGGTTCACCAGCAGAACTCACACCAAGAAGCAAAAATTGAAAGCACACGTTCATATATAATCTGACCAGTGCGGCTGGACGAGGGATCCTTGAACCGATGCGAGTCAAGAAGATGGGAAGGAAAGGCATGAACGGCGTTCTTGGGGAACCCGTGCTAGATGCCTGGCCAAAGAAGAGATGTGTATAGGGGTCGGATATCATTGCCAGAAAGAGCTATCGCGCTGAGGAAAGAGGAGAACGAGACACTGTCGTGACCATCCATGGAGATGAACTGGTGCTCGTTCGCGTGTCACAAATGGGGAGAACGCACCTCTGCGACTGGAGAGACCTCTACAAAGAGACCTCTGCATAGACTTGAAATTATAATGGAATGGATATCACTTCCCAGACTGAGATATTACCAGAGATTAGGGAACGACCAGAGCAGACTCGGACGTATGCAGCTAAGTCTCTTGTCAATGTTTAGTTGGCATTGAGCGAAAGTCACGCTAAGGTGCCCTACTTTCAGAGGAGAGCAAATACGTTGGATTTCGTTTGTGCGTCGGGTTCCTGCGAGCATCCAATAGCAAAGGGTAGACGACGACGAACCTGTGGAAGATGTTGTATGCGCATCAGGTTGGCTGCACGACAAGCTCGTCACGACGTAGAAACCTTGATTCAGGGTTAGGGCTAGGGTTCATAATTTTCTGCTTCGGTGGCGGTCAAGTGGCGGCTTGACTGGACATGCTCTTCTCCCTGAACCGTTCCCTCGACTCCATACCCACACAGTGGAAACTCTGGAACGATTACCTCTTCATCTCGAACTTTGCCTGCTGATCGCTTAACGAAGACTGCACGATGGGCAAATTCAACGTTCAACGTCCAACCTCAGCGCTGACAGCATTTATGCCCCAACTCTGGACGTCTCCATCGTTCCTCACTTGCCCGGTTGAAGTCTAGTCTACTCTGCCTTTGGGAGACCACATCGTCCAGGGATTTACGCAATTCATGAGCGTCGCTAGTGGTGGAAATACGGCGATTTGCACTAGTGTGAGCTGTATGGTGCGTGTCTTTTCTTGTCTTTTCTGTCTCTCATCGTTCCTCGCATATTTGCTTTTGCCACTTTTTCTTGGTATGATTTGGGATGGGACTTGAATGTGTGGTGACTACCTTTGGAGCCTCTATGACGGTTCACCGTCCCGAGAATTGCTTCTCGCCCCTACCGGCGGTATCTCTCTTGCTCTTATGCAACGTATCGAGTCCAACCTACGTGCTCTTGAGGAGTTACGCATCAATTGCACCCAAAGACGGTGTTCAGACTCTTCGACTCGGAGGCGGGAATCAAGAATTGTCGAGCGTCCTTTAGCTGCCTCGTACGTCCTGTCACCTTTTTCATGATGGTTTGGTGCGCATGCAGCCATCCCACTCGAGCTCCAGCCTTCCTGCATGTCTGTGGCCCGAGTCCGAAGTGTGGCACTAAATACTACGCCACAAAAGCGCTGTTTCTGTGCTTCGTTGACGCTACTTTCGACCATACAAAGTCAAAGTACGTTACACACATGGACGTATGTATACAATGGACGCCGGCAAGGAGAATATACAGATACAAATGAACAAAGAAAGTCCTGAAAAGCCGCCAACGCATCTTCCTTATTTCCACCCTCAGTTAGTCATGCTCGTTTCGGACCCGACGGAGCCCTTTGCCTCTGTAACGAAACGCTCTGACGGTTGGAACCGATAAACTTCAATCAGCCTCTCAACCTCCTTGATAACCTCCTGGCTTTTGAAAGCCTTCGAACGTGTCGCGAACGACCGTATTGCATCGTGCGCACTGCTCGGAGAATGCGCCACATTGTGCGTATAGGAGCGCAAGGCGAGCTCGAAGAGCTCTTTAGTGACCAAAGTCGATTTCGAGGCTTCCCGACGAGCCTGCATAAGGAGAAATAGACTTTGCATGACGATAGTGAGGTCGACGATGTAGCCCATCATGCCTCGCAGAATAGCGGGACTAGAGGCAATTCCATCAATGTCGATTCTATGTAATATGGCATAGTGGATATACGTACGTGACCGCGACGGCTTCGTATACCCATGTCGCAAAGACCAGACCGACGGCGATGGGCATCGCGAACGGGGCCGCTGGAGGAACGATTCCTTGAATAGCAGGAGATAAGCCAAAACGGCATGCTGGTTAGAGGGATGGAAAGACGCACCAGATACGATGCCTGCGACAGTAGTAATGGTGCCGGCAGACCTGGTTAGTACGTCAGTTGAACCGGATTTAGTAGAAAACAAACGACATGTATACATACACATGTTGCAGGATCCCACTACGTTTTTCGACTAGATCGGCCTGAAGTGCAGAGATGGTGGCTGTAGTGATCTTAGACGCGGGAGCGAGAATCTATACCGTTACGGACTTTCATCAGGACTCATGCCGGAATGGACTAGAATGGACTAAAGGTAAGCTGTCACGCGCCTTGTCCGGGTCGTACAACCCCCAGAGCCTGCCAAAGCGTCAAACATCAACGTCTTATGGAAAGATCACGCTACTCACTGAACGATCTCTTTGTGGACAACTGCAAGCCATTTATCGAGTGACCTCCCCGGCAACTTCACCGCTGTGGATAGCCCGCGCCAGTAACCTTGTCACGAAATCATGAATGAAGCCATATAACTTGCAAACGATCTTTCCACGCTCACGTTGTTTTCCAACGCTGTGGTAGTAGATGGTTTCAGTGAACATCCTCAAGCCAGAAACAGTTCCGACAGAGAACTTACTCGATCGAAGCTCTGATCTTCATACCAGTACTCTTTTGTTGAGTTATAGCCCAGAGGACGCGTACTGATTGATCGATGCATCCACGTGTTGTCTCGATAAGCTCATCCAGCGTGTCTGCGTAATTTGGATGAACTGTTCAGAAATGGGTCAGTCACGACGACATTCATGGAGTATCTCAGTAGTACACACCTGATATCGCCACCCAGGGGAAACCGTTAAGTTTCTCCTCAGATGTCACAAACTCTTGAAGTTTTGCATGACCGAGAGAGAGAATGGATTTGTCGATAGGTGCTACCTGAGCCACTGGAGTCGCGGGATCACTACTTAGATCAGATTCGCCATCATTCATATCCCAGCCCTCCTCTACGTCCCCGTAAAGATCTTCTTCTTGCGCAGGAGGCATAAGGCTCGTCACTAGCTGATCAAACTTCGTGAGCACGACGATAATCGGCACGCCTAGAAAGAATGAGCTAACGCGCAGAACGTGTTCAGTATGAACTTGAACGCACCGATATCCTTCTGCAGGCGGAGTATCTCCTCGTCTCCAATCTCTAGCAAAGGCTCTCCATATGCCGGAGTCGTGGTACAGAGCCTGGCACGTTGGTCAAAATATCAGGATGGATATTCTGCGTAAATAGATGAACGGAGAGAGCTTACCATATTGCATGGAGTCTGTCCTTGGTTTCAGGCATGCTGCTACGTTCATGAATGAACTTCTTTACAGTCTCGAAGTTAGCAGCATCTCCATGAGAGAATCCTTGAGAGTCATGTAGAATCAAGCGAGGATTCTGCTCAGATTGGATTTCACAGCGGATATCTGAGCTCCCGGCTGTGCGTCCGTGCTGTACAACCTAGCAAGGATGATTCGCAAGTGATCAATGAGTATAGAAGACGAGACATGAACTTCATCTCACTGTATATTGGGCTCCGAAGACGGCGTTGACCAAATGTGACTTTCCGACTCCGCTCTACAATATGGCCCAGGTAAGCTCAGTGAGCACGCAGCAACAGGAGAACGACTCGGAGTGTGGGGGAAAACTCGAGCTGACCCTTCCCACTACGAGAATGCGGAACCTGTACAGTGCATGCAAGTCAGAATACCGCAAAGATGCGATAGTCTAGCTTACTTTTCGCAGGTATTGAGGATGTCGTCGACTGTCGACTCTAATTCACCCTCAAACGTTAGGACTTCCTCGGTACTAGCCATGGTTATAGTCAAGAGTAGAGGGAAGCAGGCTCATCAAGAGTTGTGGGTGAGTGACAGCTGTTTTGAGAACGATAGGCAGGGCTCATGTTTTCTATGTGCACAAACAAGTGATGGATGTAGCCAAACAACTATCGTAAGTACGTCACTGCCACTGATGCAGGGTATGTGCCGCAACGAGAACTCTACGCACCCGAGCGCGCAGAGTGCAGATTTCCTCGTGAGATTCGGTCTACAGCGGATGCGAGACTAGATGTAACTTGAAGACGATGTTCTGAGAACACAGTTGCTGGGGGAGGGGGTATCGAGCAAGGCCCTTCGCGGAAATTGAGATGGGTGCGAACCACGCGGAGGAATAGGCACATACTACTAGAGGCTGCTTCTCTCTGTATGGAAACAGCTGGAATATCCCACCTAAGTACCGCCTGCCTCACGCGACCACGTAATGATATTCTGTCGATGTAGCCGTGGGAGTGAGAGTGGTCCTAGCGCAAGCTGTGTGCTGCGTCGTAAGCGTCTCTTTCCGTCGTCTTTCAATCCCCCATCACGGACTCACCACTATGGATATCTCAGCCGAAGAATTGAGAACACACTCCCATGTCTTTCGCGTTTTGATTGTCGGAAGGCGAAACGCTGGAAAGACAACAATTCTAAAGAAAATGGCCGGAGCCGAAACTGGAGAAGAGCCCGAGTTTCGAGATCGAGACGGGAAATTGATTCGAGTGCCAGTAGGTGTACACAGTACCCGTCTCCTACCTGAAATAAGACGATGGCTGAAGTGATGATGATAGGATGACAACGTCCATATTCTCAAGTCGGGGCTCACAGTATGTCTGGTTTCTTGTCCGCATTCGAACTGTTGTTGACGATCAAGTTCCAGCGCGGGATGAGCATGATTGAATGGGAGATCAGCTACCCAAGCAACCCATATTTGGTATTTCATGACTCTCGCGGGATTGAATCGGGTCCCGAATCTGAGCTGGGTGAATCGAGCATCGAGCATATCTGGTCATTCATAGAATATCGGAGAGCGCAGCCAAGACTTCGAGACCAGATACACGCAATTTGGTATGTGTAATAAGTGGTCGATACTTTGTGTCAGATTGAGGCAACTATCTCCATGATGGTATAGGTTCTGCTTGCCAATGGACAATCCGAGGGTTCCCAGTGAATCATTTGAGTTAGCCTTCTTCGAAAGAGACGTTGGAGGTGAATGTTAACTATTTTTGACATGTGTCTAAGTAGCGATAATTGACTTCTTTGCAGTTCCGGTAATCGTAGTCTTGACAATGTATGAAGCTCTCGCTGAACGTGTGAAGGATAAATTACTCGGGCGAGAGCCGAGTAAAGAAGAAGTACGGAGACATGCGCAGAAGAATATTATGAAACCAATGAGGAGAACTGCATACCCACCTGCCGGTTACGTACAGACACATCGTGAGTTATAATTTTCCTACATGATGATACCCATTGACTGCTGTTTCATATCTAGATCATGGAGATGGGTGCACCATGCTTTCAGAGAAGACTCATAAAACGATATGGATCACTGGACTAGCCACCACATTTGCAATGTCACAACAGGCATCAGCACGCTTAGTTTGCCAGGAAGTATTTCAGAATGCCCTCAGGTAGACATATGTATCATGCTTGCATGCCATACCCGTGACTAATACTGACCGTCCTTGCAAAAAGTGACAAAGTCATAACACGACTTGGACAAATGCTGCAGCTTGCGGTTTCTTCAAAGCATCTAGCTGAAGAATTGACTTATGATGCACTATGGATGATGCCCTTCTGGAGAAATGTAAGTGTATTGTGCACAACATCAAGTTGTCAAGTGGTTTTCATGCTTATGGTAGTTTTCCAGTATGTAGGTCCAAACAGGAAAACCTAGGATAATGCATCAAGTTGACCCTTGCCCTTGCACTTGCCCTCAACATCTCTGTCTCGGAAGCTTGTGAGTACCCTCTGTGTAATACAGCCCTTAGAGCTGACCCTTGTCATCAACATCTCTACTTGCTTAGACAGTAAGTACCCTTTGTGTGATCGAGCCCTGAGAGCTGACCCTTGTCCTCAACATCTCTGCCTTCCTAGGATGTGAGTACTCTCCATGTGATACAGCCCTTAGAGCTAACCCTTGCTCTGCACATCTCTGTCTCTGTAGCTTGTGAGTACCCTCTGTGTGATCCAGCCCTCATAGTCGACCCTTGCTCTCAATATCTCTATCTCTGTAGTTCGTGAGTACCCTCCATGTCATCCAGCCCTCAGAGCTGACCCTTGCTCTGCACATCTCTGTGTCTGTAGCTCGTGAGTACCCTCCCAGTGATCCAGCCCTCAGAGCTGACACTTGCCCTTGAAATGCCCACATTCTTAGGATGTGAGTACCCCCACATGATCCAGCCCTCAGAGCTGACCCTTGTCCATGACATCTCCACCTTCTTAGCCTGTGAGTATAAGATTTTAGCATTTGCTTCCTGAAGTGATGTTTGTTTCCCCTCCATCAATTTTTGTAGACAAGGATGGGTGATGAGCTCCTAGAAGAAAGAAGATTGATTACAGGAACAATCCAACATTGGGTACACTACCATAATCCTGTCTCTCCATTTGACATGTTTCTCTGAGTGAGATTTATATAGCTTAGTTTCAAGGATATGTCTGCCAGCTTCCATATGGCACCTTGTATCCAGTTCATTGCTGGTGCGGTCATATTCCTTGTCTTCTTTGTTTGCATAATGTAACCCCACTCATATCCCACAGTCACCTGCATTCTAGGCATTTGGACCGCAAAAAAGTCTCGGAAGCCATGGAACTTCATTAAAGAGGCTATCAAGCGGCTGGATTGCATGCCTGAATTCAGGGAGACTGTCCTCACCAGTGTCAAGAAAACACTTAAGGACTTCAAAGGAGATCGAAAGAAGTGTAGTTGTGCACTTGCAGAGCTCGTAGTGGGCTATGCCAATGAACTGTACAAGAATCAGCCTTTGGAGTCATACAAAACAACGTCCCAATCATGAATGGTATGGTTAAACTTTTAGAATTCATGTTCAGGAGGATCTAACCACAAAGTATTACAATCTAGGATGGCGGTGTGGGTGTCAATCGAGTGATCGCGGGTGATGTCATATAAGGGAAGACAGGAATGGGCTGTCGATGCCAGGTGGTGAACATAGCCTTGTGTATATGTGAACGGAAACAAGGGGTGGTCATGGTAGATGTTTCCGCAGAGCAAGCACACGATATAGGGCTTGGATAAATCTTATCTCTGTTTTTCGTCGGTCTCGATATGCATGCATTTTGTACATCGACCTGGTCGAGATCACAAATGCATAACATCGCTCCAGTGCTATCTTGGTAACCACAAATCAACACAGCTGGGCACCATGTTCTGCTGCTCCGATTCTTCGACTTGCACTACAGTGCATAACTGATCCAAGTCTAACTTAGGACGGTATGGCCAACGCCTCCGCCTCATTGATCGAGTTCTCAGCATCCTTGCTCTACTTCCCGGTCCTGCAAACAGACGCAGAACAGAGCAAAGTAATGATTGATCAACGCAATCCGTAGCAATCCATGATCAGAGCAAGAAGTTCCGCACTCGCTCTCTCCATGTTCTTCCTTTGCTTCATAAATTCTACGCAGATAGCAAGCGTGGCCCAGTGCATCTCAGTGATGGTGTACATTGCGGAGTGACAAGGAGCGCAATTTGAGGTACTAACCAGAGTGGATCCATTGTACGATGCCAGATCGGTCATGTCATCCCCACCACGAACTCCAGCAGCAACGACAGAACACAAGGGGAGTGACGTTACAATGGAGAAGTAAAATAACGGGACGAAGTCACGAGCTCAGAGAAGCAGAATTTACTGCCTCTCAAGCCTGGCTCGCGTAGACGTGTTCCGCTCACAAGTCGATGATGCATAGCATCGAAGAGTAATAATAGAGAAGAAGGAAATATACTCGCTTCGGTTAATAACATCGCTTCCGGGGCAGATTGTCTTGTACGTATGTCGTAAAGGCTCTGATGTTTAGTACCTGTCCGCAGTGAAACCGAATCCAGAATCATCAATAAGAGAACGGATGTACCGAGAGAACTAATCAGATTCCACCTGATAGTGACACAGCAACACACTCACAACTACGCCAGCCGCTCCACATCGGTATCGTCGAAGTCTGGCGAGATCGGTGGACGCAGCAGGGTGTTGGTTTCTTTTGAGGTGGCGATGTGGGTGTGCGGGTAGAGACGGAAGGCTAGAGGACGTGCGGCTGCTAAGTGCGCTAGTGAACGGGGATGAAGTGGACGTTAGCTATAAGGGGAAAAATGTAGAAATAGAGAGTGGGGTGGAGTGGAAACGGAGGAGCGATAGGGAGGGCAATGTGGATCCGTGATGATGAGCTAATTGGTGGAGGAACAAGAGAGTCGAAGAAGGGCGAAGATAAACGGAGGCGGAGAGATGTCGATGTAACGGAAGGCAAAGGTTGCGAAACGAGAGGAACGAGGGATAGACAAGCAGGTGCAGGTGGAAAGTCGAAAAGAAAAAAAAACGAAAGAAGAAAATTATTGAACGAGAATTGGTGGGCAAAAATAAACTTCACCTGTAAACGTCGTCACCAACTCATTCATAACATCTGGCTCCTTCCACTCTCCCTATCTAGCTGCCTCCGCCTCGTCGTCTGGAAGCACCTCCAGCGATAACAAAGTTGTGCCGTCTCGTTCGCCTTTCCGCTGGTCCATATTGAATGTCGATGGCATTTCACGACAAGTAACAGCCGGATAAGGCTAGACAGAGGTACGTGGTGTATGAGAACTGTACGTCCGTTAAGCATCGCGTTACGGACTGAGGAGCAGACGGATCGTACCATCGAAAGTTTTCAAGCTGGAGCTGGTAACCTTTACGAGCGCGTCATTGTCTCAACCCGCCAACGGGGTAGGCGTCGGGGAATTAGACACTGGGTTCCTAGCACAGAAATAAGATCAACATCTACTGGACTTCTCACCTGTCCTCCGGTAGTAAAGGACGAAAAGCGAAAAATATATATATCAGCGCGAGCACGCACCGTATAGCTCGCACTAGTACAAAGCGCCATCTTCCGCCACTGGCTACGCTCATGAAGTACGTGAATCCCTAGATGATGAACACGTCTGAGGAGTTGGGCGTATATATGCTGTCCGCGCCAAGGTTGAACTCGCCCATCGTGCAGTGTTCGTTAAGCAAGCCGCAAGTGGAGTCGGAGAACAGACGATAAGAGGAACACTCGAGTTGTACAAAGCACCAGCGGCGAGCAATTTCAGAATGTGCTACACTCCGTCGTACCAGATGCTACACAGCAAGGACATAAAAATGCAAGGAACGGTGGGCGTTGGACAGGGAGAGGTCGGAAAGCGAGGTGGAGGACGATGGCGATGGCGAGCATGAGAACGAACATGCGGAACTTCGCTCTTCGAAGTATTCCTAGGAGTTTTATGGCAGAGAGAGTAGGTATCTTAGAGAGAGAAAGACTAGTACCGAGTGTTCAGAGCAAGGACGAGATAGGGAGGTTGCGGTCGAGGCGGCTCCCACGACGGAGATTCGGATTTTCAAAGCGCGGTGCGGCTGCGCCACAGAGAATTGTGGCCCAACTGTTTTCTACCCTGGCACTGATCTCTACTGTCAACATCCTCCCTCCTCGAGTCTCACTTTTCTTTGTGTTGATCTGTGCTGGGCATTGAGGTATCGAAATATTGCTTTCCCACTCTTGACTTGACTGGACATATACAATGCTCTTCTCCCTCGGACTGTCCACAGTCTACATATGCAACCTCATCACGCGAGGCAAATCGTCGTATGTATTAAGGCGCAGAGCGCAAGCGCACGAGCAAGTACTATGGTACATTACGATACGGTCACACACGCATGAAATCGTCCCTTTCCTCACCGGGTGGCATACTTTCCATGAACTCTCTCTTGCATTCCTCATTCCGCGCCACCGCATCATCGTACTCCTCGACCGACACCCAGCCGTCCTCTTGAACACCTATGCGCTCCTGCATCAACACACGCACATCCTCGGTCTCTTGCCACTCAGCAGCATCCACAGCATGCATCTCCCTTTCGGCTGCCGAGAACTCGATTGGACACGCCAGACCGGCGTGCCCCAACGCGTCCCATCGATCCACAATCCGAATAAGGGACTCCCGGAGAGGCACAAAGCCCCCAGACCAAATACGACCGGCGAACTGGATCGGTGGTATGATGAGGTCCCTAGTATGGAAAGAGCGCGCGCGATAATAGTCTGGACTTCGTGAGGCGCAGGTCGCCGCGTACAGTTTATGTCGATTCGTCAGCTCATTGTGAAGTGCCGTTTCCTGCTGGTCAAATGTTTCCTGTTGTTCAAACTTGTCAGGCAGCGAGATACTTTTCGGGTAGTAAAAACGTACTGGAGGTGGGTGGTAACGAATGAAGCGAGGGGTACGAGCCTGCAGATATAGAGGTCGCAGGGAGGTATGCTGCCAATCTATGACAGCCGTGATCGTGACCTTTCCGTTGGCTAAGTCCTCCGGTAAGACGAAGATGTTGCCAAAATGTAGATCGGTGTGCCACAGAGTTGGGCGCACCACGCCACGGGCTGGAGGACGGAGGTAAGGAAGTACGGATTCGTACCGTGTGAGCAGGGAGAGGTGTGACGGAGGGTGCTGGATGTTCACAGGTGGATCGAAAGGGCCGGGGTTTGGATTGGGGATCGCATACTTTTCTATCCAAGAACGCTCACGAAGGGATTCGGCCTTAAGACTCGATAGCGCATTTTTCCCTGTGACAGACGTTAAGTGACAGTCGTTCCGTAAAAGCGGGAGACTCACAGGGTCCACGATCAATATCCATGTCCCGTCTCTCTCCCTCCCAGAATGTCGTGGAGACGCTAGGTCCTAGGACGAAACGATCTTGCCGAGTGCCGTCCACCATTATATCGCGAGAAACCGCCTGATCGATGTCACCGCGGTAGAAAACGCTGCCATAACCCCCTGAGATGGGAGCCAGCAGCCGTGCCTCAATATCTACCCACTCTCGGACGACAGCATCCTTCGTGTCCGAGCACATCTTGTCCCAAACCTTGCCGAGTTCTATCCCAGCCGCCTTTTCCATCACGATGTACTCTGTCTCGACCGGTGTGATCGATGCGTCTGCACACCATGCGAGGACACGAGGGACAGGTACTCCAAGCTGGGAGCGAACAAAGTCGATGGTGGCGACCTCGCTCGCGGTGACGAGACGACCGGGCCCAGCGAGGATCGTCGGAATGCGCGCGATGAGTTCGAGACCATTGTCAAGCTTACACTGGAAGATCTTATTATACGCCCCCTCTGCTAACTTGTCCATCTCGAGAATGGTCTTTCCACCTCCTGCGCGCGCCACCACCTCTTTCAAGGCATCTATGTTGAAACGACGGTAACGAAGAGAAAGCTGGTGTCTTTCGTCGTGAATCCACCGACCAGAGGTATACGGAAAGAAACGGTCGGGATCCGCACCTTCTGTCTGTATCACATTGACATGGCATGCGTGTTCTTCCTTCGCAGAACTTTGAGTACAGAAGAATCGTCGTGTACAGAGAGATAGGTTGGGGAAATATCTCGGGCGCATCATGATGCAGGTCGCGGGCGGGTACGGTAGACAAGGAACTGAAAAGCTGAGCGGCAAGGTATGTCTGAGATGCACGGAACGAAGGGTAGTTTATTCTCTTGAAAACATAAGTAGATCTCAGACAGAGGTGAAACGCTGGCAAGCGTCGGCGTCGAGAGCGAGCAGTTGCCAACAGGCGCCGAACTTTGAAGAGCGGCAAGTCCCGGACATGACGATTTGCAAATAAAGTCGAAATGCCACTCAGCCATCTCGACGCTGTTCAACGAGACGCATACTTACTCTTCTGACTCGGAAAACATAGCTCGTACGCTGCCGTTCGGCACTCTACCTGCTGACCTCACGCCCTCAGTCATCGCTCTCACTCTTGGGCCGACCTTGTCTTCCACAACCATCCTGAAGATACGAAGAACGGGAAACGAGATGTGGTATCGCTGCTTCTACATGTGTCTTGCGTGTTCAAACCTGAGTCCATCAGTCTGGTGGGCTACCTATTCTGTGGATCGGAGAGGATCATTGATGGTCAAAATAAGGGTGCGTCCCTTTCTCTCCTCTCTCCTTTTCCTACAAGTCTAACATCCATGTTATCAGAATAGTGTACTTGGACATTAACCCGCTCTATTTTCATCGCTTTCGCCAACCCCACGGCGCACGATTCGGAGACGACGACACCACGAGCTTAGGATTCCTTAACCTCTGGACGAATTGCATCTACAACGTCGCATACGAACACGTTTTATCCAGCGAGAGACTGCAGTTGCCTACAATCGCCGCGCTGCGAAACTTGCAGAATGTATGCAGCGAGCTCGCGATGAGGAGCACATCGTGAAGGGTGTGGATCGTGCGTGTGGTTATGTGGCCGTAACGGCAAGCGAAGGGTTGAAGCGTCCGAGTCGCTGAGGAATCGGCGTGCGACTGTGGGACGTCCTCGTACGACGATTCATGAGGTGTAGGTCGAACGGAGACAGGTGCATGAACCATGTATAGTCTGATTTGTCTGCATGTATGTGCTACAGGCTAACCGGCCACGAGCAGTATGGTGTGTCTAATCCCCGATGAAGCTGATGAATGAATCCTCGAGAAGTTCCTAGTAGGTATTATAGGCCTGCGTTCGTTTGTCTCCTCGTCCCCCTTCTCTTTCCCTCCGTACCCCATCTGATTAACCAACGATAAACCGCAGGTACCGTCCGACTAATCGCTCTTTCGACAATTGGAGCCTCCAGATGTCCTGTAATCCTTTCGTCAGCATCACACCCTCTGATGTCCCCGATCTGAACCACCTCGAGCTGACCTTAGCAGGGCCCATGGTTTCATGCAAGAATTGCAGGTATGTCTTTCTATCCTCAAAGCTACGCTTACTGGCACGACGTCCGGACTCATCGATGATGTTCACCAACGTTGCACTTCTTCTTCTTCCCCGTCGCCCCTTCCTCTGCCGTTGCCGTTAGAACTCGAATACATCCCAAGATTCAGGTAGTGGTCCACTGAACAAACTGTACGTGGAGGGTAGGAATACTATTCATCGAGTGCGAGCGCATCCGGAGGGATGAAGTCTGCATAATATACTGGGGCGAGAACGGACGCGCTACATATTCCGAATCGTTGAGTACAGCCCTGTCCTGTCATTTCTATTTTGGTACTCCCTGACGATCATTTACTGACTGTGTTTCTCCACCGTGATCTAGAATGAGAAGGCTAAAATGACCTCCGGCGCCTCGCCTTGTCTTGATATTCCGCGTCTGTTCCTACCTTTCTTGGTTTGACTGTTCGCTATTTGTTGACTCCTTGGGCGCTTAAAGTTCTATGGGCTGTGGATCTAACTATCTAGCGTTGCGGCCTACTCGTGACTGGTCTATTCATCACGAGCGTCACGAGCGTCCTAGCTACATTATACTCTGAACTTTGTGATACGAACGATATCAGCGCGGCTTCTACTATTATGCGTCACCCACATTCACTACTTTTATTAGCTGGTCGCATGGAGGATGTACTGGATGGCCGCCCTGCATCCATACAGTCTGGGGAGCAATAATATGTCGAAATCCCAACTCTTGACGTTCGCCCTCCCTCTAAGGCTCTTACTTTTGTCAGCGTCTTTATTGAAAACTTGAGCCCGGCTATCGATAGGCCACACTGTGTGAAGCATTCTATCAACTGTCCCATACACGTCTTTGCACCGAAATGTCTACCATGCGGAGTCTTGTTCTCCGTGTTGCCTCTACTATCGGCTCTATGCTTTATCTGGGCGACTCGCATCGTTTCTCGAACGTTTATAAGACCTGACCTCGAATTCGCCCAGATCTAACAACGTCTTCTTGCCTCATCGAAAACGACTTTGTCATGCGCCTCTCATTCAGCGTCATCCTGTTCGCTGAAGGCGCCATCTTATATGATCCCTCTTGAGCTCAATTCTCATAATAGCTTGTCCTGTTCAGGACGCCACAGAATGGAACTGCAACTACGGCCATGATGTATCTAATCCTTGATCTCGAATGCGTCTGATGATCATGTTTCTACGTTCTTTGTCATGACATTCTGTCTACAGTTTACTACGATCAAGCCAACAATCTACATCTGGTCATCGGTAGTTCTGCATCAACAGAGCACAGGTAGAGCATGATATTTGCATCCATGCATCTTGATCTCGGAATCCTGCTGGATCAGTGCGTTGCTTTTGATGAGATTTCTCTGCCTATATCTATAAGCAGAGGCTCTATCGTTGCATCGCCATCTATAACTCGTACGCAGCTGGCACTGCACGAATCCGCCTCAATTTCGATGCCTGACCAATTACCAACGGTGTCCGTAAAGCTCTCCCAGATGGCTACTTTCCACAAAGAGAATCCACTGATGCGTTTGAAATTGACACGTCTAGACTGATACACAACTATCTCGGATTCGCTGGTCTCTGTGCGTTTAGAATCTACTTTCTGAATCACTGTTATCGAATGGTTCAGCCTTGACATAGATTGTTTTCAGCCATTCTACTCTACGATTATCTTTTGACACTGAGTGCCGAGATTTTGACGATATGGAATGCGCCATTCACTACTAGGACATCCCTCTGGTTTTTAGTCAATCGGTACCCAGCTATGATAGGCCATATAGCATTCAAGTTTCTGGGCCTGGCTAATGTTGTCGCGATAGATAACGTACGTTCCTATATAACTATTTTTGTGTATACTCTCTGACATATTGCGACCGTTACGTTGCCCCATCTGTTAGCATACGTATGTTTTCTTTGTTTTCTTCGAATCCTTCATCCACTCATGCAATCGTACCATGACAGTTGCAAGATATACCGAACATTTGGTCAAATGATCCTTGTTGTTCCGCAAGTTTTAGTATGTCGTGAGTCCTGGACTCATTTACTCACACCATTTAGAGTATGACAGACGCTGATCATGACGCTGGATAGTGACCATGATTACACGCACATGTGCCTTGTATGGGAACTCTCGTCGTATCATCGTTGTCATTGCATGTTTCTCAGTCGTTCTTTTGGGGGCTGTGACGGTGCGTTCACCCAGTATCTGTAGCTCCTCAGAACGATACTGATGTGGTACATGGTGACCGTCCACAACGTAGTGGTCTCTCACAGGACACGGTTCATCCATTAGCATGCCAGGATGCATCCTTTATACTCCACAGTCAGAGTACGCTACTTCCTTTTCTGTAGTGATGGGTTACTCAATGTACCTATAGAGCAATTCGTGAGTTCTCAGACCTTGGTCATTCTTCATCGAAGACTTTTGACACGGTGATACCATCGCCCTGCAGGTCTTGTCGCGTCTTGGGAAGCTCAAGCTGTATTCGACCTTCTCATATTTCTTTTGATCATATCAAAATCAATTCAAGAGCGACGCGCAAACGTGGAGGCATTGAAGTGGAGATTCATGTCGGGTCAAGAAAATTTATTTGAATTGGTCTGTCGCGACGGTAGGATTCACTAATCCTCCCCATCTTCTGTGTTGTTATCTCTGATGCCAGACATATTTCACATCCGTGTAATAGGTGCTCTGTACTTCGCGTAAGTATATCTCACTTTCTCCCTTCTCACAGGCAGCACATCTCAGGTTTAGTCCATCATTCGACTAGGATGATGGTAATGATGCATATCCCGAATATACTTACCTACTACGTAAGCTCGCTCGATTCTTTCTCTCCTATTAACATCTGAATGACTGTCTATGTTGACTGACTTCCATCGACAGCTCGGTGAAGTATGTACGGAGTGTTTTCCGGTAGAGGAAACCTACTGATATGTGACGTTGGTACATTATTCAGCCCACTCTTAAGAGTTCAATGTCGACTTTAACGAGCTGGTAGGTACCATATATCGACTCGGGTGTTTATCTCAAAGTGTCAGTGACATCTCTTCACTGTAATCAGCGTCTCAGTTACCCTTTCGTCTCGCCTTCTCCTCAATATATATGAGTACATCACCCCGAAGGAGTACACAAATCAAACTACGCATGCAATAGTACTCACAACTTGCCTGTCTTTACCGTCTTCACCTGCTCAGTCGACGTCATTGGAGGCGACGTCGAGAACGGGACCACTCGAGAACACTGGGACATACTCTGCCTTCGCATGACCTGGACCGCTCGATGAGTACGTTCACCTCCACTATCTACGTGTCTGATGGGCTTATGGAACTAATTCGGGAGTTCTCCTAGTACTTTGAGGTGTTTGACGTTCCATCCCGGATGGTGTCGGTTTTGATCGCTCTGGTGAAGGATACATCTACTCGTGGTAGGGTTTTGGTGTTATGGTCACGTACCACAACATTTACGCATATTGGTCCATTGCAAGAGTACATTCTCACGCTACCGACTCGTACGTTTTACCATGTTCTCGGATTTTAATATCCCACAACATATGCCAACGTTTGTGTTGAGTGAGCGAATGAGTGAGCAGCAAAAAATCGAATGGTGTCGAAAGCGGTCCGTTCGACTTCCGCGCCAAATTGGCGCGGCCGAATCGTGCTCGCCACCGGCAGCGACGTTGAGCCACATTTTTGGTCTCAAGAAATTTACAGAACTCACGGGATTGTAGCAGAAATCCCGTACTATGCATGTAGAAAAGCCGAAGGAGATTGAAGAAGTTGGGAGAGTGCGTGACTTTCCGTAGCAGTCTAGGAGTGTTTCTTGACGCACAGAAGCACAAATACGAGGCTCTCAGCCAATCAAAAATTGATATGAGCCTCGTTTCTGTGCTCTAGGCCTCTAGAAAGTACACAAATCCTCTACGGAAAGTCGCCAAGTAGAGTACAGAAGTGAAAACAGCTTTTTAGATCCGAGTCAAGAACAGTACCGCGCACCTCTTGCATGTAACCGGCGGACATTGATTCTCGGACATTGCCGATTCCCCATATTATTTGAAAGCGCATGACTCAGCAAGTCCTTTGGGTTGACTCTACGATATCCCTCCCTATCCTGAATCTTCATGTCGTCCTCGATGGTAACGTCTATAATGGCGCTGAGCGGCCACTCGGAATCAGATATATCTCCCCATGTTTCTGACCAGGCGCAGGTATCCGATCAAGAGCTCGAATCCATCACGTACGATTCTATCAGCGACGAAGGTCATGGTCGACTGGATAAACTGGTGTTGGAGTCGACGTTGATAAAGCGGCTCTTATCTCATAATGTCCTTGTACTAGGGAAGAGTCTTAAAGCTGCTGATCGAGTGGATGTCTTGATCGCAATTTGTTCGACTGCTGTCGGCCAGGGTATGTTCGAAGTCGACGAGGACAAGGCAACAAAATTACTATCGAAATATCCGAAGTTAGGCGAACTGGTGGATAGCGCGTGGGTTGCGGGTAGAGGTTTTATTGAGATACGACGCATTAGTCAGTCCTCTGACCATAGGCATTGACTGTGTCGTCGATGTTACTCACACAAATACAGAGGTTCTCAGGGTGGATGAACTGCGAGGCGCCTCCAATATTCAACGCCAGCCTGGTGAAGTGCTTTATGAGGCAAGCATTAAAGGTTCGTAATCATTGTATTCTAGAATTCTTCGATCGCCTAATATTAGAGTATGTATAGCCACGGAACATTCGTGGAATCAAACCTTCGTCGGCCGCGCTAATGTGGCACTCAAAAATCTCATTGTTCGTCATTACAAGACAATAAGGAAGGCTTATGCACCTCACTGCGCAATCGTCCAATCGACGGGAACAGAAAAATCAAAGACTGTTGACGAGTTTAGCAAGCACGACTTTGTCATACCAGTGAATCTTCGTAAGCCTAGAACTGGAGGTACGTATGGTGTCGCCATCTGGATCGTTTCTCTGACCTCAATGCTCGGTAGGTTTCCCCCCGTCTGACGAACAAGTGTACAACTTTCTCGAAACTGGACAACTCATGGCTCTCAGCCCGAATCTCGCAAGGGTTCGGATAAACACCTTCATGTTCGCGTTATTTGAGAAATGTGAGCAGGTTATCATGGCCGCCATCCAAACGCAAGGTGGCAATCCAAAGATTTGGCTCCGTGACAACGGCGCGGCGTGGTTCAGAGAGAAGATGTCAGAAGGCCAAACGATCCACGCTCAAGGTGAATATCGCATGGCATTCTACGACGACGTCGTCAAGCGAGCTGTAGAGGTGAGTTAGTACCAACTCTGGTTACCCTATTTGTATGTTAAGATCCCACGTCGTAGCTGTACGACGATGCTAATATTGCGTTGAAAGCTCGTTCGCCTTCCGCGGTGACCGTGAAGGGAACCTCACCAGAGCCGATACGTTTTAGGGGCCCAAGTGAGTTGATTTATATGCTGAGAGCCAGTTCCCCCTCTGATGAACCGCCTTGTGTTCTTCAGCGGATTCTTCAGTCGTGGACCAAGCGAAATCCCTAGTCAGTCATTGGGGCTTCGGAGACAAGGAAGAAAGAATCCATGCTCCAGCCCTCTACTTAGCCTTCGACGAAGCTCATTCGCTCTCCAGACCCAACGAGATACGGGACACTACAAAGCTATCTCCGTTATCTCATCTTGGCAGTATTCTAAGGTCATGTAGACAATTGCCTCTGTTCGCCATCTTCCTCTCCACCACCGGCAATATCACTCAGTTTTTCCTCCCTAAGGAGGATGACAACTCTGTTCGTTTGGAGAATGGGGAACTGGTGTTGATTCCTCCGTTTTGTGCTCTTGGCTGGGATCAGTGCTGTTCCCCGTACCCTTCGCAACAAATGAATCTATTCGAGGTGTCTTCGCTCTCCTACAAAGCTCGCCTGGGTCGTCCGCTGTGAGTTGTTTTTTATGGTGTTGGAGTCTTCTAATTTATACCGCACACAGCTTTGCGTCTCGTTATGCCTCAGGTGAAGGACTCCAAGGATTAGAGCGCGAACAACTTCTCGACGGTATCGTCGAATTCGCGGCTCAAAAGCTTATCAGGTTCGACCTCGATTCCTGGCCCACTCAACTGAACCTCGATCAGGAACTAGCATGCCTATCCGCCCGCTTGCCCATCGAGTTTATGTCCTCTACCTTAACCCCCTCGACGAGAGCCGAGCAGGATCAAGTCGCCCACCACATGCGCATCTGCTTGTCGGTCGACGAGGCGTTTTGCAAACTCACAACGCTCATTCCTTCAGAGCCAATCGTCTCGGAAGGCGCCTGCCTGCTTATGAACGATGACAGAGTAGCTTTTAATGCACCTGCGGCTCTCTCCCACGTTATCAGTGGCTTCTCCGTGCATCAGGGCGACCGCGGTGAACTCGTGGCTCTACTCGCCTTCACCATTGCCCGGGACAAGGTCGTGCGGCATAATCAAATCCGAGATGGTGTCTTCGGCGTTGTTCCGTTCCTGAGGGCACTCATTACCGTTCCCTCTGAGCCCACTACCCCCCATTCCAAGCCAGCCGACATCTTCGTCGACATCATGAAGATCAAACCGTCGGTTTGCAAAAGTCCAGATGACATGGATCGCCCCCTCGAAGCAGCGTTCGCCGACGTCAACCTTCACTTCAATCATTTTGTAAAGCAGCAAGAACAGAACGGGCTCGACGAGAAGACCATTCTAAGGGTTCATTGCTCGATGCGTAGCGGTGATGGGCGCCAATGGCCAGGCTGGGTTCGATGCACTGTTACCCACAATACTGGGGACAGCGATAGTGAATCGAGATACGCAGGGTTTCATCTTCATGCAGGCCAAAAATGACGAAAATCATACTGCGACTGTCCAGCCCTCGCTTTTCGACAGCATGGACTCCGTGGCGATGGGTTTTCTCAAACCAGGCGAGATACTCAAGACGCCGATCATACGGATCGTCTTTGCTTTGGCATCGAGAACACCTTCCATCAGCTACGTTTCTACTCAAAAACGGGGCAACTTCACGTCTTACGATATCTGGATCGCGGGTCTGAACCCGGACGTGCTTGCCGTCATCTCCAAAGAAGACCAAGCGATCTGGGACGTATTGCTCTCTGCTTCGAGGGGATGGAAGAAGATATACCAGCACGATGACCCGATTACAGTCTCGCTGATGAAGAACATGTCGCCGATGGTCTCGCAAGATCCTGATTTCTGGCCGTTCCGCCCACAAACAGCGCGGGCCGATTGATGTGAGCCCTCACTTCCTTGCTTTTTGGACCCAGTACTAACATGAACTTGTTTAGCATCTATTCGTTCCTTCGATCCACAGTTAGGATTTTTGTGTCCTGGTGCCCCAACTGTGTCGTGACAGTGTGCTCCTGCCATTAACCATTTGCGTTCTCCCTGTCGTTTTGTATTGTCTCGCATGGTCGTTCGTTATTGTTGTACTCTTTGATCAGTAGCAGAGAGGTCGGAGATCAGTAGAAGATATTTAGCAAGCTATTTGTACCATAACGTAGCATAAGGTGCATTCACTCTTCGCTCTTTCTCCTCTGGGTGATGAGTTGGAAAGGGCAAGCTGTCGTTTCTCGAGAGCGAGCTGTAGCGCATTCGGAAAAATGAATACATATGCTCGATCAGGTCAGAGACCTGATAATATACGGAGGCCAATAAGAGGGTCGCTCCTGAGAGTATAACTGACGTTGCGGAATATATCACACCCAATAAACATCTTTAGAAGCTTTTTGCTTTATTCTACTTATCTGCCAACTACTAAGTAACATAATGTACCGACTCCTTGAAAAAGAGAATCGTCGAGCGAGCACCAAGAAGAGCGAGACGAAATAAAACAAACACACGAAGACTCAAAGTAACCCTGAGAAAGACGGAAAGAAAGATGGCAGAAATACACGAAAAGAAAGTCGCGATTAGCACACAAAATAGAACGGACATAGGAGAATGAACAGAAATTATCAAGAAGGAACGAAAAAAAAAGTGACACGAGACTAATGAGACCAACAGGGCAACAAGACTCGGCGAGAGAGAATCGAATGTCGAGAGCACGGCTGCAGATACAATAATATAGATAACATACATCTTAACGGGTTGCTGCTTCGGTCCTCTCTCTCCTCATACACTATCTCGACCAACCACCCGTGGTCCGGCCCCTCGAACTAAGACCCAGATCCTTTCTATCCTTCCCATCTCTCTCCCTTTCCCTCTCACGTTCACGTTCTCTATCCCGATCAGCGCTAGGGCCCCTCGGGACACCCCCGAACCCGAATCCACCACCACCACTGACCCCAACAGAACCAAAAGTACGACCAGGAATCGAAGGCGATGACGCCGAACTCGCAGCTGCAGCAGCTCTCAGAGCTCGCGGACCAGATGGTAACGGTCTCGAACCAGGTGGAAGCAACGGACGCTGAGGGAGACTCAACGAAGGAGCACTGCTTCGAGCTGCGAAGGGTAACGAAGGAAGATGAGAAGGCGAGAGCCCACCAAGCTTGAACGAACGTGGAGCAGATGGCGGTGGCCTTGACGGGAAAGAAGGTCCAGAGGGAGCGGAAGTTGACGGTGTCGAAGCACGAGTATTGGGCGCCGTCGAGTTGGCCACGATTTCGCCTTCTTCCTGAGTCGACTGTCGAGACGGCGGGATGGGCTTTTCTCTGTCGCGCCAGGTCGACGCGTCGGGAGAGGCCATCGGAGAAGTATGAGGTGGTGAAAGCGCACGAGGGTTTGGTGCAGGCGACGATGTAATTGAGCCGAGGTAGTCAACCTCGTCGTCGTCGTCGAGATCGCGAGTGCCATGGCCATTGACCCCGTTTGACGATGACGGCTGAATCGTCGGAGGTATTGGAACAGTGGCAGCCTCCACAGCCTCGGCTTTGGCCTCTCTCGAGTCGAAGACATGCGCGTTCTTCAACGGACTGGATATCGGTGGTGGGAGCACAGTCTTCTCAATCGTTGGAAGCGAAAGCGACCTCGGCGGCGGCGGAGACCAAGGCCTATCCGTAGACGAGAACGAGTCCTGATTCTCGTTGTCATCCTCGTCGTCATCAACATCCATTGCCAACACATCCTTCATAAGCTCCAGCGAAACCATTCCGTTCGTCTTAATCGCCCCTCCCCCTCCGATGCCGTTACCGTTACCATTGTACCTCACCTCCGAACCCTGCACCCGATTCTCCTTCTCGCCATCCGTGTCCTTCCGCCCCTCGTCCGGCCTTCTCTCTTCCACCGCTGCTGGAGACTCAACGACCGGCGTAAGACCGCGCTCCTTCATCTCCTTCTCCTCCTCTTCCCTCTGCTTCTTCTTCCGCATCGCGAAATCCTTGAGCGACATCTTGACTTTCGGAGGTGGCGGAGGCGTGGGCGTTCGCGCGGGTTGTGGAGGACTGGCGGTTCGTTCTCGTGGTGGAGAGGGAGTTCGTTCGCGTGGGGTAGCGGTATGGTCTGGTGGAGGGGTAGTGATATGCTCGCGTGGAGGGGTGGTAATCCGATCTCTAGGTCCCATTGGGGTCCGTTGACGAGGCGAATGCGCTCCCGGTAACGGTGATGTGTCACGCTGCTCAGGAGAAGCACGATCATGGGTGGCATTAGTTTGTCGAGGAGAAAAAAGTCGTTCCGCACTCGGCGGCGACGGAGATCGAGATTTCGACCTGTCCCTCTGCGGAGAAAGAGTAGATGGAGCCGATAGAGGACTCGAGGCCAAGACGATTCCTCGCCCGTCTCCCGCTTCGAGCATACCACCATCCATCACGGCATCTTCACCGTCATCGAGCCGTTCGTGATTGTGTGGAGGAGGAATATGGGTAGGCGTGGATGGCGACGGTGGTGACGAGTGAGAGACGGAATGGACGACGTGGGGTGAGGCAGGAGATTTGAGAATGGGAGGCTCGATAGGATTAATCGGAATTGGCGGTTGTGGATTGGATATCGTGGCAGTGGGTGCAGTCGTATCCTGAGTCCGAGGAGATTGTTCCGGTGGTGACTCCTCCTGCATAGACTGCTCTGGTTCCCGAACCCCTTCCAACTGCCCACCCGACAATGCCTCCTTCCTCCGGAACGGCTCGACCTTAGCCAGCGACTGTGGACTCCCCGCTTTTTCAAGCTCCACAGCCTTATCGCCGTCTCCGTCCACATCCATAGCACCCTCCTCCTTCGCATCGTTCTCCGGAACCGACTCCATACTGGTATCACCCTCCACCTCTCGACCATCCCCAACCTCTTCCACCTCCGACTCAAGCTCGCTCTGTGGCGGGGGCGATTTGGTCGTGATCGATTCAGCGACAGGGTGTGAAGAAGGGGCCGTGGACAGAGGCGATGAGGATTGATTGAACGATAGAATTCGGGGTGGAGATCTCGTCTGCGGGGGCGACCCTGTTCCGGCCATAATCTGTGTCGTCGAACTGCCGAATGATATCTGTGGTGAGGTCAACGAGAGCATCGCGAAATGAGCCGTCGGTGACGGTGTAGCGGTTACTGAGGCCGGCGCCGGTGCTATCGCATGGCCACTCATTGTCAGGTTGGAATCGGGCGTGCCGCTGGAAGGTGCGAAGATGGGATAGGAAAGTGGGTCGGAGGAGCGTCTATCGGATGGGTGAAGATGTGTGGCGGGGTGAGGCTTGTACGCGGGTGAAAGCGAAGGAGAAGGTGAGGATGGGACGGCGGTGGTCGGGTTAGGGGCCGGAGGAGGGGGCATGGTGCTCGCTGTCGGCGTCGGCGTTGATATTGTTGATATCGGACCTTGAAAGATTTCGTCAGTCTTGGTATTCCAGCGCCCGATGATTGAATCGACGCACCATCCATTTCGGCATCCATACCGACAGCCCCCTCCTTCTGCTTGATCTTGCCTTGATCCAACCCTTCGACAGACTGCTTCCCGCTGGCCACGACAGGGACAGTCTTCCGAATCCACCCCTTCCTCATCTTCGGCGGCATCCTCTCCGGCATCTCACTCGCGTCCATCCCGTTATCACCCTCTTTATCCTCATCCATGAGCGAAGAAACCGATCCGGAACGTGATCTTGAAGACCGACGACGCCGACGGTGTGCGGGTAGGTCTGTCGAAATGAGCAAAGAAAACGAAAAAAGAAAAGATGAGAGGAAGACCCCGAGGTGAGTATAATCGCGTATAGCCCATGATTCGACAGATGGCTGACCTGAGACGCCATTACCTGCCCCAGTCTGGTCACTCATCTCCACATCACCATCCAACCCTCCCTCGCGCGCTTTCTCCTTGCCCTTTTCCGTACTTTTCCCCCTTGTCACACTCTTCCCTTTCCCCTTCACATCTCTGCTCGGCGTCGCAGGACTCACCATCACCTCCGGCATCTCCCTCGACTCTGACTCGGACGGTGGTACCATCTCGACTCCCTCCATCCCGCCACTCCACCCCTCGACACCCCTCTCGCGTGTCCTGAACCCGCGCTGGGTACCTACTAACGGCCCTAGGTCAACGTTTGCATTCGACGGGCCCGCGACGTCCAGATTCGCGTTCAGACGGTGGGAGTGCGATTTGGAACTCGACGGGCCGGCGGATGGTGGTCGAAATGAGGTCGATGTGGTTGTCGAATGAGGTTTACGATACAGGTGCGGCGGCTGAACGTACGAATCGGGGACGAGTGGCGAATGCGGGAAAGGCGTTGTTGGCGTCGGTGTCGGGTTATGATAGTTGTTCAGCCATGGATGGCTGAAATGTGGCGTCTGTGGCGTGTACGGCGACTGGGGAGGAGGATGGTTTGAGTCGCGTCCGTTCACACCCGGGCGTTTCTGCGGAGAGGAGTGGGAGGTCGGATACGAGGGATGGTATGCATGCGGAGGATACATGGATTCGGACGGAGCGGGAATATCTCCGTCTACGAACGCGGCCATCATTTGAAGGGCGCAATCTTTCGACTTTGAGCCACAGGCGCAGGTGGTGAATGTTGATGTGAGGGAGTGAAGAATATGGGTCATCTGCGTGCGGAGGTGGGTGATTTGGTGTGGTCTGTTGTGGTGCGAGAATCTGGTCAGTACAGAGTATTAAACGAAAAATAGACGCACGAGATGATACCCAAAAATCAAAGAAATTGAGTAAACAGGAAGAAAATAGAACCAAATAATAGTCATAGATAGAGGCGAACAGGAATACTCACGAGAAAAGATGCGGTGTTTCGATGAGCGCTGGCAACGCATGGATCGCATTCCCGTCGTCCCACTCCCAACCCAAAACAACCTCTTCATTCGCCTTCAAATCTCTCAACGCAAATACTCCAAACGTCAACGGTTCCTCCCCCTCCTCCACCGCTGGAACCTTCTCCCGCCCCCTCTCCCTCTCCTTACTCTCTTCACAGATCACAGGCCTCAGAACGGCATTCGGTCGACATCCACTCCTGACGAACCTCCCTTCGTCTCCTGCGACTCGTGCGTCCAATGCAACGTCGAGTGGCGGTCCGAGAAGGTGTACGAACGGTTTCGGCATGCCGTGGTGGGCATAAGCGTTGAGTGGATCAGAGAGGTAGGAAGACGATGGGATGACGGTCGACGTGAATGGAGTGATGAAAGAGGTGGATGGGATGGGGGAAGTGGCGAGAGTGGCGTATGTCGGTGGCAGAACGCTGTGGGCAGGCAACGAGTCCGAACGAATTGGGTGAATAGATGTCGAGGCGACTGATGGTAGTGACGAAAAATGGACTGGCGATGCATCGAAGGGATGTGTGGCGGGTGGCGGCGACGATGGGGAACTGAGAGCCGTGACACCGCGCCAATGTTGAGCCTGTCGACGCAGCCTATCCTTCGTCTCCGGATTGGGAAAGATATTGTGGGTAATTGGGACATAGCTCGACGTCGGCGGCGGCTCCTCGATCTCGACATGCTCGTCCTCGTCGACTTGTGTCGGCTGAGGATGGTCCTGATGAACAGACGCCCGTCTCCGTTTCGCCTTCTTCTGCTGCTGCGTGCCCGGACTCGTCTCCCTCGCGCCATATCCCTGTCCATTCCCGTGTCCATGCCCATTCGCCATCCCGCCACCTCCGTCTCTCATAGCCGCCATTGCACCAGCCTGCATAGCTTTCAACCGTTCCCTCTGTACCTTCCTTGCCTTCTCTCGATCCACGCCTTTCGTCCCCGCGCAGACCCAACAATGCCATTCTTCTGGTACCTGACTCGGGTCCGTAATCTCAAAACAGGCTGCATGACACCACCTGGAGCAATTGTCGCATGCGATGGAGAAGCCGTCGTCGAAGGTGAAGCCACAGATGCAGTTGATAGCATCCGTCGACGCTTCTTCCGGCCTAGGGAGGCCCGATGAGCTCGAGGCAGCGTAATGACGTGACTTAGAGGAGGAAGAGGGTGCTGGTGATCGTTTGGATAGCGCGGGCGAAGGCGGCGGTCGATGTTGTGGTTGTGGATGGTTGTGGTGAGACGTCGAGGTCGACGCAAAAGTCGAGGACAAAGCCGAAGTACTCCCAGACGCCCCAGTTTCTGAAATGCTCTTCGGCCTATCAAACGATGCAGGAAAAGGTCTCTTCCTCGGTATCGTCGGCGCCGTCGTTGTCGAGCTCGGGGCTGCCGTCGAAGGGTGCGGAAGGGGCGAAAAGACGTGATGGGCTGTGGTGGGCGACTCAGAGAGACCAAGCAGACCGAGCGCGGCCTCGGTCGCATCGTTTTTCATCGAGTGCCGATCCGTCGTCGTCGTCTCTGTCTTCGTCGGTCGTTGTTCGTAAGGTGGGATGGGGTGTGAATTGTGGCGTGCAATATTGGCGAATTATGAGGGTGCGAGGAGAGGAGTTCGGCGTTGTGGGTGTCGTCGCCGATAACAAGACTCGGGTGGCGCGCAAACAATGGCAAACACGCCCTTTTCAGGGACTGTGGCGCGCAGTACCTTTCTTCTCCCTTTCATCGTTCTGGCTCTCTTATGTCTCTGATCGTTCTTGAATGCGCATTGTTCGTCTTAGAATTGTGTGACTCATATTTATACTCCTGAATATTCCCTTGCCATCCACCGCAAATGCGCGCTGAATGAGAGTTCAATTTGTCGTGGCGATCGTGCAGTGTGGCGCAGGTGCGTAGACGACGTCGACTTCCACTTGGTTAAATATCTCTTACAGTATCTTTACGGTAGTAGTCTGTAACTCACAGCTTCCACCTCAGTTAACTGCTGGATTCATACCATTCAAGATCGTACGCGTAACCAAATAAGTATCTGAGTTGTCAATGCGTGGCGGTATCCTTCGGGGTCCATCAAGTGTATACCGATACTTAGCCGACGTGTCCTTTGCTCTGCATCGACGATATTGCTCCTCTCGGGCAAAATATTCACTGTATATCTTCATGCTGGCTAGCTGTCGACACCGCTAGGTACCCAATCCCCTAGTCGGCGCCTGGCTGCTCGATACCTAACATCCCATTCGAGCATATAAGGGAGCCTCGACCCGACGCTAGTGCGATGCGTTTACAAACGGAACATCGCTGAGGTTAGTGCGTTCTCCTTCGGCTCCTATCCGTCCATACCTACGCTCTGGGACGCCTGCACTTCTGCACAAAAGTCGCCGTACTGAAGATTGGACGTCATCGTTGTATCATTCAGGTCCCAGAAATTAAACAAACTACTTCATCGTATCCTACACCTACCATACACAAGCAACCGCATAAGCCCTCCACATCTGAATGCGATTTCGACCACTCTTCAAGGCATGCAAAGAGAATACTATCCCCCGTCCTCGACCTCTGGAACGCTGCGAGATCCTACCTTCCTCTTACGCCAACGCTCATCGAGATGCTTTTAAACACTCTCCTCGCCACCACTCTCCGCCCTAGCTCTCTAACGCCTGACCAGCACGTACGACATTACATCCTCCCTCTCCAACACCAATTTACAACCACCCGGATCAGTATCCACGCTGCTCATGACGCCTTTCCTATAGTCCTTTCACGATATTCAGCATGCTCATTTGAGCAGTTGGTTATGTGGACGGATGAGCTGGCGAATATGTCAGGCAGACTTGGCGCGGTCGAAGCCGTGGTGGGCATTTGAAGAAAGTGTGTAGTCCCGAGGGAGGTATGAAGCTGACGATATTTGTGTGACGGTATCTGGAGTTGCGAGGATGGTTAGACCAATCAAGTTGGCGAGTCTTTTTCTTCTTCTATCGCGACAACATGCACGCCGATCATGTTATCTAATTCATACAGTTTTACGCCTTACCTGTACTGCAGACGTAGTCACGGTCCCCACCAACCCCCAAAACTCCTCGAATCAAAACCCGCGCCTGATAACACTCCGAATCCTCCAACACTCTCCCCTGTCATCCCTCTCATCAGCCCCTTAAACGCCCTCTCCATCTCCATCAGCACCGCTCCCAACCATTTCCCTAGCCCTCCCCGTGCCTCCGCTGACCCTGCACCCGCGAGTAAAGACTCAGTTTCCGTCGGTGAGGCAGTTGAGAGTGGCGGCGGTGGTGGTGATTTAGCGTACGGGTAGTTGCAGAGTGGTTCCATTTATGCTCTGTGGGTGGTCCGGTCGGTAGTTGGTCGGTAATTTGGTTGCGTTGGATTTTTATTCGTCGAAAGGTGCATAGTTGGTCGATCGAGTGGGTTGATCAGTCGGGTGCCTTGGTCGATCCAACGCGTCGGTTGTACCGTCGATTTGGCGCAGCACGTCGGGAATCAATAGCGTGGTTTGCATCTTATCGGAGGAAGACATCGGACACGATCCCACCGTACAGGTCGTTGGTGACCCAAACAGCAAGGTTCCTGTGTATCGCTTCTCCCTCGGCGGAGATAATGCTCGTCTCTGGCAAACAGTCGATGCTCTTTTCTGGTCCTCTATCTCCTACACCGGCCGAGGGACTAGTGTCTGGGCCGTTCGGCAGGTTAACCCGGACACCGGGGAGCTGTTCGGCGATGTGTTGATCATGAAGAATGCATGGCGTACGCAGAGGCGGACGCCAGAATCCGGTATCTATGGCTCTGTGAAGGGCGATCATCCCGGCCTGGCAAAGTTTTTCGATGGGAGAGACGTATTCTATCCTAGTCCTAGAGATCATGAAGCGATCACGGTGTACGGCCTTCGAGGGTATTCACCGGACAGTCACGGTCTCGAACGCCATCTTCATCGCCTTCTCTTGAAATCGGTTGGTCAACCGCTTTGGAAATACGAGTCCGAGCTGCAGCTTCTCAGAGGGTTGCGCGACGCTACTCTCGGTACATATGCTTTACTTTTCCATAGCGCTAACCTCTACTGATTATGAGCTGGGGCGCTATTTAGCTCATCAGTTTTTGTCGGAGCAGGGAATTCTCCACCGTGATATCTCGGCCGGTAATGTGTGTTTGCTTCTGTTTTTATACGTGAGTATTTATGTCTTAGAAGTAGCTAACGGCATTAATGTTAGATTCTCCTCAACAGGCTCCCTTCGCCCCCACCGGGCGGCGAAGGTTTCCTTTGCGACTTGGAACTCGCTCATTTGGATAAGCCCGATGTTGAATGGAATACTGAGTACGTCAAGGTTGTCGAGGAGCACCCACCTCAGCTTCGGCGGGGGTGTTCCGCTCTAAATGCACAGCCGCCCGTACCGAGGACCGTGTCGACGTCGATGCCCATGAAAATGAGTGGCACAGTCGAACACGCAGACATCATCACCGTGAGTGTGATCGAACATGTGTATTTGCACTGATCCCTCGTAACTCTCTGGCTCATTTGCTCTTCACTACTCGGGACAGGGAACGGCTCAGTTCATGGCAGCCGAGCTGCTGCTAGTGTCCATGCACCGAAAAAAATCCAAGGTCGAGCATTTCCCGCATGGCGTCCACCATGATCTCGAGTCCATCATTTGGGTCACTGCTTACGCGGTCATGAAGCACATTCACCTGCTCGTCTTGCATGACCCGAACCTGTCCAAGTCAACGGAAGACGAGGAGGACTGGTACAAGGCCATCCGGAGCGCATTTGGCCACTTGACGCTCGAGAGCATTTATAATTCCAGGACGGCAAAGGCCCCGTTGTTGTTCATCGGTAGGCCAACGCTCAGGGCACCGATCCACAATGTTGTACGGAATCACGTCTCGGAGACGATGTGCAAACTACTTTACGGGTTTGTGCACTTGCTGGAGTTTCAACATATGCTGATTTCAACCAACATGACCTACAATGACCTACTGGGTTTGTTCAATACGGCGATCGCGGAGCTCGAGGCCGCGGCGACTCCGTCGAAGGCATAAGTAGATGATCATCGAGAGAGGGAATTCTGTATATCTTGTCTGTACCCACGTTTAGCCATAGTGTTTTAGCTTCTCGTGGTTCAGCGTTCATTCCCAGTACTTATCACGCTCACTCATTGTTTTATCATGTAGCGTACGTTCTGCCTTGGTTCCGTTGATATTCTGTGGTATCTTTTCTTTTTGCGGGTTACTTTACTGATTGTCTTTGTCCAAAGATGATGACACTGTGGAGTGTTCTTGGGGTGTTCAGTATTGTTGAACAGCGAGCTAGAGAAATCGGACACATCTCAGTCGGCTGGGAAGATGGACGACTCTGAATATATATCACTGTACCTAGAGAAATCGGACACGTATAGGTACAATGTAATTAGGAGTCCATATGATAACAGAGAACGAAGAGCAATCGGGAAAACTCACCTCAGTCAGCTGGGAAGATGGACGACTGAGGACAAGAGGAAAAACCGAATGCGTATGAAAATTGGACGAGAAACCTAGAGCCGTGGTGGTCAAAATTGTAACAATCTCTCACAAAGTGGACGATTTTCTTGTTAATTATTGTGGGTTTGTTGTAAATTATCAGTTCTGGGCTAGGAGCTAGTTACAAGTGTTGTAAGTACGCTCACCATGGTAATGCTACAAATTGTAGGCGCCGTCAATGGCCGCCGAGTTACACATACTGTAACTCTATCCACCGTGAGTAGGTTACACAATTGTAGTAAGTGCGCCCGAGGACCGGTCAGTTACATTATTGTAGGTGTGTTCAAGAGAGACGACCACTGGTTACAATAATTGTAACTGAAGGGTGCTTGCAATGACTCTGTTACGCTATTGTAAGCGCACCCGGGGACCGGTCATTTACATTACAAGGGAAAGGCCTTGCAGGCGGTACGATTCCACATCTTTTTTTTTTATATAGCCATGCTGACGCATGGCCTAGCCACGATTCCCAATGACACTGTGAGACATATACTACAGAACAAGCACGATCACCGAGAATAAGTAAAGGGGAAGAGTGTTAACATATATACATGTTCTACTCAATGGATCCGGATAGCCAACCGGCCGCCGGTAACGGAAACAGGACTGGAGGTCGCGTCATGTGTCATGGTAGACAGTGCAGCAACAATGCGTTTTCTCTTTGAACTGAGTGGTGTAAAGTCAAAGACACATGGAGGCTAGTCGTATTGCATTCAGATCATAGGTAGAGTAACAAGGAAAGAATCGAGGAACCATAGCGGCGGTGTAGGCGAACGTATACTGAATCTGATTGGAATTGCCCGTCACGTCAAGTATATACACTCCCACGCCACAGACGGTAAACACACGCTTACGCCACACTGCCTACAACCTGTTACCTTATCACCTAGCAGCGTTCAACGTATAGTACATAACACAGCACGATATATGCACTGATGTATAGAAGGGAGGCAAGACAATAGAGAGCATAAGAGTATGGGAAAGTGAAGGATGTCTAAGGTAGTGTCGTAGGTTCGGACAGAATAACCAACGTGAAAATAATCCAAGACACTGTCAGAACGGCCACACAAGAGGATAGAAATGTCGGACTTGCCTAGATTGGCTAGCAAAACTAGTCGCTCTGCCAGGTGTCTGGTACGGAATCTGACACAGTCTTACAGAATAAACAACCAGTAGGTGAGCAAAGCGGAGAGAGGAGGGGCGCAAACACAAACGGTTACCTCATATTCTTCCCCTTCATAGTTCGACTCAACAATAACGTTGGGTATGACATCTTCCAACTTCTTGAACGCGGACTCACGAAGTTCGGTCTTCGTGATTCTGACGGTTTGCAAAGGCAAGCCTTCCCGTCCCATAGACCAAACAGCAAGGCAGAGCCCCTGCATACCCTCAAAGTGGCTGGAGTAGAATAGACCATCATCTACGCCGTGTAAATGAATGGAAGATAGAGACAGCCACTTGATAGAGTAAGAGGACTCGTCCGGGAATATGATATGGCTACCCTTTCCACCTAGACCTATCAACAATCGACTGGCCTCCGGTCCCACTTCCCCCTCAAGAACCAAATGCTCTACCCAGCGTAGAAGGATATAAGCCTCTCCCATACCGTAAAAGCGAGGGTTGCCCCTGGAATCTTCGGCCAGTACCACCTCACGGATGCAGCGGGCGTCCAAAAGATCGAGCAACAGGGCGAGGCGTGTACCAAACGGACCGTGCTCCTCGACGCTCACCGAACAGTGGTCCGCTCCTTCGAAAGACATGATAGGACGTTTTAATCCGAGGGTAAATCGTACCCGGGTGAAGAAGGTCGTACGGCCTTGAAGTATGGTGCCCAATGACGAAGTGAGTTCCTTTGGCCCATTAAATATCATCTCTCCCTCAGTTTCACGGAGAAGGAGGTGGTAAGCGCGGACGTTGAATGTGGGAAGTATGTCCAGTATGAGATGATGATAACGGGGATTCAAAATGAGATGGACGTATTCGAGTGCCGGGAGCCACATCCTCGGGTCCGCGTTGGATGCGAGAAACCGTATGCCTGTGTTGAAGACGAAGCGACGAAGGTGACGAAGATGGCCAACGGAGTTGGCGAGCCGGGAACGAGACAGTGTGTCAACGCCGTGAATGTTGATAGTGAGGTCTTCGATGTGGAGGGGGAGCGATCTTTCTATGGCCCAGAACTCCCATTCGCACTGCACTTCAAGGGTGCGTAGATATGTGAACCCGGATATGGGAGGAGGAGAGAAGATGATGTCCGGCGCTGGGTAGTCGACGATGTAGAGGTGAAGAACGTTTGGAAAGGTAGCGGAGTTAATGTGGTCTCGGTGTTCTGCCCCGAGATACCAATTCGCCCTTAAGGTCAGGCTGACTACCTGGGATGGAAAGTTATGGTAATTGTCGCGTATGGATATGATGGGATCCGCGTGGGATGTCCAGACAGAGAGTTGGGTGGTAGCGCACCGATCCAGCCACGAATGAAGGAATTTGCGAGGAATAATGTCCAGGTCGATACCTCTCCAGATACTCGCCTTTCCCGATGCGACACGATACCATCTCCTGCATACCCGTAATATAGACAGAAGATTCTTGACGCTAGATAGGGAACGAGGTTTATCACCAAAGTCCACCAGACACTCGAATACCATGCAGAGGATTTCTTCTGGCAGGGTATGGGTACCGACACAGCTGGGGTCCAGGCCGAGATTGTTGCGCCGTTCCCGTACGTCAGCAAGCATCGTACTAAGAGCCGTGTCCATGATCTCCATCTGGCCTGAATCCCACGTAAGAAGATTGGGCTTGAAGACCAGAGACCGTAAGCGATGCAGTTGTATCAAAACAGGTGCGATCGCTTCGTCCTGCAACATTAGAGGTGAACGTCAGAGTTGGTAGTTCAATGGGATGGTACAATTGTAACACTGACCGTGTAATCCTCCATGTGAGACTGGACGGAATGTGCTAGGGCGAAGGACCCAGACATGATACTCGAAGATATTCTAGCCATATTCTACGATATGAGCAAAGGCCGGTACAGTGCAAAGCCAGAAGGCAGTAGAGTACTCACAGTAGACCGAGGAGAGGCTTGAACAGTAGGACGTAGGCAGTCGATAGTAGAACCTGAGAATAGTTGATTGTGAGCGACTCCCTCGTCGGGAAAGATACGGTCCGTCCCATAAAGGAGGCATATCCAATATCTTAAGGTACGGATGATATTAGTCGTAAACCATGATCACTCAATCTATACGATGTCATCACGAAGTTATCATACTTGTCTTGATAAGACGCCAATAAATCGAACCTGGATAAACAAAAAACTGGCTATGGCGGCAAACGAACGAAAGAGACCATAATAATAAACCCTGACCAGTCTGGAGAGCATTTGGTGACCTCACATTGATAGTATGACGACGGTGTATGAGACGTACCGGCTGGATGTGTTGGTGTAAAGGACGTGGTGAAACCGAAGTTCGACTGTTCAAAGAAAGGCACACACAGCGCTATGGAACACATGCAGGCCTTGGACCCAAACCGAACGGCTACCACAGAAATCGTGTGGCAAAGACGTGCTCAGATCCGGACATAAGTATGGGGTTATGGAGTGGGGGTAGAAAACGTATTATAAATCCTAGAGATAATGTAGAAACGTAACAAGAATAATGACAAATGTAAGGTGATATATAACGAGTTATGTTAACAGTGCCTACGATGCAAGGGATGGGAAGCTGTCCTTCGAGAATTTACATGTGGTGTCCGCACCAGCAGCTTTGGCCTGCACCATGGTGTCATATCCTGTTTCCGCGGACTGGAACATCGTTGCCTGGTTGAACCACACAGCCGAGCCTCTCCCATCAGTGCCGTCCAACGGCTGACTATTTTCCCGAGTTGGACGAGAACCGTCCTCTGTGGTGACCACCTCTGTGAACATAGAATGTCAGTTCTACAATCGCAAGCAGGAATAAATCACACTCACCGATGTCCCAGTTGAAGTGATAGAATAACGAAGATGGATAGGCCACGAAAACTCCGGCTGGGATCTCGATGATGACGCCAGCCTCCCATATTACAAGCCACGCCTTTCGTTTATGGTCGAAATTACCTGTTGAACAGTCGCGGTTAGTTGTTTAGCCATCACTTCAGATATAGGAAAGGAACAGGTACCGTATACGAATACCAGACATACTCCAATGGCAATGTTCTTCCAGTCTACGTGAGGTTCGCAATATACACGGCTCACCGTTCCCGGCCTCGCGCCATTCAAACAGAAATTATAAAATAAACCATACATGGGCCATATGCCATAAGTCTTGCCTATGGTTTGATGGCATTCCTTATACCGGGCGACGATTTCTGGGAAACTGACTTCCAGAAACCTCATCCCCATGGCCCTGAAGAGCGAACCGTAAGATAACATTGAGGACAAACCAAAATGTGAAGCTAACTGTATTTGATAGATGGCACTACCGGGAGCGAAAAACGCGTCGAGTGCGGTCTTGTTCTTGACATGCCAAGGGTTTAAAGCGGGTACCTATATCACCGGTAAGAGATGACAAATCATGAAGATGATGAGTTAGATGGTACACCTTCTTATTGTTGCGATCGTGGCCGAAGATGGTGAACTTGTGCGGTCCTCGACTATGGACAACACCAGGGGCAAGCGTGTACAGGGTAGTCGCGGACCAAAACAACACAGCTTCAGCCTGCAACTGTGGCAGTAGGCGTAGCATACAAGACCGGAACATCGACCTCTTGCATATTAGGCGACCTTCACAATCCCGGATGTCCGTTGCGGGCTGTGTCCTCAAACTGGTAACAGTCAGCGTAACCTGATAAGTCCAACTGACATGGGGGACTTACTTCTCTCGGAAAGGAACTCGCTGAAAATCCACCATATCGCTCTCAATGGTACGATCTGACCACCTCTTTTTCATCTGCGCATTCTCTCGGCCGTCGAACCTCCTTCCCATCCATCCAGTACTTGAAATGGAAAGCGAGTCGAATTGGAGGTTGGTCGATATCTGCTCAGCACGGTTTACCGTCTTTGCCTGCAGGCGTTTGCGGCTCCTGTATGCGTTCTGATTCTTCTTCTTCTCGTTCTTCTGGCTGATCTTGGCTTCAAGTTCCTGCATGGTCATTGAATTCCGGGGCGGTGGTATTGGGAAACCCATCGGTACTGTTTGCAAACCTGAGTATAGAAGCTAATTCACAAGATTTTTCCCCAACTCACCGGCCTGACCAGGGATGTTCGGATGCTGTCGTGCAGCTGTGGACGGGAGAGGTGTATGGGATGGCCTGCGGGGAACGTTGCTATCCACGTATGCAGATCAGTAGAATAGACAAAAGGACATAGAGTTTGGGGCCTACCTTGACGGGGCGGCCTGTGCGGACAATTCAGCGCGGCGAAATAAGTAGAAGTAATATAACCGGGAAAAAAATAGGGCAGAAGCGACTCACGATAAAACGTTCAGACGACGAACCATTTTCACTAGAGGCGGAGTAAGGTTGGCGTCCAAAGCACGATGGAATGCCGTTGGCTAAACCGCCTGCCCAGTAAGATGTCCTCCCGTCACCTAGATACACAACCATATTAACTAAACAATGAGGAACAGTTCGCCGTGTGCTGGGATGTCCTGACTCACTGGAATCTGACATCTCAGTGGCACCCGGTACGTATGCAGACAAAGAGTCGTTGTTTGATGTCCGGCATCGCTTGAAAGGAGGCGCATGAAGACTGGACTGGTCAATGAGAGGCCGTTTGCCTTTGTCATCCAAGACCTGCGGACAGCCTCGCACTTTTACACGGGAAGGAATCGGGGTATCCATACTCTCCAGCCTACCCGCATTATTCCTTCGGTAGGTCCTTCGAACAGCTGGATCGCGATTGAGATCGGTTTGGTCTTTGGAGCAGGCGCGAATCATCACCACGTCCTTGAGTGACACAGGAGAGGATACGCATCGGTGCTGTAGATGTCCGGCGCGGGCAAATCGTGGGTCTGCGGGTAGCCTATCGCGTTACAGAACGCATTTAGTTGGCCGGTATTTAGCGGGGGGAGCATCAACCAAGAAATATAGACGCACAGTTTGTCTAGCTCTTCTGCAATCGCATCGGCCAGTCCGGGCGCATTGGCGATCCATTCAAGACCGTCAGAGTCGATGGATGCGGCGGACGCACCGGTGTTAACGTCCCACTCGAGACCGTTGGCATCAACGGGTGCCACAGGGGTGGAGTCGTCCGGATCGCAGGCGTATTCAGGCAAACCATCAGGAACGATAGGCGACATGTTTCTAGGCTGGATGGGTGCATTGGATGCGGAAACGACGGCTTCCTTGGGGGAATTGTCGTTGCATTCAGGTTCACTGTCCGTCAAATCTGTCAAATCTGATGGCCGGTAAGTGCACTTTCACATTAAGAACGCACGGATGCTAACCAGAATCGTCATTTGAGCTTTCGACAACTGTAGACGAGCCAACGTTTCCTTGAGTGTAGGCAGGCTGGTTGTTTGCTAAAGGGGTTTGACGCAAGTGAGTGAAACAGGGACAGGAAACAGAGGCGAAAGCAGTGAACGAGATCATACTTACAATAAGAACCGCCCGGGGAATGGCGAGGCATGGTATCGCCACGGGACGCACCTCCGCGTAGCCTGAAGCAGACGTACAGGTGGGTGCCGTCCTCAAATCTTATGTCGCCGAGCGTTTGATCGAAGTCGATGGGACGTTTGGAGTAAGACGGATAGAACACGTAGCCGTTCAACGAGTCGGTTATGGCTGGGACAAGGTGGCGACGACGTAGCTGAAACCAGACGTCTTTGAGAGGTGCATTGGATGATAGATCTGTACAAACGGTGTATTAGAATATAGTCCGAGAGAGAAATGGGCGTATGCTTACTCAAGCACACTCCTTTCGTCGCGCCCTGCACCAGTACGTTCAGGACTGGACCTTGCCTACGCTCTCGCCTATTACCAATCCGTTGGGAACCAGAGACTGACTGGTGTGTAAGCAAACATGTACTTCAACGAAGAGACAATATAAACGTACAAAATGAACCGAAGAAAGTGCTAGTGCACCCGATTATAGAAAGAGAGGCGGGAAGTATGAGACGCAGTGCATTGTAAAAGGCCCACGACAGAAACGTAGCACACGCCCAAGCTGCAAAGGCAGTAGACGAACAGCAATAGAGCAAACAGCTCAACACAGCTGCGAGGGCACAAGAAAAAGCAGAGCATAAATCCGACTGTGCTTTGCTGCGAGCTTCCCGTCCAAGCTTTTGTTGCTTATAGGCTCTGCAGCGTGACTGACGCAGGAGAATTACACGAGGATGTAGAGAAGGGCGGTTCCGCCAACGGCGACGATATAAAGAAACAATTCTCATGAAAGCAGACGTCGCGCTCACACGAAAAAGAAGACAAGGTATGTGTGACGTGTCTGCACAACAAAACAGGTTCCGACGGATGCACGTGTACCGAGGTGGCACAAGCAATGCACAACAATGTGGCGGAACAACATGGCGTGCTATCTTTTTTTTTGAGAAGCCTACTAACTATCGTACAGGTTGTATAATGGTTTGAATAGATGATCGATCAGACTCGTCAAACCTGAACAGAACAGTAAGGCCACAGGATCCAGAAAGTATAAAGGGTAATAAGGATAATGGAACGCAAGATAGTACGGGCCAAACATTGACGGAAGATACGGGTAGGCAAAGATCGTGCATGTAGCAGAATAGCCGATACGTAGTTTAAGTATATAAGCACGCCTGCAAATCGTGCAGCCAAAGAAATAAATAAAATGCACCAGCCGAGCAAGGCATCTGTCCACGAAGGCTCGTAGGTTGAATACAAGTCGGGCTGGAGGCTGAGGGCCGAATCGAAGGACCATGGGCTGGAACAAAGCAAGAACGTTAGTGAATTATGGTATGACCCCACCCCGTTGGGAAACACAGTTGTGGGGTGGGTGGACAGGAAGAAAGCTCCTTTGTATTTATATGTTTCCAGCGAGACATCAGGTGACGATAAACAGAAGAGTCGCGTCGCGTTCAACCGACGCGACTTGGTAAGGGATGATATCACGTGAAAGTGATCGTAGCCAGGTGCCACCCTGCAAAACTGCAGTTGTGGCGAGAAACTGGGAGTGGATGTATTCAATGGAATGCATGAGAAGCTACCATGGTACTTGTAGTTATTTGGACACTTACATAGGCTATAATCAGATCAAACAATAGATGACCAGGGAACGAACAGGGAAATGCACCAGGATCAAGAAAACGCCGTGTTTACGGAGAATATGAGGTGTGGCGCAGGAAGAAAAGGAGAGGTAAGGTAAACGGACAGTACAGGATGCAGGTGCACAACCAAACATGTTATCAAAGAAAAGACATAGGTTTGGTAGAACGAGGACAAACGTAAAGAGCCTCTGGACCAACGCCTACATACTATAACTGTCAATCCATTCTTGAAACGTCAAAACCGTCTTAGCGTCCGGGAAGCCATCCAACAAGGGTCGAACACTATCATGGTCTATAATTCTGCCTTGAAGCCTGACCTCCAACTTTCTTCCACATTCCTTCAGGTACGTGAGCCAGGTCCCCATGCCCACCACGTCGTTTCCTTTAACATCGACAGGGAATCGAAAGTCCAAAACACGCAGCTGCGACCAAATGGGCAACCTAGCGAGATAGATTGCGTTCGAAATGTTGTACGTCCACCTGGTGCTGTGTACGACGCGAAGAATGCCTACGTCTGGAAGCGAGTTGGCGACGGCGTTCCAAGGGAAGGAGCCTGGAATGGAGATAGCAGGTGCGACGGAGGAGTGGTCGTGGATGGTAAATTGTACAACGCCTTGAACACCGCTCCCCTCAATCACGGTGCACCAGTCCCCCGACTCAACGTCTAAGCACTCCAAAACCATCAGAACCTCGCTGTCAGGTATGTCGACTTCAAAGTAGATCGAATGTCTGTCCTGACGAGTCCTCGCACCGACACATAGGGTGGCGAACTTGGGTGGAAGTCGAGAAGATAATCCCATCTGGCTTGTGAGATGGGGAACATTACGGATCAGCGACCATGAAGAAGTGACCAGGTGTATGCTGCGGACCGCAGGGATGGACAAGCAGGGGATGAGAGCATTGATCGGGCGAGGGTTTCCCCCGAGAAGGAGGTATTCCAGACTGGGAAGACGAACGTGACAAGAAGGAGTTGTGGGCGCGATGGTGGAGTCGGAGAGGGGAAACGCCCCGTATAGTGAGAGCCGTTGAACGTTGGTGATAGGTAGCAGGATGGACAGTATATCGTGTAGGGTGGGAGATGAAGTACCGGGCATGAAGCTGGGAGGACCGGGATAAATTGTGCCAGGGGGTGTTCGCGGTACGTATTCAATAGTTAAGTCGATTAGCGTGGAAGGCAGCGAAAGGGAAGCCCACGGAAAAGGCGTGTTGGAGAATCGGAGGGTGGACAGGCAAGGGAACATGTGGTCGAATGCGGTAAAGACGTTGACCAGCTGTGTATGGCCGTCCAAGGGGTTGACGTCCACGAGAACAAGAACCTGAAGATCGAACATGCGATCTGGCAAAAGTACCCGCCAGCTTGGCTGAGCCCAGTGACTGAGGACGGTAAGCATGAGAGCTGTCTGGGCTAGCGCTAGGACTTCGTTGGTGGAGTGCACTGAATTTTGTCGTTCGTCTACAACGAGAAGCATACGATCATCCGACGCCGAGTTAGATCGGGCGTTAGGTCCCTCCAAATAGAGCAAAGTGCGTGGTTGTACCTAGAAACAATCAGGAGAAATGCTCGGGTTGACGAAAGGACGATAATACACTCACAGACATCAGGGAGAGGGAGCTGTTTCGAAGAGAATGTACGGGGGTGAACAAGATAAACTGTGAAGGGGGGACAACAGGAGCACGGCACAGAACTATAACAGAAGTACGTTGTTCCTGTGCTCTTATCTGCAGCGTTATCAACCATAGACGTTCAAGGCACGGTGGGATGACGCGTCCTTCAAGATCAAACAATTGTGACTCGCAACGCTAATAAACGAGAGCAATCAAGATCGCTCAGGTAAAAGGCAAAGCGATGCATGAGATCAATTCGCACTATATGGAGCAAGGCGTGCCTCGGGGCGCCTCGGTAAACGCCACTATTGGCTGCGCCACTCTACTGAAGCAGTGTATTGTCATTTGCTTGTGCTACGCGCTCGATTGCACCTTCGTATACACACCGATACACGCCTGCCTACCGTCAAGATGCAGAACGTCCGGTAAGTCAGACATCTTACCTTCGAATTGGCATTGGCCATCTCCAACCATACCGTCGTGAGACCAGGTATTGTTGTGCTTGTCGAATAATCTAGCGGTGAAATGATGGCCTCCGTGATAGATGACCCCGGATAGAAAGTACTTGGACTTCGTTGAGGAGAAGTCCAATGTGATCACACCAGACACAGATGTGATCCCCGTGAGATCAACCGCAAATAGGGCCGGTGATGCACCCGGGACAACCACTTTGCTGCGCATGTACAAACCACAGGTGCACTGTCCTATGCGGCGATCTATAAAATGCCTGACGATTGCAGCCGTTGTCTTGACGGTGCCAACATAACCAAGAACACCCGTGAAAAGCAAAGACAACAAGTTTCGTCTTCTCACCTCTTGGCCACAGTGGCTACACGAGTCTATGCGGACGACTCTCCCAGAACTTACCTGTAGCAATAGCTCACAAAGGGCAGATACCGACGTGCCCGTGACGCCGTCCATTGGAAAGTTGGTTATGTTAATCCTATTTGCTGAACGCTGCAACTCTACCTTTGCGAACTGTGGCTCAGACGGATGTCTTGCCCAGCCATCCGTCAGGAGCCTCAAATGATCATTTGAATTAGCAACCTCATCCAGCCACATTCGACTGTTTGTTGAATATATAAGGTGCAATATGCTCAGTAGAGCATCGTATGCACATGACCAAGAGGCCGCATCCCAGCGCAAACCTATGGGCTGAGGCAAACTGTTCAACTGATTTCTGAATCTCCTGTTGTTGAACGGATCACTATGTGTAGTTGACAGCGTAGAAGTACCATGAGCCGGTACGTAGTTCACTGCACGGTCTTCAGCAGAGGATCCTTGTTTTTTTGTGGTGTTATGCCTGTTTGCAACCATTTGCCACTTAGATGATGGTTCGATGACGGTCAGACCAAGAGGATCTACTTTGGACCATCTGATGGCCCGATGGACATTTGGTGGGCACCATTCGACGCCCTTCCACTGCTGGAATGACCGTATCAATGCAGTCCTTGTGTCTCCCTGAACGCTATCCGGTAGTATACCTTCAAATCGTAGAGTGGTTATGGCGTTTAAAAGCTCTAGCTGTTGGAATTCTCTGCGCAATTGCTCAGACAGCTTGCCTTTGGCCATAGACTGCGGAATCGGACGAACCAGTATTGTGCTACTCCAAGACGTTCCTCTGGATAGACAGGTATACAGAGATTGATGGCTTCGACACTCGCCAGGATCAAAAGGATTGTGTACACGACTACGCCCTTGACTCCCATAATCAGTCATACCGAAGTTCAGTACTACCGGAATCTGTGTGCGTGATAGCCTAACCTCAGTATCATCCGTTAATTTAACAGCAATGGACTTTGTGTACGCCGTCACAGGAACCACATTGTCAGGCAAACCTTTGACACGCACGGTACTAGCAGTAAGTTTCAACTTCACAAACAGTGTATCCAACGTTTGTTTACCTCTGCCAATTTCCCGAGCATTCCACCCAACCACAAAACCTTCAGCCCCGTTAGTAACACCCGCTTCTGTAGCTTCGTTGTGTTTTATCAGAACAGGCATGCCCAAGCAGATCCTCAAGCAACCGGGATGATGCTCTGATCTAGCGGGATGCACGGCCCATAGTTTCTCCTGCATTTTTTGCTCCACCACATCACTAGTTCGGAGCACGTCGATGGTTGACCTTTTGACCTTCTTTTTTGTATCTAGGCCGTCATCCGCACTGGACCACCTGTCCAAAGAGTAAAATACATCCAGTGCGTGATTGTTGTCCCTTGCAAAGGCTGGCGCACCCATATCGTTGATCTTATCTCTAGAGGCATTCCAGGCAGTGATAATTGAAGCATATTTGACATCCGAATCAGACATACGGGGCTGCCCTGGCCCTCGACCTGCAATCTTACTGTTCATCCACGCAATCTGCTCGTCTGAGCAAGCACAATGTCTCAAATCCATAAGTATCTGTCTAAAGTAAAGATCTTCCTCGGAAGAGCCCTGCTGTCTCATATTCTGGGTTAACAAAACAACCGTTGTGAACGTGTGCCACAGCGCCTTTCCCATGCTGGTGCGCTGCAGTTGTACTGAATTTACTTTATGAATAGTGGAACCTACAGCATGACTGTACAAGGGATAACCAGCCGACGAAGGTGGTAACTGTGCGAAGTCACCGGATGCAACGACGTTTCGACCTCCAAAGGCCAGTTCAGACACGTCCAGAGACAATGACATCTGCGCTGACATATTGTAGAACTGTAGGCAGTCAATCATGGAGATCTCATCGACAAACATGTAGGAAACATATTGTAAGCGCTCTCGGACTTTTTGAAGCGACCGTTGAGTCTGAGATGGATTTGAGCCTGCAAAGCCTAATAGCGAGTGATATGTGGATCCTCCTACCAAAGTAGCAGCTGCAGCAGTCGGTGCGACTACGACGAAAGCGTAGCTCTCTTGTCTATCATCAAAGAACGCCATCAAAGCTTTTATAACCTGCGATTTCCCAGTACCTGCCATACCACCAAGATACATACGCAGCTGTTGCCCAGACGGGTGGGAAGCATGCTGTGCAACAATTCGAAACGCACGTTCTTGTTCCACATTTAAAGAGAATTTACTCACGATACTACAAACAGACTCTTTACTTTTGGGCGAACCTGACCGGAAGTCCTTAGTCAAGTAGGACTCGTCAACTTCAACCACGGAGTCTACGTGCTGCTTGGCGATGACGGGTATCGTACCATTCCGGATGGCATCTTTGGCCTGTTTCAAGCGAAGGGCTAATATGGCTTCTTTGGTAGCTTGCAGCTCGGCTTTCCACTCAGGCTTGCTACGCAACGAACCATTTACAAGACTGAGGTGTTCGGTAGTCGACTCTGATGAGACGCCTACACCGTTATGCACGTCGTCCTCACCATGCTTGCTGTTAGAATCCAACCAACCTACCGCCTGTAACGTCGCAGAAATGGTGTTCATCTTCTCAAGATCATCCAACCAACACTTTCCCTCGTGTCCTTCTAAAGCCTGTAATCGCTCTTCAGTGGTAAGTAAAGACATTATCTCGGTGAGTGTGCCATCCTCCATGAGATCAGCTGCAGAGCGATCATCCATGCCATCCTGGAATTTTTTTATGGCTGGATGGCCTTGTTTCAATTGAGCATTGTAATCGTCACGCGCGTCATTACACTCATATTTGACATGCATGTTCATCATGAAACGAACGTCTCTATCGGTCCAAGAATGACTGTCAAAGGCTTGCTGCCATGTCTGATCGACTCTTTTGAGATCTCGAGCAGACCTCCAGGGTTTAAAGAAGGCCAACATGGTCATGCAATACTCTTCCGTATTACCTCTGTCCCTTCTCGGTAAGGAACCCCCGCTTAGATTGAGTACAACGTCAATGCTATCCGGAGCTATGTTGATATGATGTGTCATAAATTGAGCGTGCTCTTGGAGGAAGAGTAGTTGAGTTGCTTCATGAACTGGGGTGACGGAGTTGGCTTGCATCGTTTCTTCTATGCGCCTCTTTCTTCCATGGTGATTTGTCTCTGGGATAGGCAAGGATGGCTTTGGAGATGCGGATCGACCGTTGCCAGCACTTTTACATTCCGATTTGGCGTAATTGTCAATTGCCAAACTATCAGAGGCATCTTCAGAATCAGAGACAGACATAGAATTGGCATCCGAATCTGGGTCGGTGCTCGATTCGTAAATAGTTTGCGAGTGCGTAACCAAACAGTCATCTAATGTATCATTGCCCAAGCAGGGTACTTGTTTATCTGCCCGATCAGCACCGAATATAGGGACGTATCCGTGGACAGTGCTAGATGCATTCTTCCTCTCTTGTCGCATTTTGTTACTGGACTTGCACTTATTTGAGCGACGCCACCAATCCCAAAGTGACATAGGGCCACATGCCTGTGGACGAAGGCAATAGTCTTGTACCCGATCAACAGGCACGATGGAGTCATCAACATTAACGAGTACAAATCTCTCTTCATCCAGGTCCTCCTTCATATTGGTGACATTCCAAGCTTCCTTCACGAACTGAATGTGCTGATACCAATAAACGGTGACGATATCATGACTACAGTATACATCCGGATGCCCGAGAAGGTGCATACACGCCATCGGACCACCTATTGATGACTTGGAAGTCAAAGCGTTCACCATCTTCACCAAAAGCAATCTAGCATCTGCACGCTGTTTGATATTCCCTCCTATTACTTCAGACTGAGCACCCAACACGGCGCGTACTGTTTCAAACAATACATGCATCTGAAGCTGAGGCTTGGTGACGTAGTCAGTGACATATGCGATTACAGCTTTGATAGCTGTCCCAGACAAAAGACTGGTAACGTCGGTGTTCGACCTCAAGATATAGGTAAGCACAGAAGAAAATGTATTCATCCACGCCTCACCCTTCTTTAAATTCAGGTAACCTGTATCAGGGTCCACTGTCGTCTCAGCACGTACTTCTCGAGGGTACCGGGCCTTGCATGTGCCATGCTTGTTAGAGAGACAGTGACTACCACATTCGTGACGGTTAGTCCTCCACAGCAACTCGTTGACTGTTGATCTAAACGACGCCCACCACACGGACGTTTTCTCACATACAAAGCAAATAATAGAGCAGTCCTGTTCCCGATGTAACGTACATCGCTTTGGAGGAGGCGTGGCCAAAGTCTCGGTAGGGGGGACGTATCTGGATCCTGCGGCCTTCGATACGGATTCTCTCTCGGCCACCTCTAACGCGATATCACGCATGCTTTTACCATCAAAAAACTCGCCCATATGCACAGACTCCAGATACTGCACAAGCTCCTGCTGAAAGGTTGAGCCTACCTCTAATATTCGGTCACGAATCTCCTGGGGTGTGAGAGCGCTGGCGATCCACAACAATATGTGGAGATGCAAGGTGAGTCTACCCTGTTGTTCCACCGTACCATAAAATCCAGCCGTTCTACCAAAAATACCGTCATGACCTGACCCATGTCCTAGCACATGTTTGATGAATAAAGATACAACAATATTGAAAAACCTTGCACTGGCGACCGGGTTTCGGCCAACCATTCGAACCTTGTCCGACGGATCCAGCAAGTCTACTTTGAATTGGTCTTTTCCCTCCGGTGAGGCAAACATCAAACAGAGAGGACTGTTTTGATCAGCTGGAGCTATGGTAATGAACCAACTAGGTGCGCCAAGGTGAGTTATCATAGACCAAGCCTCGTTCCTCTTCCATTTCTGTGTGGTCCTGGATCCTTTGACCTTGCCAGCTACATGATCAAGGTCGCTCAGCAGCCTATAACAGTCTTTCTCTGGTTGGCTGCTGTCATCACCGTAAGAGCCTTGCTTGAGTTTGTCAATCAATCCATCCAACACACCTAAGTCCAATGAGGCTACACGTCTTGACACCGACGCAAATATTTTTTTCTCCGATAGAAGATAACCACCAAGGGAAGCCTTCTTGATTTGCTCCTGATTGAACGCTACTAATGGGAACAGTGGGTCTAACTGAAACCGTTTGTCATGATACAGGAGCAACGCCCGCTTTCGAGCAGCATCTGGTACTCGCTGAATACCATTCTCATTGCCAATACCGCCCAAACCATACGGGAACAACCAAGGAAACATTTGTGGATACAACTGAGGGTTGTCATAAGTTGATTCGGGGTCCTCAGACCTACCTACACCAAGTGCTTTTCCACCACGACGCAAGTGTTTCAGTGACTCAGCCTTGAGAACATTGCTGGAAGCTCCTTCTATCTTATCCCCAGTCAGGCCATGAACGATGAAGTTGCATTGACCACTGTCGGTGGCTGACGGGTCTTCGGTCTGATGTAGTGCAAGATTCTCTGACGGATCAAAATCGGGTGCTTGAGTAAACTGAACGGAAACTGGCGGTACGTCCTCAGGATAATCATTGAGATTGTCATAGGATATCTCCAAGTCCTGATAATCGCAATGGTTGAGTTTCAACCACTCCAGCGCACGAGCCACCTTATTTTTATTGACCAACAGAGGTATACGGTCATGATCGTGCGTCGATGGACGGGAAGGGCCCATGAACACATATGCAAGAACCTCAGACAGCTCTGTTCGAGAGGGGGGTAACACTTTGTATACTTTTGGTACAGGCGTCTCAAAAAATACAGCATTACCCGTCATTTGGCTGAATCCAGATTTAGCAACCCGTGCTATGCAACGATTGGTTGTCACCCTACAAATGAGCATTTTCTCTGCCCAGCTGAGACCTTTCAGTTCGTCAGGAATCGCACCAATCCAATTACCGTTGACGAGAGCCAATTCAGGTATGCGACCTTCCCGAAGAGCGCCCAAGCAAACGTTGCAGACTCGATCACATGATTGTTCTACCACCGCCCCCTCCAGAGAGTCAAACGGACTATGAGCATGTTGGCGCTCCTGCCTGGTGACCACCATATTACCGGCATACAGCAGATTCTCATCGAAGATACCAGGGACGTACGGGGTTGACTGTGGGTGTGTCACGAGAAGGCCACACACTTTACACCCTTCCTCCAACCACATATCCGGTTGAATATCATGGACATATCCCTTTACAATGTCCTCTAGTAACCTTTTAGAAGGAGGCGTTGGAGGGAAAGGACTAGGTACTGGACTGGACGAAGAAGGGACAGATTTATTTGACACTGTCGGTCTGACAGCACGACCGGATAAGTCCTTTAGTCTCTTCCTGGGCTCAGACTTTGACGCAGATGCCTCAGATTCAGGTAACAACTTGAACACCAGACAACAAGAAGGACAATGTAGACAATCAAGGTGATTCGGAAGAGATAACCTCAGTGAATCCACAGAAGAACCTCGCTTGGGATCCACTCCGTGCCTACGAATGACACCCTCTAGGGTAGGCCTACTCTCTCTCGAAATCAAGGATAGAACAGGTAGAGTCACGATGAACTCATCCAAATTATAGTCATGGGTGACGATGCTACGTTCAACCTGAAGCATAAAAATCGCTTTACGGTCTCCTCCACACCGAACGGGAAAGAGTGCATGGGGCTCAAGGTCGGAAACAACGTACGATATTCTTGGACGACCACCACCAGGGCCACCTCCGACACGATTGCCTATATCACTGTTATTTAACTGGGAATTCACTAGGACTGCACTGGGACACTGGTTATTACACTGGTATATCACTAATACGCGACGGATAGCCAGAACAAGGCTGACCGAGGCAAATGCATACATGGCGACCTAAGAACACATGTGAGCTTCAAATATAATCAGACACAAAGGCAGGATTTACAACACATACATGGAGAGACAGATACTTGACGTAGAGAAAAGGTAAACGTGGTACAGCAACACGGAGCGGTGCGACAGTCTTCAATAGTAGAGAACATAACCAGTCAGTAAATACCATAACAACGTAGGCAAAGAGAACATACCGCGATGACGAGGAGAAATAGTATGAATTTGCGACAAGAAAGGCGGGCACAGGACTCAAGGCGAAGCTGGAAAGCAGACGCAGACATGGCTGCCAGGTGGAAAGACGCAGAACAGAGTTGACAACGAGAGAGATAAATAGATAAGAGCACAGCTTTGGCTCCTTTTATGCAGACCGATACATCGGATTCTAGGGAAGATGGTTTCCATGCACACACCCGATGCAGAGACCGGCCAGCAATATGGGGCGTCGAAAAAGGAGAAAGAAGACAAGACAGAGAAATTTGAAATAATGAGAAAACGCCAGCATGGCTACAATACGCACGCCACCCGACGGTCCCGGCCACGCAGAACCAGTTTGCCACGTAAGCAGGCTTTGCTTACAACTTTTATGTGCCCTCTTCAAATCCAACCTGACCAACGCGCCGTATCATCCAACGTTCATTTCCAGTCGGTGCGTCATTCCGGCAGGAAAACAGGCAGAATACACATAAAAGAAAGCCAAGACCGGATGAATACCAAACAGTATCGCACGCTGACAAAGTATCGACGATGGACAGCCAGCACTCAAAGGGAGGGAGCCCAGACGACATAGATCAGGTGAGTGGATGGATGTGAGTCACAGACTTATAGGCAAGTGAACTACTAGCCATGACAGTAGAATAATGCTCCGTTGCTCCGCACACTGTATATCCAAATGAACGAACAGCATGGTACAGTCGAGAACGGTGTACAACAGACAGTAGAGGCACTCCATCGACGACTGCATATTTCCTATAAAGTAGTATTCCACCGCGTTTATTATTGTGCACAGACACATAATGTTGACGTGGCATCGAAAGAGACGGCGTACAGTAAGAGATTTAAAGAACACCAGAGGATAATGTCATATGGCTAAGGTGAGCGTTGTTGCTATAAGAATAAGGGGTCAAAATCTGAAGCAAATACTAATCGGCAGACCTCAAGGTAGAAGTAGGATGGACGCACTCACTGTATAGCACAGAACAAAATAAATTGCACGAGTTGAGAGACACAATGGCCACGGATATGCATCACAGCAAGGACCGGAGGATATCATAATAAGAAAGGCAAGTGAGAGGATGGCGACCTTTTATGCCAGGCAAGCGTCATGTAGAATACCTCAGTGGTTGACAAAGGTGAATGCACAAGTCACACAGAGTTCGGTATTTCAGCCCAATATACAGGCGGAATATACCAAGTCGCAGGATACCTCCGAGACAAGAAGAAATCGATAAGAAATATACGTTCAGAACGAGGTGAGTAGACCGACACATGAACAATATTAATCCGCAGTATGTCACAGCAGAATAAACCGCAGAAGCATAGACCGAGTACAAGCTTGTATATAGGCAGAAGTACAGATATTCGTTAACACACCGTAACCGGAACCCCATAATGCTGAACGGAAATTTCCGGATCCGACCACAGGAACCGGGGCCACACGCGTTATTCCACAAACTGTGAATGCGCCACAAACCGTACCAGACCAAAGACCCCCAACACAATATGTCCATCACGATGAGCACCCTACCTCCGTTCCATAATCTGACCGACGATATCGTTGACCATATACTGAAGACTCTGTTCTGCTCGATAATGCAGGATTTTACGCGGAGCGGGACGCTCTGGAAACTGTCACCCAACGCGTGGACGAAGACACTACGCGTATTGTATGACAAGTTCTTTAGACTCCGCCTGATATGCAAGAATATGAACGAACGGATCACATACCACGGCATACTCTGGACAATACTCCCACTCGGGCAGATGGACCAGCTAGACGTCCAACGATCGCTCAAGTACTCCAAGAACTGCCCACTCACAGTGCTGCTGAGCGATGCTCGATCGCGTAGCAACTTCGACATACTCCTTCACTCTTCCCAACACAAGAATCGAGTTCAGACACTGTACATCGATCTAATGGCGTCCGAATGGCCGGGTCTGTCCATGATCATGCAGCTGCATCAGTTCCCCGCGCTCGAAACGCTGTTCTTGAGTTCCAGAGGTATAGAGGAAGAGGAGGAGGACGAGGACGCCGTGATAGTAGCAAACGTAGGCGGGTGGGGTAACGCGCCGGCCAATATGGGTGGATGGGGTAACGCGACCGCCAACAACACATTCAACTGGGCTGTCGGCGGAGGGAACGGCGTAGTAGCGGCATTGCCGACTCATCCCACCGCAATACCCACCATCCCGCCACTGGTAGCGAGACGACACGGTACCCAACTCAGCTACAAAGTCGGTATCGCAAACCTCGCACACGTTTCCGCCAACGTGCTCTGTATCCGGGATCGGGCTTTCGCCTGGCAACACTTCACACCTCCCTACCGGCTCACCACACTGCAAGTACAAGCGGGTTACGAGTCTGGCGACGGGAGATTTCCTCTCAACATCGAGCATCTGGACCGCGCTATACGACCAATCACTACACTACGAGAGCTGCAACTATGGGACGTGGACGCGTACGGTCCCCATGGTCTACAGCCCATCACACAGTCCAACGTTCGATACATTGCCATCCGCGGTACTCATGGTTCCATAGCCGCCGTCAGCCACTACCTACGGTACTGTAATCCGCGCGTACTCATCATCGAAATAACGGACGAATTCTCTGGCAGCCATCACGCAGTATATACCGACATCCAATCAGCTGCGCAAACATTCACAGATCTCCATACGATATCATCCGTCGGCGTATTCGTAACCATCTCCGAAACACCCGAGCACAACAACACAGTGGACTTGGTTCTGACCGCTGCAGACGGCAGCGTACTGTCTCTTCAAGTACCCTACAGCCATTCTCGCGCTCTTCACGCGATAATGCAGACTTGCGTACCCAAGGGCACCCGTTTGTCCTTTGAAATAACACCTGGCGACGAATACGGTGAAGTCACGAGCACCGTTTTCTTACGCTGTATCTCTCTCGACGCCTTCACATCCTACCATTTGCGAGTCGAGAGCCACCAGATCACCCCGATCCTTTCCACGCTCGAACATCATCGACCTCGCGAACCCGTCGGCTTTGTATGGCTACACGGAGAGAGCAGATGCGCTACGTGGGCACGCGTAGTAACAGATCATCAGCAATGGATACCGTATGTCAGAATAGCCGTCGTGTCCAAGTGCTCAACGACGAAGATCACACATGAGCCAAACTGGGTCGACTGGCAGAACAAACCACTGTTCTCGCCGTCGGTGACCAAGGCTCACACCCATCTGATGAGGATGATGAGGTACATGGAATAGGTAAGCACAAATTCAAACACATACCCCAAGTCGTTGAACAAGGAGGTTGGTAAACCACATCACTGACGAATACATGAACATTTTAGGATGTACGGAGGCGGGAGACACGAAGACAAGTCAAGGGACAAGTCCAGGGTAGATGGTATCACGTCATTTGTAAACGTTCTGTTGGATATGGGCACATGATATAGACGAGGGAGTTGGCCTGCGTGGGGCGCAGTATATATGAAGCAGAACAGCGCGACCAAGTTACACTCAGAGCAGCAAGGCCATGCGAGAAAAGACAAATTCATTGAGAGGCAGAGAATGACAACCGGTACACAAACTGGACCATATCGGATGGACAAGCAAGAACAAGTCCTCTATACCGTAGATCAGTAGGATACGAAAAATATAAAGGAACAAAAGGAGAAGTATAGTAGAACTCAGGCCTTTGGACCGTTGATCAACAGGTACACAGCGCGAATGTTAAAACCCAATCCGAAAGGCACATGCTCCTGAGCATCCGGTTTACGCCACTTGTTCACCCCATAACAGACGGCAACAAAGGATTGTTTGCGAAGTTCACCTCCTGAAATCTGAGGGCAAAGGTCTGCTCCAGCCTGAGAAAAGAAGTCGACCAGGGATGTCATGGTGGCAAAATCACCACGTCGAGGTTGAAAGAACCTGGTGCAGTCGAAAACAGGAACTATAAGAGAGTAAGCAACAAAGACAAGAATAAAAAAACTAAGGGAAAGGCTCACTCTTAGACGAGTAAGGTATGGAAGGAGGACCTTGGCCAACAAGCCCTCTGTTCGAAGACGTGGGTTGCCCAGGTGCAGGAGCGGTTCCGGATGATGCCGAGGAAACCGCCAACGCGTGCTTCGGAGGGACGTAGACCGGAAGGATAGAACCGTTCTGTTCTTCCTCCCATGCCTTCTTTATTTCCTCCGCTGTGGAACATTAGAAACAGGTAGATAGTAGACAACAGACGAAACTCACTAGGTTTTGCCCATTGACCCTGGAAAGATACGCCATTCAAATAGATGAAATGAGACAAGGCCCTCTCACCCAGAGCATTACCTATACAGGACAAGGTACGTTCCCATTCGCAGTGTAGGGGAAGGATAGTGATACTGTGTGTAGCAGAGGTAACGGCGACCCGGGGATGGAAGAGATGACTGTCCACAACGGAACCAAATGTGACACAAGATACCGGACCCATTGGCAATTCCTTGGTGGTAAGATTGTAGGTGATGGATGAGGTCGTATTGGCACGGACGGAGCCCAGTCGAGAGGGAGGGAACCTAGCTGGATTGATGAACTTCAGTCCTTCACATTGGGTGAAGGTAATGACGTCCTTCAGTAGGCTGGGATCAAGATCAAGTTGAACAAGATGGAATAGCAGAATGAAGCGGGTGATAAAGGCACACACCCGACGTTAATAGGCTTATCACCGTAGGTACCGTCAGACAACCAAGAGAGGGGCGTCAACATCACGCTGATACCGGCAGCAGACGCAATGTACGCCCGTCTGCCAACACCGGTAGTTAGAGACCGAGGATACAGATAATTGAGAGTTAAACTTACTTCAAGGGGTACAGGTCACGATAGGTATTGATCAGTTCCGGATCCATGTCGTTGAGATTGGTAACCTGGCAGGTACCGGTAGACGTGTTATTCCTTGAGAAGGACACGCAATTAGCAAAAGGATGTAGGATGAGATCAAGTAACAAAGCCAACCTGTGAGGACTGAGAGCACCTTGCTCTTTAATCGACCTATGGACGAGGATAAGGGCACATGGCAGAGAGTAAGTGAAAGGAGACACTGACCCAATATCCTTACGTTTCCCTTTGTCCAACTTGCCCGGGCTAGGGACGACTTTGGTGACGGAGCTGTGGCGTAATGAGTCAGGTGGGAATGAACAGAAATCTCAATACAGCAGAAACGCACCCAGAAGAGTTAACCTTGGTACTGGATGACGGACGAGACTTCGACTGTACAAGGGATGTGAGCACTTGAAAGCAGAAACAGGAAAACAACGAAATAAAGAACATAACAATAGATTCATCAACTCACCAGAGGCTTAGAAGCAGACGCACGCCCAGTAGTGCTTGGAGAAACTTGGACAGGAGTCTTGGTAGAACCTTTGGTTGGCGAAGGATTCAACCGGTTGGGACCAGCAGCGAGTCTAACAGGCGTGGACGGAGGTCTCTTAGAGGTACCGGCAGGTCCTCTAGGAGCAGTGTGGAGTTTCTTGGGTGTAGAAGGCTGGAAAAGTTTAGCAACAGATGACAGAAGAGGGACTATATCTAAACTTACTGTAGTTATTGTGCCCGAGGAACCACGAGCACGCGAACGGGGCGGTGACTCGTCTACAAACTCAACTTCGCTGTCTTCTTCTTCTTCTTCCTGTTTACCGGTCAATCTCGATACAAACGGGACACACGGGCGAAAAAAGTAAACGAACCGTATCCAGAACAACCGCCACACGAGTTTTCTTTTTCTTCTTTGGACTGGGTGGCTCGCTCGCAGGAGGCAAGGAGGCACCGTCACTACCAACGTCGTATTCCTAAGGCATGAACAAAATGTTTGTCAACGAAGACGTCAACAAGACAACAATCGATACTAATGCAACAAGATGCTTTACCTGATCATCTTGCACACATTCGTCAATAGCAACACCACGCACCCCGTCGTTATCATCGGATACATACTCTACTGCATCATCGGAAAGTACCGCAACAGCTTCGCTATCGGCGGACATGTCCTGTACATTGTAGTCGTCATCAAGGGGGGCGTCGTCGATGAAGTCTTGATCGGAGACGGTTGGCTCGTCGGGGTCGACATACTCCATCCTGCATCAATGAACACAAGGACGTCCAAATTAGAATAAGACCGTTTGTTCGAAACTAATACAACTTACTCATACTCAACTGTGTCAGATTGTCTGGCATATCGAGAAGTATAGTAAGAAACCGAACACGAGATGGAGAATTCAGGCAAATACGCACTCAGCAATGGCGGTATGACCGTCGACACTGACGTAACCATCCTCCGCCTCCGCCTCCGCCTCCGCCTCCGCCTCCGAGTCGGAGTCGTCTTCCATATCACTACGTGAAAACAAGGGATAATCAGAGCAAGACGAGGATAAGAACGGGCGACAACCTACCTGGCAGGCTCCTTCTTTGCAACAGCAACCGCACGAGTCGATTTTTTGCGAAGCCTAGGAGGTGTAACGGGTGCTACAGGTACGTCCACACTGCGGTCACCGTAAAACAGACACACGAACCATCAATCAAGGAGGCAGAAAAAGAACAAAAGGAAGAAACAAGATGTACGGACCGTACAACACGCTTAGTGATCGGAGATTTAACCGACACAGTCTTCTTCTTCTTGGGCGAGTGATTGGGCAACACAGGCGAGGCAGGCTCAGAGCCATCGCTACAACGGAAACAAACAATAGTCAGCAACGGAGGATGAAGGAAATCGACAGCAAAGGAGACACACCTAAGCACTACTTTCTTTCGCTTGCCGCTGGATCCGGCCGGATTTACAGCACTCGCGGGAGCCTTATCCGGGGTCGAGGCAACGGCTGCTTCAGAATCGCTGTCGGTTTCTACAATGGTGCGTTCACTGACGAAACAAATAAGAAGAGAACAGAAAGCATAATACACAGTACTTACTTTACATCGGACGGTAGAGGGCGAGACTTAGGAATGGATATACTAGACCTACAATTTTAGCGTGAAGCATGGAAAGACACTGACAACTCACACGTGAGCGGGCTTGACACCGTCATCAACACCGGCAGCGGCCTTGGCGGATAGTGTCCTGGATTATAAAGGAATTAACAAACAAGAAGATGCAGCACAAAGAAAGGTAAGAAAACGAACAACTTGCGAGAAGACCTGGTAGGCTTTACGGAACCAGGGCCACTGGCATCGGAGCGCTTACTGGGAGGTCCAGCACCCCCGGGAGTGGCTTTTCTGCGAGGCGCCATGGAGAAAGAAGGGCAGCGCAAAATCGGGGCGAAAAGCAAGTCGAGCCGTACGGATACCAAGGTATAAAAACAAAAATGATTACCTAGGGAGCTCGACAAATAATCTCAAGGACGGGTGGTGCGAGTGGAAGAGAAGCTAGCAGGAAGAAAGATAAGGGACCAGTAGAAAAGCCAAGTAGAAAAAGAAGTGCACAGATAAGTGCACATACAAATAACGAGCGGATAAGGACCGCCCATCAGGCATTATGAATTATAGGATGGTCACCGGGCAGGAGGAGAGGCTGAAAGAAAGGGACACAGATACAATACCGCCAAGAAGACGTTGCCCAGAAACGAAGCGCGGTGGATCGGCTCATGGCTGGCACAGGACACGAAGAGAACGCGCGCAGAGTAACGTCTATAACAAATGCCAGACACCGAAGCCATGAACAGGCCAGGGACACCGAAATAGGACGTTCAGGAGTGTGTTCGGATCAGACGGAAGCGGAGTTCAAACTGGACTCAGTTCGTGGAGCAAGCGAATATAAATACCCGTAGAGAACAACAGAAGATATCAGCGCATCGTACACGACAGCTGAACAAATAGTAGCAGCCAAGATGAGCCAACATTTACCCAAAGCCAAAGCAGCAGCAAGAAGTGGTCAGCAAAACCAAGGCCTGCATCAATAACGGTGGAGTAGGAAAGTGACAGGAATTTGACTGATGAAAAACAGCAAACGGAGAGGCACCAGAAGTTAAACACCAGCGAGATAAAGCTCAACCTGGAGTCTTCGAAATCGAAGCGGACGAAGTCACCAGCCACACAGCAAATATATCATTTCAAAGACAATACAGCCGAGGGCACCAGGCGGTACCGACGCCAACACCGCAAAAAACGCTAAGTCGGCCGCGTCTAAATAAGAAAGCAGAAGGGAGTAACGGGGAAACTCGAATGACGCCAGCCATGACCTCTACAGCCGGCTTGTTACGGTTCCTCAGTGTACCGGAGAACAGTTAGTATCGAGCAGTGCATGCATACCGGCATACCCTCTCACATATATTCTGACGCATCTACGCACCAAAACAGAAGCATACGCAAAGGAAGTAATTAGAAGAGTAACGGACGACTACGACAACACCCAGGACCTGGCTTCATACGGAAAGGTACGTCAGAGTTTAACAGATCGAAAAACGCAGAGAAGCACACTCACCGTCACGTTCTGTCAGAGAAACATACACGTCGAGAAAAAGAAAGACGGTCACTCGGCCATTCTGGTGGAAACCAACGTAGACGAGAACGACCAGCAAGAAACCATAGAACCGTCGTTTGTTCTGGCAGGCATACTGGTACAGAGCAACCTGCCGCCTATAAGAACACAGAACCAGTGAGTTATCAGCGCGGTCACTCCCAATAAAACCAAAAACTGACCGCGACGGCCGTTCATATATAGGATACCCGAAGTCGCCATGTCCGCCATGCAAGAGATATCCATTATCGCCGCTGACGACGAGACTTTATGCAATGTTATAACGGCTATAGAAGATATACACGCTCTGTTCGGTCTAGAGTTCCCGAGCGGGGCCTTGAAGCATACTAAGCGCGAATCGTTTGAAGGTCAACAAGGACTTACGTTCGGCACGCGCTACTTCACTCCGTCCCACGTCTGCAAAGGAGAGACCTCTGAGAACCTTCCCAAGGCGATCGACCCGTTTGGTCTACTAACCAAGGCGGTAGGGGGGAGAGGAAAGCACCTCCAAGACAATATGGTCAGATATCACCAGCACAAGATAAACGCGGCCAAATCAAAGTGAGCGTGAAGTGTATATCGCGAGAAGTATTAACACTAACGAGAGATTCAAGGTGGGCGAGAACCGAGCCGAGCAGATTCAGAGTCGGCCAGATTGTTCAACTCGAGGTATCGTTCCGTGTCGTGCCGACCAACGACAAGATGATGTATCGTATGGTGCCGTTGTTGCGGAGTATCGCACTTCTGGACAACGAACTCTACATGGTAAGCACATCATAGAACGACGGGGCGCGGAAGGAGCACTGACAATGAGGGACACAGGACTGGCTGAGCAGATTAAAGTCGACAAAGAGCATCACTACCCCCCGTACCCAGCTCAAGAGGAGCACTGCGTACGACACCGACGACGCGACTCCGTTCACCGCACCTCCAAGTAAGAGGATGAGGCAGGTGCCTACGGAGGATAATCAGTATGACGACACCAATCCGGAAGAGTTCGACGGGAACAACGCGGAGGCCGGAGCGCAGGATGATGACGAACCGAAAGAGTTGGACGGGAACAACGTGGAGGCCGGAGCGCGGGACGATGACGATCCGATGATCCACGGGTAGATCCTTTATAAAGAGCCATAGACATTTGAATTTGTGCCGTATACATTTACCCGAAAGGGAAACCCATAGCAGAAAGATACCAGATCTAGAAGGATGAATGACATTTGAGAGTGACGCATATCAACCGGTTGAACAACAAGAGGATTATACGGGCAAAAGCAAAGTACATTTAGGACAGAGAATGAGAACCATGCGTAACGACAACAACGAATCCTAGCCCAAAACCCGGAGCAGATGGCATCATTCCAGATAAGCAAACACAAAAGTCATGTGCAATCGCACAGAAACGAGAGATATGGCGGACCTATCAGAGACGGTCATTCATTGCAAAATGGGGCCTTCCTAGAAGTAAAGACGAACGTGCTCCCCTATCAAAGGACAACGTGCCGCTAGACTTTATAGATACAGGGACAAAGGAGATGGAGGACGACAGCAGAAAGCCCCACTGAATACGGGAGACACAATGTCGCTAATACAAGGTGAGCAAGACCATGAAATAGACGACGGAACAGAGGGAGCGAGGTTAACGACATAAAACAGACAAAGAGATAACCGTCGAGTTCGGAAACATCTACGACGGGAAAGAGAAAAAGGAGGCGTTTACCGGGGACATGATAGCCGTCCCCAGCGAAGATAGAGACCTAGCCACCTGGTTAACCGTCATCACGTTCTTCAACGAGGAAGAAGAGCACAGCGGCATATACGCTGACGTGGTGTACATCACCAAACCTCAAGTTTTAGTCACGGTGCGGGTGAAGGCAATGGTGGTGGGAACCAACCTTCGAGATTACAGGTAGGCCAAGATTATGTTGAACGGCACGAAAACTGACACGCGCAGTTCGTTGCCTTACAACACCGACAAAGACGAGCTAATCCAACTAAGCCACGGAGGACCCGTGGACGTCATGAGTTTCGCTAAACAACACAAGAGAGTGTACGACATACGCAAAGCGTGCTCCGACATCGCCAGCGGAAGACCAACCAAGACGTACCGCACCATAACAGCGGAAACCTGGGGCGACATGATATTTGTGCTGCGACGCCGGCCTCATAAAGACAGACAGGTGAGCAGCGAATACAGTACACAGATGACGATAACAAAACAACTCACCATTGATATAGCCAATGAGGGTGGAGAAGCTGATGGAGAACAGATTAGTGACTATAGAGCCTGATACTATAAGTATCGGAGATATAGTAGACATACCCGTTTGGATGGACTTGTGGTACGGACCCGTTGGTCTTAACGTGGATCCCTCTACGATCGCAACGTTTGACAGGGTAATCGTACTCGAAAGGGCCATCAAGGTGAGCTACAAATAAACAAAACGCGATCGCGTCTGATGATTAATATTTATTCAAGGTTTGACCAGCCATACCTAGTTCGTACACACCGAACATATAGCAGGTGGTGCAGCTTAGACGAACCGAGACGGAAAGCATAAGACAAGATAAAGTCCAGAATAGATACGAAATGCGTACGGCATTATTCCCGTAGTGATAGAATCAACCGAACGAGATGACGTCGAGTTACCGCATAAGCCGATACAGAAACCACAATGAATCCAAAAGAGTAGGCGGGTACTGAGCGCGTTAAGGCCTGAAAAGAGACAACTTGAGAGCCACAAGGATGAGATAAAATAAGTAAAAGGACTCAGCGTCAACCGATACGCGATGGTATCTAGGCATAATAAGTAGAGGCGAAGGCAGAGAATGTTATCCGTAGAACGCCAATCGTACTGAAAGCAAAGGCAGCGGGGAAGGATGTTCGAACCGGCGTAGACTGGCGACAAACATATCAACAAAGAAATAGACAGGGGGCAGGAGAACGTGAATTCGGAACGTGGACGTACAAGAGCTGGGTGTGCGAACGCACAAAGCGCCATCTAGTAAGTATCCCGAATTCTGAATATATCGGGCTGGGCGTCAATATCGGCAAGGTGTGGAGGGCGCACTACAGGCAGGACGAAGGTCGGTACACCATACACTAGCTATAACAAGATGGTGGGGAAGAGATGAGAGAGGGAAGGCTACGTGAGCCCATTGCATGACAGCGAACGTACAGAGGCCAAGGATAAAGATACAGAACAAACTATGACGGACCGATACGTGTAGGAATATGCGCCCACGCAGTCATTGAGGGACCCAAGAAACGACGGGGACGATTACGCGCCAAACACAGCGGAGAGGTTGGAGAGTAGACTGCCTGTGAGAAATGACGGAAAAAGCCATACACGAGGTAAAATGGGAGGCACAGACAGAGCGTAAGGAAGCCAGAGGGAGAGGAACGTACCGGGCCGAAGAACCAACTGCCAATGTGTACCACAAGTAACAGATCCCTCATTGTCATGACCGAGATAGAAACGCATCACAACCTTATGGAGTGAGAAACAAAAAGCGATGGTGATACGCACGGTGACACGCCAGAACTTCCCGGAAAACCACTAAAAGGTGAGTTGTGAGTTGGGTACGCCCGTCGACGGAGTTGAACTGGACGAGTAGAGAGGCCAGAAGCCGCACATCACACGAGAGGGATGGAAGGTCAAAGGAAAGAAAACAGGACCACATAGAATGAAGCAGGACATAGAGAATAAGTAGGTTAGAGACGCAAAGCAGACGAGAGGCAGTACGACGGTGAAAGACGAAGCGAAAGTGGCCCAATGGCGCGCGCCACTGAAAACCGTGTGAATTCTGCTCAAGAACCCAAATAAGGAAGTGGGGGGGTCAAGCTGAAAAGAAAGAAGCAAAGAAAATCAATTATACACGATTCATTCGTACCTCATGGAATCGTAATTGTAGGCGTGTTCAAGAGAGACGATCACTGGTTACAATAATTGTAACTGAAGGGTGCTTACAATGACTCTGTTACACCATTGTAAGCGCACCCGAGGACCGTCAGTTACATCAATGTATGTACGGTGGACTCTTGAAGACAACATACATCCTTGTAGGTGCCAGCTTTGTACCGACTCTGTAGGACTAAACAATATTGTAAGTACGAGTGGCGGTGGTCATGGATGCTCAAATCTCGGCTTTTGCTTGAAATTATGGCCATGCTCCATTAGAATAGCAATTTACTCATATGCTAACACATGCAAACTATCTGTAGAACCATTTTTCAGATTGCCAAATGGGTAGTAAGTGCGAGCAATAACACGTACGAGTATGGTGGTGGACACCACTTCGTGACAAGTCTTGACTCTCCGCGCGGATATGTTACTGCTCGACGAGATTTGCTCCGAGTCCTTAGCAAATGCAGGAAAACACTCCTAGGGGTGTAACGAACAGATTGGCCGGACCAGTTTTCCAAAATTCCAAAATTCGGTTTTCCCAAAATGGATTTGGCGGTTTTGATTACATAATACATCCATATATGGATGTGTGGCGACCAGCTAACCCTGTTGTTGATGTGGCGGGCAGCCAGACATTTTTCCTGATGCAATTGAAAGCTCAGATACACTTTCTCTGAGACTGACACCTAGATTCTATGGTAAAGCCTGTTGTTCAAACATATTTTCAATGTGTTAGGTAGGGTCTATGTCGGTGATCTCGAGTCGATTTGGCGGTTAAATTAGGGTTAGGGTTAGGAATATAGGATCACTTCGAAACAGCGGATTTGATCTGAAGTAGGGGTTACTTTCTTAGCAAAATTTTCTTCCCAGGTCGAGAAAAAAATATCTGTGGTTTGACATGAAGTGGTGTCCACCACCATACCACAGACCTTTTACACCGACCTGCCGGTGCCACCGCCACACATGCCACTGCCACATCACTGCCCACCGTCTATATCACTGAACTTCAGTGGAAACTCCATTTTTTTTATTGAGGCACATAGTTCAAGGTGGCTACCATGGATTTGAGGTATCAGTGAAGCTTTAGATTATATTTTAACACTCGCTCACTCCTTGGTCCCGGTGCCGTGATTGGTCCGATTCCTCCCCGGACGCCACTGTGGCCCTGACGTACAACCCATCATCTGATGTTGAGCTCAGCTCCTCATCGGTCTCATCACTTGATGGGGCGTCTTCATCGTGGTCCTCATTGATTCCTGTTATACCTGCTGGCGGTGCTCCCTCTGCATGGTCAGGTCCTTCTGTAGTATGGATGGCTGGCACAGGTGTAGCGGCACCGGGTAGCAGGAATGAGACAGGCTGAAGACGAGCGAGGTAGGGTGCAGTTTCAGGTGGCGGTCCGTAGTTGACCGTAGCTCACAAATATTTAGATACAGTTTGAGACCCCAGCGAGGCGACAACTCGAACGATAGTCCCGAACGATAGTGGACAAACAGGTACATCAGGAAAACCTCCCGGAACTATTGAATTTCCATATATGGTCTTTGGGGGTCGCCCCGCCAAAACCTCCCAAATTGGACAAGACTAAGGTCGGATTGGGTCGGTGATCGCGGGCCGGAAGTCAGGGGCGCTGGCGTGGGCTGGCTTCACTTTCGTTCGTCGCTCATACTCGAACCGTCAACAGCTGGACGACAGCCAAACCGTCGACCGCCCGCCTTTTGCTCGACGTCAACGACGACGACGACGACCATCAACGTCGCGAGCACTGGCTTTTTTCATCCCCTTTTCGAGCGCTCTTTGAAGCATCCAAAGGCTCGCGTCTCATCGACTACCGACGACGGACTTTCGAGCCCTCTGCGGCACCCCACTCGTCGGGATCTGCTTGTTTTCAATTCTCTTTTTGTGCGTTTCGTCGCTGTAATTTTACTATCACAACTTGGTATTGGGCTCGATGCTCGTGTCGTTCCCGTCGCCCGTGCTCTCTGTCGCGGCTGATGTCGTGAAAGACCTCGACGGAGGTGAAGCGCTTTCCGGACTTTGGCATAGTACGTCCTTCCGCCTCTTTTGTTTTCTTTCCATGTGATACTCATCGAATTCATTGCAAAAGTCTTCACGAAATGCAAAGATTCGTTGCAGGAAGGCGAACGGCTGGAGAACATCTCCTGGCGCCTTTGGTATCGCGAAGTTTCTCAATATCGCTCCTCCCTACCTTCGTCCCGGAGTCTGTCCCCCGAACCTATCGACCATAGCGTGAACGGCGTCGAGACACCGCTCTCTCCCATATCTCAGCAGGACGACGCCCGTTACTACGATGGTGAGTGCCATTCATTCCGTATCTTTCTTCGGTTCCCGTCCTCATCGTGTTCTTTGCCAGGTCCATACCTCACCTCTACCTCCACCAAGCGCGTCCCCTCGCCCTCCTCTCCGAATGGACGTGCCGGCGCATCATTCTCCGAGATTGACCATCGACTCTCGGTCTCTCCCGCGTCGAGCTACCGTCCATCGAGTATCCGCTCTAAGTCCAGCTCATCCGTCGGCCGCATCATCGTCGACATGCTCCCGGACAACAAGCTAGTCGGGCCTAATCACCAGCCCAGACCTTCCCGCGCCGCGTCCTCAATACCGCCACGACCCGATTCCACCTGCGTTGTCGTATCTCCCCTTCCCGCCATGCTGCTCTCACAACCTTCGCAATCTCCGCATGCTCCATTCACACCTCCCTCCGGATCGAACTCTATATCCACATCGTCTCTCTTCCCCCGCGTAGTCGTCGTGAACCCTACGCCACATCCCACACCTCCCGCTACACCAGCACCTCCTTCGCCTGTCACTCATTTCAACCCTCATTCCAATCCGATTCATCCCATCAAGGGCAGCTCTCCAACACTCCGACACCCACAGCCTCAATCGCAGGCACAGGCTCACTTACTACCTCCGCCTCATGTCTCCACCTCTGCTCGCCCTGCTCCTACCCTCGCCCACACACCTTTGTACCCTTCCCACTCGACACGCTCATCGCATCCGTCGCATTCTTCCCAGCCTTCGCACCCGCCATCAGGCTCAGCTTTGCTCTCGGGTTGGGACCCATCGTCGTCTGTCATCGCCCCATCGGCCTCCGCGACTCCATCCACCACGTCGCACTCTCATTCGCAATCCTCGCCATCAAACTCGAAATCGAGCGGTCCCAACGGTGCTACAAACAGCTTTCCCTTGGCCAATCCCCAGCCTCCGTTGGTCCCGGTTCCGTCGCCCAATCGATCGGCGCAGGCGGTTTCACGTGCGAACGGTCTGTTGTCCAGCTCGAAACCCAACGGCTTCGCGCCACCGCCACCTTTGAGCTTAAGCTTGAAGGCGAAACCGAGGGCTCTGGGATCGATCGAGAGAGGGGCAGGCACATGGCTTGGGATGATCGGGACTGGTGGAAGGAGTGCCAACGAGGATACGACGGGGACGGCGAGCGCTACTCTGAGACCTGCGGACAGGAGGTTCTTCCTACAACAGGCGGAGTCGCCGTCTCCTGAGCGGGCAAGTTTGGGAGGGACGTCCGTTACGACGACGACGACGGATAGGACCGGGATGACGGGGAGTACAGGACGGTCGGAACGAGAGAGGGTGAGAGAACGCGAAGCGGAGAGGGAGCGGGAGATGAACATAGAGAATGAGAAGCAGAGAAGGTTGGAGTTGGAGAGGGAGAAGGAGCGAGAGAGGGAACGTGAGAGAGAGAAGGAGAGGGAAAGAGAGGAGCAGGATCGTCGTCGTTCGACTCGCCCCGAACCGGAACCCGTTCCTCTTGCACCTCCACAGTCAAAACTACCCTCGTCCGACCGGCAGTCTCACTCACAATCCCAGCCCAAATCCCCCCTCCATCCCGAAATACAACCGCAGCCCCAACCGAGCTCGATAAACTCCAACGTCACCAGGGTCAGCATCAACTCGTCGTCCCGAAGACCTCAGCGTTCGCATACGACGGGCGTAGGCACCAAGCGAGGAAAGGATTCAGCTCTCGGTGCAGTGAGACACGCCCCCGTACGTCCCCCAATGCATCGCTTCGTCACTGCTCGACATGGGCAACATCCATTGGTCCAGAGGCCGCGGGAGGTGGGGAGTCGAAGGGAAGGGCGACGTTCAACGTTGGGAGTGTGGGAAGTAGTGCGTCGAGGAAGACGGAGTCGACGAGTCCGCCGGAGAGGGGAGAGGAGTCTAAGGAGAAGACGAAGAGCCCCACTTCGACGACGTCTAATCCATCGGCGCCCTTACAACCACTTCAACCCGCACCTCCCGTTCCGACAAACGTTCTTCCGCCGCCTCTTATGAAGACCACGTCTGCGCCAGAGCGGAGTTCCTTGAAGGCTACGACGGGTCTTACGACTGCTGAGACCGATGCTCGCGCAATGCCTCCACCTCCCATACCTCCTTCGCGTACGACACAAGCCAAACCACCACCTCCCCCGGCTGTTCCAACCAGCTCTACTCGTCAGCCAAATCCGCAACAGCAACGCCGAGGCATCGTCGTCACCCACAGTTCCGACGAATACGAAACTACGGACGATGACTCGGAAGACGACTCCGGCTCCTGGGCTTCTGAAGACATGTCCGCCGACGAGACTACCCATCCCACCAACGCCAAACGTAATCACGGCAATCTCAACAATTCCAAGAAAACGACGGCGCAGAAACTCGAAGAGGCTCAGGTCCGAGAGCGGCTCCTTCAGGTTGAGCGGGAGCGGGAGATGTTTGCGAAGCAACCGAAGAGGTCATATTCCAACCTCAACAGGACGCACTCCGGCTTCTTGAGCGCGTTGTTGAATCCGGACCCGAGCCTTTTCCCGGAGAATCACCCGGTGAGGGTGATGTCTTCGCATGATATGTCGTCGGCGAGCGGGTTGGGGAGGATGATGATGACTATGGGGCAGGGTCAGGGTCAGGCAGGTCCGTCGAGGCCTTCGATGGCGATGCCAACGTTGTCGACGAGCAAATCTGCGGTCGCGCTCCCTGTCGCTGCTCAGGTCACCGCTCAGGCCCCAAAGACGAACGGTACTGGTGTTTCGCCCAACAACGACCGCAATAACGTCAACGGTGGTAATGGTCATTATCAGCCGAAGGGTCGTCCGCAGGACCAAGAAATGGATTCCGACTCTGAGACGGACGCCGAGTCGCCCTCGAACCTTTCCCGTTCCTATGCACACGAAAAACTCGCCGCTCTCGCTGCCGACAACAACTTCCGCCGCCGTCATTCTGATCGTCCCACTCCCTCCACGTCCAAGCCTCCTCATCCCTCTGATCCTCCTATCGCTACTCGTCCTACGTTACCCAGTGTCGCCACGGCCCCGATTCCGTTGAACCATCCGTGGAATCTACCCACGACGGCTGCGGCGCCTAGTACGCCGAGAACGACGAGGAGGCAGATGATGAGTACGGAGATCAGTGAGAGTGTCAGACGGAATTTGCTGTGGGAGCGTCAGGTGAATAAGCCGCAGGTGGGCGGGTTGACGAAGAGGAGTATGAGTACGGCTGGTGGGATGATGGGGATGACCGGTCAGGCGCTTGGGAGTGGGTTGAGGCCGTTGACTTCGACGACTAGTCAGTCGGGGCAGAAGCGGGAAGGTCAAGGTCAACAGGGGCAGGGGCAGGATAAGGGGAAGGCGAGAGCGAACGGGGATGCGGCTGGCGGTATGGATGAGCAGACGGAGAAGGAGTATAATGAGAGGAAGAAGAAGGCGATGGCGAGGAATCGGAGTTGGGCGGACGATTACCATTATTCGGGATGGTAGTCGTTCGTCGTGCCGTGGGAGTCAGTCAGCGTTGATTGACTTTCCGCGTTGTTCATCTTGTATTCTCTTGGGTTTGTGTGAATTTCGGTCTCCTGTGTTTCTTTCTTAGCGGCGTTGTGTGCTTGTCCTGGTTCTCGTCGGTTCTCGTGTTGACTCCATCTACTCTACGCTCCTCATCTTCGTGAGGAGCATCCCGGATTCATCACCACCCCTATTGTGTTTAAGCTGTCCTTATTTCATTCCGATCTCGTGTATATTCTCCGTCCGGCTCATTTTGCTCTATGCTCGACTCGACTTTGCCTCTCTTTACCATCTAATTTCCGCTCCTCGTGTGGCTCGCTCGGTCCTCATCAGTGCCGTGCTTCCCTCATCGTCATATTCACATCGGTTTCCTCTCGGTCTCGTTCTTGATCATTATTTCATTTGTTTCTAATCATCCATGCATCCTCATTCTCCTCCACACTGCACGCTATCCGAGTCCGTTGCCCCTCCTCGGTTGTATTATCCATGTTCCACACGCTTTCTCGTTTCTTTCTCGCTCTCATTCTTTCTCCTGTTCTGACATGTGCATATTATTAGTCTCCCATCCATCCATTCATTCATACATCTGTCCATCCACCCACACTTATGTGGCCCATCACCGCACCGTTGTTGTCGCAATCAGTACAATACGATACGATATCAATCTCGTCGCCATCCCGTCTCTTTTTCTCTTCCTCTATCTCTCTACCATCCATTCCGTCACATTCCACTCAATACTGTACATAACTCAGCTCTTCTCCCAACTGTCCGTTCGCCTGTCTGTCCGGTCTGCCTGCACTCGTTCTCCATTCTATTCCAGTTCCACATCCAATCATACGTATCTACTCTTCCTTTTTTTTTTTCTTTTCTTTCAGCTAGCTCATTCACTCACTCGTCTGTGTAATAATAGTTTTTGGTGTCGTGTTGGTCCATTCGGTCGCTTCGTGCACCCGTCGAAATACGTGGTCACCGTGGTTGAGTTTCATTTGCAAGTGGTCGGTTGGCCGGTCAGATAAGTCGAATTCGTTATTTATACCTAGCGTGTCGTGTTTTGCACTATCCTACCCGTCTGCGTATGGATCGTTCGCGTTCACTCTGAGGTTTGATGCGTGGCTGAGTTTTGTATACTGTTGTAATATCGGACTTGTATATAATAATTGTAACTTTGCTTTCCAAGTTTGCCGTCGAGGACACTGAGTATTTCGAGTAGGAGCTACTTGGACATGCAGTTCAACAGAGAAAAGCACGGGCGGCCGCCTTCCTTAGATTGCAATTTTAGGATCGGCGGCGCTCTAATCTGTCACGATCTATATGGAAACGCCAAACTCCCATTCATCTTCCTGTTGAACACCGCCAGCAAAGACCTACTCACCATCAATAGAAAGACAGCCGACGAAGCCTTTGCAAACGGAATGACCGGAGGTGAGAGATAGACAGAGAGAATGGAGAGTGAAAGACCCACCAGGCCGAACTGAGGACGAGGGTGGGGCAACGACCATAGGCGTCTCCCGGATGAGAGTCACGTCCGTAATAGAAGTTATCTGCTCTTTGAATTCTGAGTGGAGCCTCACTGAAAGCCAAGTGTCTGATTGGCTAGTTCCCTTGAAATTCAAGCAGCAGATAACATCTAATATCTGCCAAGTCTCGAGGCTCAGAAGTCGGCATCTTCAGCGTCCAGCCGAGACGCGAAATTCTCAGATGCATTCATAATCCATTCTGAGTCGCCCGTGATGGTGTTGACAGCTTGCATCTTTCAGTGGCGCCATGATAACTGCTAGAAGACGAACGAGCAACGAGCGAGGTCAGGGAAGAGGGGAAAAGCCTCGCAGTGGACACGATCATTTTGGATCATAATGAATCGCCTTTACTCACAGTAAATTTTCCGACTTTTCACTGGGCATGGTTGAAGTGGAAAGATGACACAGCTTGGATTTGTATTGTGGCGCGGTGGCATTACGCGCGGGATATTCCGAAGTCTTGACACCACGAAACCCGATGTTCCGACTATCCTGAGCCTCTTCCTTGCGTCCTGACGTCTGGCTTCGCTCGTGCGGACTACACTGCTCTGTATCTTTCTCGTCTTTCCTCATAATCAGACCCTTTCAGTCAATGTCCGACACACGATCCAGCGACGAATCGCAACCTGACATCCCCTCTGATGCTTCGAATGCAGAATATGGGGTGTCTCAAGCGTCCAATGCTGCTCAACATCTGCGATTCATCACGCACGACACCATCACCGATGAGGGCCATCGACGACTGGATAAGGATGTGATGGAATCGGAGGCCCTAGAACTATTGATGCGTCACGGGTTCATTATACCTGGACAGTCTCTTCAGGATGAGAGCAGCGGCCGTGACTACTGCCCGGATATCTTGGCCAAAATATGTGCAACTGCTGCAGGCGAGGGGACGTTGGATCTCAATGCCACAAAGGCAAAAGAATTGATATCACAGCATCCTCGACTGGGCGAGATGATCGATAGATCGTGGGTCGAGGGGAAAGGATTCAAGGATATACGGCGCTTGGGTGAGTACTAGGATCCAAGCAATTGATCGCATCATCGTCGCTACATCTCACGGAGTTGCAGTGCTTCTCAGGCGTGAAATTCCGCATGACATGTCCAATATCCAAGGCAAGCCAGGCGACTATCTATACGAGGCGAGCGTAAAAGGTCAGTGACGATACTGCTATTGCGTTTTCTGCTCGTTCAATAATACGTCGTCTCCAGCTACGGAAAATTCCTGGAAGCAACGCTTCGCAGGCCGCGCTCATGTCGCGCTGAAAAGCCACATCATGCACTATCAGACGAGCATCACCAACTCTTATGCGCCTCACTGCGCCATCGTTCAATCAACCGGAACAGGAAAGTCGAAAACTGTCGACGAGTTCAGCAAGCACGATTTTGTCATACCGATAAATCTCAGGAAACCTAGAGCTGGAGGTGCGCACGCCCAACATTGTCCGCTCGCAATGACGCACCAACTTTTTTATGCTCCAGGCTTTCCTGCTTCCGACGAACGGGTGTATGACTTTCTTGAGCCCGGATACCTCAGCTCTATGAGCCCGGATTTACTATGGGCTCACATGAACGCCTTCATGTTCGCGCTGCTCGAGAAATGCGAGAAGGTTATCGTGGCTGCCATGCTTATCCAAGGTGATAGCCATGAAACCAGGCTTGCTTGGCTTCGTAACGAAGGCGCTGCGTGGTTTCGGGAAATGATGACCGAGGGCCAAACAGTGCGCGCTCAAGGCGAATACCGCGTGAAATTCTACGAAGACGTGGTCAATCGGGCTCAACAGGTAGCTTAGTACAAATCTGCTCTCGCCTGGAGGCGTATGCTGACCTCTCATATTGTAGCTGTCCGACGACGCCGCTCGTGCGCTCAAAGCTCGCTCAGCGCTCACGTTCATGAAGAGAGGATCCTCCCCCATCCAGATACAGTTCGCCAGCGCAGGTAAATGGGCTTCTCGTTGGGTCCCCAATGCCGTTCTAACGAGAAATTTGATTCGCACTTTGACAGCGGATCGTTCTGTCGTAGCGAAGGCAGAGTCTCTGATCCGCCATTGGGGCTTTTCAAACAAGAAGCTAGACGCTCCTATCGTCTACTTGGCTTTCGACGAAGCTCATTCACTCTCCAGACCCGATGCGCAACCGACTGCTCCGATAGTCTTATCCCCATTCTCTCATCTTCGCAAGATTCTGCGGTCCTGCCGCGACTTGCCTCTGTTCGCCATTTTCCTCTCCACCACCGGCAAGATCACCCAATTTGTTTTGCCTAAAGAAGACGACGATTCTGATCGGTTGCAGAGCGGAGAGCTCGTTTTAATTCCTCCATTCTGTGCTCTTGGCTGGGATCAGTGCGCCGCCCCCTTCCCCAATCAAATGGATTTGTCATATGTGTCTTCTCTAGCTTATAAAGCTCGTCTTGGTCGTCCTCTGTGAGTATCTCCTTATGAATTTTCGTTCGTCAAGCTCATGGTGCCCGTAGCTTTGCTTCTCGTTACGCAGCAGGCCTGCAGCTTGAAGAAATGGAGCGCGAAGAGCTTCTGAAGTCTCTGGTCGAGTTTGCGGCCAAAAAGCTGATCAAATTTGACCTCGCATCTTGGCCCTCTGAGCTTAGTCCCAAACAGGAACTAGCATGTTTATCCGCCCGCCTGCCTATCGAGTTCATGTCGTCCACCTCGACCGAATCGACCAGAGACGAGCGGGATCAAATCGCCAATCACATGCGCGTTTGCCTGTCGGTCGACGAGTCTTTCCGTAAATTTACGTCGCTCAACCCATCGGAGCCGATCGTCTCAGAAGGCGCCTACCTCCTCATGAACAACAGCAGAATCCGATTCCACGCTCCAGCGGCTCTTTCTCGCGTCCTTACAGGCTTTTCTGTGCACCAGGGCGATCGTGGTGAGCTCGTGGCCCTGCTCGCTCTCACCATGGCTCGGGACCGCGTCGTCAGCCAGCAAAGGCTGCGCATCCAGGACGGTGTTTTTGGCGTCGTTCCATTCCTGGAGGCGCTCGTTACCAGGCCGTCCAAGGAAAGTGAGCGCTTCTGCGACGTCCTGAGGATCAAGCCATCCGTTTATAGAGATTCAAACGATAAGAACGTCACCCTCGAAAAAGCGTTTGCCGAAGTCAATCTTCACTTCAACCACTTCGTGAAGCGGCAACAGCAGAACAACCTCGACGAGGAAACCACCAAGGGATTCATTGCCCGATGCGCGGCGATAATGGCTGCTAACAGTCAAGGCGGATACGACGCGGCGTTAATCACGGTCCGTGGGAACGCGGTCGTGGTTCAAAAGACGAGAGGTTTGATTATCATCCAGGTCAAAAACGACACACACTACACTGCAACAGTCGAACCCTTACTTTTCGACAAGATGGATCCCGTCTCGATGGGCTTTATCGGTCCTAAGCAGACGCTTGAAACGCCAATCATACGAGTCGTGTTCGCTTTGGCGGCCGCACGCCCCGCCATTCGCTACGTTCAAACTCAGAAACAGGGCAACTTCACGTCTTACGATATTTGGATCGCGGGTCTAAGCCCAGAGGTGCTTGCAGTCATTGCCAAGCAAGATCAAGCGATCTGGGACGCGTTGCTTTCTGCGTCGAGGGGGTGGGACAAGATGTATCAACACTGGGATCCGACTACGGCGTCGCTGCTGAAGAACATGGCGCCTATGGTCGCGGATGCGGAGGACTTCTGGGGATTCCGCAATCGAAAGCATGAGGACGATTGATGTAAGCCTTTCCTTCTTGATCTCGACCTCAGAGTTAGTACTAATGCGAAGTTGTGTAGTACCCCTCTTCCTCGATGGTCATTCTCAATTTTTTTTGGTTGGGTTTTGTTTTTGACTGTGTTTTGCTCTGGCTTCGCGCTTTCGTGCTCTCAGACCTCTTCTTCTTTTGCGCCACCTACTTTGTCACGAGCCACATTTTATGTACACCCTCCCCTCTCGTAAAGTAGTGCTCTAAACATCGACAGGTAAAGTGCGCTGGGATTGCCTCAAACCCCGTCATTTCTAGAGAGAGCATCACCTCCACAGAGTGGGCCTACTTCCGTCCACGGGCCGCCTTTGTACAAGCACATAGGTGATCTCGTCCCAAAACGAACTCTTCAATCTGCGCCTCTCTTCTCTCCCTACCAAATGCCGTGGATCACCACCCCTGGTACCACTATTCAGTGGAGCCAGCCGAGCCGCGTTTGCTCCCTCGAACGGTGACGTCTGTTCTATATGAGACAGGTCGACGTATTTCGTGGTGAGGATCAGTTTCAAGTATCCGATATCGAGGTCTTCATTGAGCAGAAGGAAGTAGACATGAGGCGAAAGATCGCTCGTGCCGTAGCCGATGGTGAGGCCGTTTGCAATCAGAGGCGGGTCTGGGCTAGAAGTGTAGGCGGCTGTCGGCGGGAGGTAGTACTCTGCTATAAAACGAGAAAGTGCGGCATTGAGAAGTCAACCCTAGCACACAGGTAGGCGGTAACAAGTATTGCGTGGGCGTACCGATGCTGAATTCACTGTTGTCGAAGTGAAATAAGGCAGGATATAAGGCGTACTCCGAATTGTTGACGATCTTTTGTCCATAGAGTGTGAGCTCGTCTGCCTCGACCTCCATGAACGGGAAACAGTTGTAGGTTCCTGCCGTCTCTGGATCATACGTGTCGTCTTCGAGGCTTTTCTCTTTACCCGGACTACCTCCACTACTGTCCGTTCCACCGTTCACACTCACTTCCACGCTCTTTACCGGAAAGAGCAGCGGCATGAGCGACCGATCGTGTCCTTCACCTGCCTCTAACACCACCATTTCCAGAGTCACCTTTCCACTACCCTCTCCTATGCTCGTTCTCGTTAGATTCCTCTTCGCATCTGCAGGCTGATGCCGAAGATGGTAATACCAATGGGTGGCTGCGCAGATTATAGGGTAGAGCGCGTCTATGTTTGGGGAGCACGTATGAGGGAGGCGGCGGAAACCGTGCAATGAGCCGGGGCTAGTGAGATCGTCGAAATAAATACGAGTGTCGACAACAGAGAGGGCGAGGTCTGTTGGAATGAGCGAGGGATGTGGACTAGGTTCCGCGCCGGATTCCGGACTTGTGCTCGAGGAGGCTGGGAATATTGGGAGGAGACGAGGGTCGTAACCGTCGTCCTCGAACTTAGCTCTCAATAGATGAAAGAGCGCTTCGAGGCCGGACTGGAGCTCGATGCAAAGGCAGATGACAGGTTCGTCCTGGTCTGAGGGTGCAGCAGACTTAGCGGACGACGATTGAGCGCCCACCTCGAACCAGTCGGACATGGTACGAACGACAAGCATGAATGACCGGCCGAACGCCGGAGTAAATCCATGATTTGGAGCAGGAGGTGGATGTATTGGAAAGGTGCTGCGCGTATAAGCCCTGTAACAAACAACGAATCAGTGCCCGAAGGACCCCAGAAACGTACTAAGCAGTCATCACTCGGGGACTCACTCGTCCTGCATCTGCGAAAATCCAGTTCAGTTAGTCTGTCTACCTTTTGCGATCCGTCAGACTTTAAGTATCTGGGAACACCGAGCTCGCACGGCTGTATAGCTTGTTTCCCACCGCTTCCGATTGAGACTCGTCCGAGTTTGGAAGGGCCGTGGACACGAAATGATGGAGAGAATTCATAGAGAAGGCGCGCCGCGAGATCAATCGCTGCACTCGGAAAGCAATCGCTCACCATGGAGGCAGCGTGTTTGCTTGTGAGGTATAACCTGACTTGGCTTCCGAAGGCACTGTCGAGAGATGAGGTCTGCCTGAGTAGTGAGTGCCGCAGTTGTTGTATGCGCCTAGTAGGGCAGTGAACCTGTGCTCCCAACATGAGAGACCTCCAGGATGGTTGACTTCCTCTCTAGGGCACAGTATCGCGCATCGATTTCTCTGTCGTCGTTCCTATCTCATGAGGACCGCTAATCGACCACTCGCGTCACTATGTAGAAGTCAGTTGTCCTAATTCAAGAAGCGCATGAGATACATCGCATCGGTAGAAGTGTTCGGTAGTACCAGTGAAACACACGATGCTGCTTGAAGTAAAGACCCTCTAGTCAAGATTGTCTGAGAAGTAGGCGTCACAGAATGCTGTGGCGTCCCATGCAGAGAAAAAATAAAACACAGTTGTATATCGCGAAGGCACGATCGTTATCGATTCAACTTAACTGGTAAGAACATTACCAGGTGTCCGGATAGCCCGGTGAACAAGGTGTACCCTGTGAACGGTATTGCAGACTTGCCCCAGGGCCAACGCGTCCGGTGTCCGCCCTCGCGGCATTGAGACGTGGCCCTTCTCCTAAGTATTAAGCACCAGAACGCTGCAAGAAGCAGCCTCTGTGAAAATTTGGCTATTCCCCACGATCGGAGGAATCCTCAGCAATGCAAGAAACAGGACGGAGGATGCAAGGCTGGACACTGCCCCGGACACGAAAATGTCAGTATCAAACACTCCCAAGCCAACCACAGATCGAAGAATATACGCGAGGGTGGTGTATGCGCATTGCGTACCAGTCGTCCTGTTCAAAGATGGGATGATAATCGACATCGATCGAGCGTAGTAAGTATCCCCCGTTAGGAACGCTATCTGCGTGTACACATAAGCTCCTTGGAAATGCTACATGGGACAGCTGTGTTGGCCGTTTCGGGACGGTAGGAAGGCTATGTCCTCTCCAGCAAGGGCAGGGCGAACATCTATATTCACCCGGGGCCAGCGCGAAGCCGACCTCGAGACGATGAAGGAAGCGAAGGAAACCCTCTTTCAGGCGCAGGAGTGCCTCTGGTACTTTGAGAGGAAGTGAAAAAATCAACATACATGCCCGACCATGAACCGAACGCGAGAAAATTGAACGTCGCCATCGACTGAATCCACGTCCAGAGACTATAAGAGCAACTGCATCGTCTACTTGCTGTCGAGGGGCAGCGCGGAATCCCAAGGATCTAATTTTCTAGTCCGCAAACGCGGGATCCACGATCGCGAGTGACGGATGGACAGATGAGATTACATAGCTTGTTCAGATTCATGCACTGACAGAACCTGAGTGGGAGGAACGGGAGTACAGATCTACTCCATCCTCATTATGTTGCCTCATGGGCAGGCGCCAATGCTACAAGTCCAGAAAACAGCGAGCAAGGTAAACAGTCACTGTCGCCTGAGGAAGTAAAACGGTAGATTTAAACACAGAGATGCATCCCGGGATAGTACGAGCGGTGAGTGATCTCCACATAAAAAGACATAGTTTCTGGCTCAGTGGATCTCTCGCAGATACGACCACAGACAGAGTCAGAAAATGGTACTGGGCTTGACGGTGGTGGTACGAGAGAGAGTTGGGTGATCTCGCTTCATCGGGAAACGTGGAAAAGCGAGCGCCACATCTCTGGCGATAAGATTAGATCGTCCACTGCGAGTGTTTCATCATCACTGCCGCCTTGTCACCATCAACGTTCAACTGCGTCCATTCCTTCGCCTGTTGAGACCGTCTAATCCATTATCATTAAAATACCCATTGTACCGGCCGCAGCTTGTAGAGAACTAGCATAAAAGCGAATGACGACGACGCGTCCGTCGAACCGGCGAGGCCCGCCACCTCACCTCCATTCGCCCAACAGCCCGCAACCATCGAGCAGCAAACCGTCCGTTTCGCTCGAAGAATGGGAATTCAAGGCGCCTCTAGGAGAGCTCGAGAACACGAGCGTAGCAGCAGTAAAAGCTGCACTCGACAGACCTTCGTTGCCGTTCAAGGTTTGTCTTTCTTACGACACCTTCTCACTCTCCTCCATAGCTGAAGCTACAAACTGGCAACGGTCTATAGTTTACGGTAGAAGAAGCTAGCTCTCGAGCTTCGACGCCCCTCCGCTCTGTCAAATTCGGACCTCCATCGCGATCTTCAACGCCCGGTATCCCTCCCTCCGTAACATCTATCTCCACCTCCGCCCGCTTTCCCGGTTTCTCCTCTGCCACCTCCACAGTCTCCACACCACACCCATACTCTCACCTCCACCCCACAGCGCCCATCCAAACTCCGCAACAGTTCTACGATTGGTTCGCCCTCATCGATAGGTCGGTTGCGCATAGCCAGGAATCACATTTCAGGGAACATTTGAAAAGGGTCGAGGACTGGTTGGGCGTTTGTGAGATGTTGGTGGGGAGGATAGAAGAAGTCGACGAGGAGGTTGAGGGGATGTTGAAGGGGTGGAGGAGTGTGGAGGAAGGTGGAAGGAGCTTACAGGAGGCTTGCCAGAGGTTGTTGGAGGAAAGGGTGAGTTGTTCGTAGTTTGGCAGGTGGATGTGGAGAGCTGATGTGTTTCTTTGGTTGGTGTAGGATCGGTTGGTAGAGCTTCAGGATGCGATCGGTCAAAGACTGGATTATTTCCAGGAATTGGAGCACGCGACGAGGATGCTGAACCATCCGGGCGACTCGCTTGTTCTTCAGACCGACTTCCTGTATATGGTCGAACGCGTCGACGTATGTATCGACTTTCTCAAGGCCCACGTACGTTCAATTTCCTAGTCTCATATCTTCTCCATATGCGCCCTCGACTTGTCTTAATTGCTGACCCTGTCCGAATATAGCGCCACTTCCGCGAAGCAGAGCTCTACCTCCTCCGGTTCCAACAGTGTATGACCCGCGCAATGACGCTCATCAAGATGTTTCTCGTTGGATCTTTACGCGCGCTCACGCAAGATATCACACGACGATTATCAGAGAAGGTATGTTCTCTCTAGAGACCATGTCCATCATACCTGCGCCACACTACATTACGCCACAGTGTCCTCCCAACTTCAATCGTAATATCCTGTTACTTCTTCCCTCCCTCCCCCTCAACTGCGCTCGAAATCTCCCTCTTTGATAAGCACTAATCGTATGACGCGTCTCTTTCTTCGTACAGGACGTATCCTCGACAGCATAACAACATCTCCTTTACACCCGCTTTCAATCCGTCTCGCATCAACTCGCTCCCCTCCTCTCAGAACTCGAGCGACGAGCAGCGTCCCATCCTGACCAGCTTTCGGCTCTCTTGCAGGTATGTTTTGTGTCTACGTTAGTCCTGACTCGATTCTTGGTGGCCTTCATCCCTGTGGGAGCGTTTGGGCACACGCCTTCTTTGTGCGCTTTCTTCTCGACATCGGTTTGGCTGTCGAGCGTTGACGATGAAATGTGTTAGTACCAGTGCTTACCGATCTGTTTGTTGTGTGTACGTTCTAGGAATATGCCACACGGCGTGGTTTGCAGCGAGGAAAGGGATCGTGGTTAGGAGGTTGGTGGAAGAAGTGAGGGGATTAGAGGTGGGGAGGGGGGAGCTCGTCGAGGTGGTACGTCCGTCTCTGTTCGCACCGTTTCTTTATCGTCCTTTCTGCTACCCTCCTGTTGCATCCTATATTCTATTGAGTACCACCTTATCGATAGTTCGAAATCCTATTTTTCTGTGCCGTTTGAGATGGACCAAAGGTGGACGTGACTGACTTTCCGTTGATTTATGAACGCCCATGACCACTCCCCGTGAATCCAATTGGGACGATTTTCATGAATGCATTAACCGCACGTACACATGCCTGGTCATATTGCATCGCCGAATGGATCAACGAACAAACGACCCAATGGATGGACGAATGGGCCGACTGGAATGGGTTGGGCATGGCGGTAGACGAGGGCAGGATGCAGCTACCTGAAACAGCTCTGCACGGACGAGTGGGAGCTTTATCGATCTTTCTTTGATTCTGGGGAAGAGGAGCTTTAGTGCGTTCAATTTCCTTTCCTCCATGTATTTTCCCTAAAATCCACACCTCACGATCGATTTCGTTTGCTCTGACTATATTTGGGATTTTCGTTCTTGTTCATCTTTTCGTACCTCATTATTCGATTCGGCGTTCACTAACAACTTTCTTTTTTCTTCGTACTTGCTCCATCTTTTCAACCGACGCCACTACGCTATACTGTCTTCATCGATCTACTCTCGAACTCTACGAACGCACAACACACTCGATCCATCAACTATCCACCTTCCAACTAAAAAACAACGCACCCACGCACGCAACAAATCAACCACGAATACCCACAGCGCCTACCTCGAATCCCTCTGCGACTACCTCTACGACGACCTCCGTCCTCGGATCCTCCACGAACAGAAGCTCGGTGCGCTCTGTGAGGTATGCACCGTACTACAGGCACTCATGGCGCTCGACGGGCCTTCGATCACCGCTGCGGAATCATCCACCTCTCCCTCGGCCTCAGACTCTGGTTCGGATGATGATTCGCTCGAGATTGCGCCAGATCTTCCCGAGGATTTCAAGAGCAGTAACAAGGAGAACGGATTGGGCGATTTGCGAATAAGCGGGTTGTTGAGGATGGTTCTTCAGGATGCGCAGATGAGACTAGTATTCAAGGCGCAGAGCGTGATGCAGAGTGAGATCAGGTGGTTTATTCCGAATGCTAATGCTGGGACGGAGGAGCTAGATTGGCCGGGAGTTTTGATAAGAGTGAGAGGTTAGTCTTCTCTTCGACCTCCACCTCAACGCCATTTATTCAACCATTCCCTCATTTCCTTCCATGACCTTAGAATCGCACGATACGAACCTGATCGTGAAAGACAAAGACAGCGAGTCGATCGAGCTGGGCCTGAGCCAGATTTTCCAGCTTTCGGAAGCGACGAGGAGAGGGGTAAATACGTGGTATCCGACGGTAAGGAAGACGGTATGGGTTTTGAGTCAGTTGTTTGAGTTCGTGCAGGTTCGTCGTTTCCTTCCTTCCTTCTTCCGTCGAGATGCGTGTGGACGATAAGGCTGAGCTGACGATTTCCCCCCTTGTCTGTGGTGGTGTGGCGTTGTGCGATGCGGACATAACAGCCAGCGATCTTCGCAGACCTCGCGCAAGAGTCACTCAACCTCTGTCGTCTATCAGTAATCTCCGCCTCGGAGGTGATCAAATCACAATCTTCATTCCACTCACACTCGCACTCGAAATCCCATTCCAAATCTTCAGCGTCCAAGGCCCACGCGAAGTCACAATCCCAAATTCAATCTCCACCGCCACCGCTACGTCCGACCTCCCCGCCAACCGAAATCAAAACGTCACCCACAGGAGCAGAGTCGGAGCACGCAGAAACGCTGACAGGCCTCGGAAAAGAGCTGGACGCTGTCCTTTTCCTTGTGAGACACTTATTGATACTGAAGGAGATGGTGCGGGGGCTGGAAGGATTGGTGAAGAGTCTAGAGGCAGAGGGTGGAGCGACTGGGGCAGCGGTGAAAGGCGTCAGCGGTGGATATGCATTTGGCGGGACGAACGCGAGTGGGTTTTTAGGAGATGGGGCTGTTGGAGTTGGAGCGGCGGGAGGGCTGACTGGAGGGAGCGGTATGACTGGTACGTTTCGTGCTATATGACTCTTTTCTTGATTTTTTGACGTGTTCTCGTTTGCTTGGTGTAGATGCGTTCACGTCGATGTTGAGTCGTACATCTGCGCTTATACCGGATTCGTTGTTCGAGAGTTTGGGGATGCCGAGGGGGAAGGAGAGTATGCTTGATGCGAGACATGTACGTTTGGTTCCTTCTTTCTTTCCTCTACGCCTTCTACATTGTCCAGGTCGCATGATTTTATTCTGACGTACTTCCCGTCATGCTACCTCCCATAATATTACGCCGGGTCTTGTGATCGTGTTTAGGGAATCGATATCGACCTCCGCAAAGCATGCCAAGACCTCATCGAGCTTGTCTCGTCGAACGTCACGGATCCGCTCTACACATATCTTGCACACGCACAACGAACAGCCAGCGCGCTCATTCTCTCGCCCTCCACCTCCACCTCATCATCCTCCGCATTTCCCGCCAACACAACCACCTCACCTCCACCCACCTCATCCACATCTGGCATGCTCCCGTCCGATCAAAGTCCAAGGGCTGACACGCCCCTAAAGTCTGTCGAAAAAGAGCTCGTAGCCCGATGTCAGACAGCCCTGAAAGATTCGATATCGAGGATAAGGATTTACGTCGAAGACCAGAGGACTGCGGATGTTCTGATAGAGCATGTGCGAGAGAGGGTTGAGGACGGGTGGGAGGTGTTTAGGGAGGGGGTCATGCAAGTTCAGGGAGAGAAGCAGGAGACGGGACTTATGAGCGAGGAAGAGCTAAGGGGGATGTTAAGAGTTGTTTGTAGTGAGCGGGGTGCGGTGATGCTTGGTGGAGAAGATGGAGTTGCGGATCAGATTGAAGAGGCGTAGGTTGTAGCGCCACTGACTGACCATCTATTATAGTGTCTCTCCTTTTTTATTTGTCTCGGCCTTCGACGCCATCGGAACGCGATTCAATGGGCATACAAACAGAGGCTGTCCGCACCAATTCTAGTCGCAAATCATCTCTATCTTGGGGCTAAGCGTCGATGAGTGTTACTCGTAGGTCACCAAGCGTGATTTTACCCTGCACGGCGGCTGCTTGATTATCCCCTAAAATTGTAGCAGCGCACGAGCCTGGCTATACGCAGGAAATAAAACGTCGGTTAGTTTTTCCGACGTCCGCACCTTTGGCTGCCACCACTTGACCTTAAGAGCAAAACCTCGCCTGTTCTCAGTCAGATCCCCTCTTCTGCTTCTTCTGAACTCCTCCCTCTATGGACGCTCTTCCAACTTCCGTTTGCACTCTCGGAGGTCACATCTATTCCGGCGCTCATACGCAACTCAGCTCCGCACTCTTGTGTTTGTCGTTTACGTGCAGATCCTGAAACGCCTGACCCGATATATGCGCCCAAAACCCTGTTTAACGCACGAACGAGCATCCTAACTTCTATTGGCAGGGGACACCCTACGTTCATAGTACCCTACCTCTCATTTCTCTCTCAGATTCCTTCTCTGACTATCTCCATTCTCCGGAGATACTTGGAAGAATACTCGAAGGTCAAAGAAGAGCAGATCGCGGTCGGTAAAGGGACTGTGGGTAGAAGATGTGGTATCGCTGGGATAGTCAGACCGTCTCCTCCTTTGCAGCGATGACGACTGGCGGGACACCCTCTACACGTAACAACTGCGGGCATACACCTCACAGATTCCGACAGACCATCACAGGCTTACTCTCTCTGCAGTACTGACAAGTGCTCTTCGTCGTCTCGCTGATGAATGATGTTGAACTTTCTTCTAGTCTTCGGCGAGCTTTGAGTTGCATCTTGTCCTAAGCCGACTGAGCGTTCCGGATGTCTCATGTCCGTAGTTTCTGGTTCTATTCTGTGTCACGATATCTGCTCCCCCTCGGTATCCCATTATCTACTGATTTTACACCTCAGGTAATTGCTACTCCTGCTACAGCGCGTTCTGGTTTGCACGTCACGGTGCATGTCTGCCCCTCGATCCGCACTTCCTAATTTAAGGCCCTGGGGACTCTCACACGGTGTATATGCGGAGATCGTGGTTCTCCTCAGCTAACTCGTGGTGAGTCTGAATACGTAGAACCGGAGTCCGAGTCACCGTCGGACGCTTTCGTCAGATTTCTACAACTGAGTCCATTGTCTCTCCTCGCTCACTTCAGCCTGAAGCTTTCGATTCCCCCTTAGGTTATGAGAAGAAAACACTACTTCCTAGGTTTCCTAGGTCCAACCCTACCTTAGGGTTACAAATAACAGCAAGGCGAGCAGAGGGCACAGGGGTGACCGAGAACAGTGCTGGAGACGAGCCACGCCAGTGTATCGCCTGTGGCGATATGGCACGGCACGGCATAGCAGCCTTCCCGCCAGCCATGCACTGTATTGCCTAGCTACCTGCGTCCCGATGCTACATAGTAGCATCGCTTTTTTCGACGGAGCGCCTAACAGGGCCCCCATACCCTTGTGAGCATCTTCATTTGAGAGACCCCCAAAAAAAGGGCTCTCCGAGGCACACACTTAGCGCATGCACAAACGAACTTAACTAGCAAACGGACTTACTGTGCTCGGACCCCGCAAGAAACAAACTTACTGAGAGAAACGAACTCAAGCCTAGAAACGAACTTACAGTGAGAAACGAACTCACAGTGAGAAACGAAACTAACGCAAGAAACGAACCTACTGCACGAAACGAACTTACGGTGAGAAACGAACTTACGCCGAGAAACGAACTTACGTCGAGAAACGAACTTACTGACGAAACGAACTTACTGTAGGAAACGAACTTACTGTAGGAAATGAACTTACTGTAGGAAACGGACTTAACATACTTAGTCCAAGTGTATACACAATGCTAGTTCCAAGTGAGGAACCAACTTACTTTAGTCTACGCATATACCACAGTAGGTGTGCTCCCCCGACACGAAGAAACGCACTCAACGGAAGAAATGAACTTACTGTAATCCACAGGTATTCAAATATAAGTATTCCCATCCGGTATCCAGAAACAAACTTAACGGAGGAAACGAACTTAACTATAGTCTACGCGTATACACATTTGAGTA